TTGCATTAATAGGGGTCAGCTACAGTTCATAATAGAAAGTGATTTTCTGTGTATTTGGAAGTAAGGATCCCGAGTTAGCCATGTAAAATTATTCTTTGGCAAGAGACCAAAGCTTGTACAACTTCTATGCTGTTCTCCCACTAATCCCTTTATTAACAACCTTCAGATAGTCATATAAACTTGAAAAATTAAATCAAATTCATAAAGGAACAGAAAGTAGCTTGAGGGCTTGAACTGAGGAAAAAAGTTTGGTTCTTCATGAGCTTAAAGAATTTGCTTCACCTCAGGGTTACCCAGTGTGTGAATTTGTCTGCATGGCTCATCACCTAGCTGCCCTCTGTTGCTCTCTATGAGCGTCAAGACTCAATCACTTATCTGGTAAGGTTTCTGGCTGTGGAGATCGGTTTCTATATTGTAATGTACAGAAAGAACTGGGGTTAAGGTAAGGTTCAGCTCATAATAAAACGGGAAAATACTAGCCTGTGAAATGTTTTACATCTTTAATTCACTCTGGTCACAGTTGGAATTATATATGAGATATTCTTTTGCAACTCATCATTAAGAAATAATCTATATCATAATGAATCTATATCATATTGAATTTACCTAGGTATGAAAAACATTTCATGTTTAGTGTCAACAGCGGTACATCCATAAATTATTAATCGGGTGCTACTAATTACTGACTCTAAAAAGGGTTTGATAATTTATTATATTCTATGATAGAAACTAGATAAAGAATATTATCACTGAATATATTTGTTTTTCACTGTATTTTAAAATACTGTGCAGAGAAGTTAAATGCAGTAACATCATTATAGATTTTGTAGCTCTGGATTGTCATAAAAAGCTCAAAAAGAACAAATAGACATAATGTTTTATTACAGTTGGCAATAAGGGGACAATAGGAGTCATGGGGCAGAGATTTTATCTCATTGGCTGATCATTTTGAGCTGTATTTGACTTTTCCCTAATTTTTGCTTTTCCTTTTTTCATCCCTTCCTCCATATAGGGTCAGGGGTTTTGGGCAGGTTGTTGATGTTCGGAGAACTCAGTAGGTCAGAGCCGACACAAACCATAGATTTGTTAACGCCTAAAAAAAAAACACAAAATCAGGGAGTGCAGCAAACCTATCTATAAGATTTAATATGTGCAAAAATGGTTGCATTTCAACTACATCATCTCATCACATTTTGATGTTTCCTAGTTTTTCTTGGATTATTTTGGATATTTAATAATTCTTTTAATATACTAACTCTAGCATTTTTCGCCCATATTAAACTTTGCATTTTATTTATATATCTATAATTCATTCATTCATTTTAACTTCTATATGTTCCACAAATTGTGTATTCATGTTTTTTTGAGTTTCTTTAGAACTCTGCACCCAGCTACCCTTTATGTGACATCAAAGTCATGAGCACTAACCTCCTCCTGTTTAGCAGCTGTGGAAACAGGGAGGATGTGGGTCCAGAAGGTTGGTATCTTTAAAACTGGACCCCGTTTTGCACATAAATCCAAGAGAAAGGCTCTATGAAGTCTGATAAGCTGATAATTCCTGTGATTACCAATGTTCCCTGACCCAGACTGATGACTGATTTAAGTTCCCTCCTAATTTTCCTATTTACGCCCTAATCACAGCGCCATCGCTCAGCATAACACACAGATGGTCTGGGAGTATTTAAATATTTGCAGCAATTCATGTGGATTCCCCACACATTGCTACATTTATATATCAATCTGTGATATTACCCGCCTTTTGATCACTGGGGAGAGGAATGGGATGTTAAGAAAAATGGTTAAATATTTTCTTTTATTCTGAATTTCAACTCGTTTATAAACCTTTTTGTGTGTTTATCTGGGTGTGTGTGACATGTGCCGGCTTATACCACCTTGTAGTTTTATCGTCAATCTACTATTAAACTTTCATATGAAATTTACTTAAATGTCTGAGAGGAATTATGATGCAGTCTGTAATCTGGTCAGATTTGGCATGAGGAACTGCGCTTTTTCACACCAACCATGATTTTCATATGTCATGTTTGCTTTGGAGCCTGTGTTCTGTATTCAAGTTTGTAGCTCCATTTTTGTGTATGTAAGCTTTATAAATAAAAACCCAACTTTCTTCTTTAAAAGCTTACATTATAAACTATAACCCTGTAAAAACAACTCCTCCAAGCAATTAAATAAAGAGATGCATGTTTAATGAGTATTTAATGCAATGTGTTTTATTAAAACGGTATAATCCTAGTTTCAGATTAATGCATAGTCATATAAAAAATAATTAAAACATACTTAAATAATTACAAGTAAATCATTGAAGACAAGAGGAGGCTTATTTTTCTTAGAATTGAAATTTTAAAAACAAGTATATTTTTTTGAGGAAGTAGGTTGAAATAATTTAATATTAGGTTGTTTGGATTTGATGACCATTTTTGACCCCTCAGCAATTTACAGCTTCCATGTTTAGATGGAGACTTTACCCTTGAATGTGTCCAGTATGTATGTGTGTAACTGTGTGTGTGTTTTGCTTTAAAGCCAAATCTGGGTCTTTCCAAATAGAGAACGTAACGGTTCTGCTAATCACACATCACTGATGACGTAACTCTTCCACACACCCACACAACACTCGCTCTGTATTATTCCCACTCATCTTACTCATGCTCTTAACAGACAAACACAGTATTTAGCTTTCTGTAGCACACTTAGTGTTAACAATGTTAGATATACAGAAAATCACTGAATTTCCGTCTGTTATCCTGGTTCAATCCATATTACACTTAATTTTTCACTGTCAAAGCATTAGTTTAACATGGGACATTTGCTCCTCCTTTAAACTCTGTTCTCTAAATTAGTTAAAAGGACATGCATTTCAACCCAAATAGACTATTTGAATTGCTTTAATTTAATTTAAGGAAATTTTAAATTTATTAATATAATCACAGATAAAAAACATTTTACATTTTAAAATTGACTGCAGAACAGGATAAAATTAGAATAATGTTCCATTTGAAAAACATCAGCAAATCAAATGGAGTATTGTATAACTGGTAAGAAAAACTCTTGCAGATTTCCTCCACTGTGTTTACACACACACAAACACTCTTGTTTTCATTAATTACTTGGTCTAAATATATATTACCTGATGAAAGCAATGAACACATCAACAAAACAGCGATAGTTTTGTTGGGGTTTTTTCCCATATCACTGTAAACTATGTGATTCTGCCTTTAAAACTTCAAAAAGTAGAAGCATGTACTTTAAATTTGCTTCAAAACACAATAACTTTGCTGGCAAGCTAAATTCTCATGACATTTATGCAATCCACGTTTTAGTATTGCAGTTTAAGGTGGAGCATACAGCGGTGATAAAAGCAAGAGGTTCTGAGCTCACAGACTAACCAAAGTAAATTGGTGGTGCAGGAGGATGCACAAGAAGCTGGTCCTACAAAATCTTTTTTTTTTTTTTTTTTTTTTTAGAATCTACGAACTCATGTTTAAAAGAGGAAAAACGAAAAGTGTTTTAAGTATGAGTTGTTGTTGAGTTTTCAATTGTTACCTTGATTAGCTTGAACCAAAACTTTGGTAGACGGGTCAAACTATGTCTCGCTTCACCCAATCAACTCAAAAAGCGCTTCTGAACGTCGCTGCATGGGAGCTGGCTCAGAGATGGTCTGCCTGGCTGTGTGTTTTCTGGATGGGGCCGCCTGTGGAGCTGGTTTGCAGTTGCCTTTTGTATCTCTGTTCTTACTGTATGTCTGTTTCTGTCTCCTTGAACCCCAGTCGGCACCAGCACATGGCTGCTCACACTGAGTCTGGTTCTGCTGGAGGTTTCTTCCTGTTGAAAGGGAGTTTTTCTCTTCACTGTCGCTTGAAGCATGTTTAGTGTGAGGGACTGCCTTCGAGTCAATGAGTCGATGCAGTCAACTGTTTTCCTTAGATGGAAAACTGGAAGGAAATTGTAAATTGCGTTGAGATGACGTGTTGTGAATTGGCGCTATAGAAATACACTAAACTGAATTGAAATGAATTAGCTGTCAGGTCAAATAAAGGGCAGACGTTTTACTGAGGTAGTTTTAAGTGTTTTTAGAGAAAATGCTTGAAAACTGTTGGAGAAATGAATGCTTTTTTTTTTTTGGTATTAGTGTGAAATAGATGCAGGATAGTACATTAAATTACATAATTTAATGGCCAAACATAGATTGTATTGAGGTATTTGCATCTGCTTAGATGAGTTCTGTCTGAGATCTGTAGCTATATCCTAAAGACTTCTTGGTAATACCACATTTTGCCAAATGTCCTGTTGGGTTTTTAATCCAGAGAAATGTGAGTTTAAAAGATTAAAAGGAAAATGATCAACACAGAGACCGGGTTTTGTGACGTCAGTGTGTGCCGGGTGGAGAGAAGAATGCTGGCTTGGAAAGCCATCACCTTCTCCCACAGATCCCTTCATGGCAAAGCCTTTTATTAACAGTTTACAACATCAAACAGGCGGGCCTAAAACAGCAGACCCAATAATGATTGTCTGAGAGGATGCAGGTAACAAGATGGTGTGAATTGACCAACTGGCTGGATGGAAGTCACACATCCGTTTGATTCTGCCTCATGACCTACAGGAGGTCATAAAAGTTTATGACCCTTCTGGTTGAAACACAGGATAGTTATCACTCTAACATTTCCCTCCTCTTATACATAAAAACATCAGCATCTTTCAATTCATATTTTATTCATAGGAGTAGGAATATGAGTACAAACATAACAGTCTGTTTTGTTCAAATCTTCAGCAACATGTTTTGCATGTTGCCACCACATATTGGCACCGTATGGATGATTTTCTGTGGATCCATCAAAAATCATCCTGCTCTTCCTTTGTTTCAGACAGTCAGTTTGAGTCCCTAGAGACACCACTCCAACGGTCACCACCAGGCAGATGAATGTCATTAGTTTTTCCATCTTCATCAGCTCTTAGTTATGGGGTTCCTGTGAAGGTAATTGGGCTTCTTTGCTGTGGAAAGTTTTTAATCAGTTTACAATGACTCTGGTGGATCCAAGTGTCTCTCTCCTGGATTTTCACAGCAGTGGGGGTTGTTAGTTGCACTTTGTAGGGTCCTTCCCACCTCGGAGCTTTCCAAGTTTTCCTTTTGATAATTTTAATCAGCACTCGGTCTCCAGGCTTCAGGCCTTCCTGTGGGGAAACAAAAGGAGCACTAGGCAGATTACATGTTTTCCGAACAGTTTTGTCGCTGAAAAGCTTCAGCATCCACTTAGTTAGCGGGTCAATGTCATCTTGTTCGTTTTCTGCCCATGGCTTTCCTGTTTCTGCCATGAATTTTCTCAATCTATTTTTAACATCCTCGAACCATTTAACTGGGTTCTGTCTGGCTGGAGGTAAACCTCGACAGGCAGTCCGCATCTCTGCATCTGTCCATGGCCCACACACAAGAACAGTGGGTCCACAATCCAGTGGGTCACCATCTTGGGGTCCCGTGCGTTGACCACAATGAGGGTTGGCCACCTCCAACACCGGAAAAGCACATGCCCCCCCCCCAGGATCTTGGTCCTGCTCTTGTTTTTTTTAATTCAGCCAATCTTGGATAAATAGGGGCAGATGGGCCCCTTCCACAAGCCTCCATTTGATAATCATCCATGTAACACTTCAAATCAAGCTTCACACCCCCCCCTGATCCTCCCAACTCATGCTCACAAGAGTCAGAGGCACTGAGTTCCATACCATCCACAGAGGACGACACGGACAGGGGGCCTGCTCCTGCTCCTCCAATATAACCACACGATGGTGGGGCTACTGGAGGAGGAACAGTGGCATGGCTGTGTTCACATTCACCGTGATGGGGTTTATCTCCACCTTCCTGTGCAGCTGATGCCACTGCTTGAACCCCATCACCCCCTTGAATTTGATTAGGATCAGGATATTGAGGAAGCATACGGGAAACAACAGTTTCTTCATCAGCTTTAACTTTTACAGCAGCAATTGTAGCTGTCTTTCTATCGTTCTTCTGTTGTATTTGGCTTTCCTTATTTTTTGCTTGCATAATCCAATTATTTAACTCTTCTAATTCTTTTCTGTATTTAGCTTGTTTTCTTTTTGATTTATACACCAATTTCATCTCCACCTTCTGCTGAATCTTAGTCAGCGGCTCAACTTTCAACTTTCCATCCCAGCCCTCCTTCTCAATCCACTTTCTGGCAAACTGTGGGTCACCACCACAACATGCCACCATCCATCTAACATCATCTGGCATTTCCTTCTTACTACTGCCTTGTCCCATTTTTAAAGAACTTAGTCCAGTACACAGCGGTTCGATTGTTTCCTCACACACTTTCACACAGTCACACACACCTAAGGCCTAATATTTTTTATTTTTTAACCAACATAGAGTCCCAGACTCGAATGCACAGAATACCCAGGTCCCAGACTTGTAAACAAAAACTTGGTTTCGTCAAATATTCTTGCAACTACAACCAGTTATAGCTTGAACACAGAGGGTCCCAGACCCAAACGCACAGAATACCCAGGTCCCAGACTTGTAAACAAAACTTGGTTTCGTCAAATATTCTTGCAACTACAACCAGTTATAGCTTTCACACAAAGGGTCCCAGACCCAAACGCATAGAATACCGATCCCAGATCTCTCACAACAAACCCTGTTTGTCAAATATTCTAGCGACTACAACTAGTTATAGCTTTCACACAGAGGGTCCCTGACCCAAAACGCATAGAATACCGATCCCAGATCTCCCACAACAAACCCTGTTTGTCAAATATTCTAGCGACTACAACTAGTTATAGCTTTCACACAGAGGGTCCCTGACCCAAAACGCATAGAATACCGATCCCAGATCTCCCACAACAAACCCTGTTTGTCAAATATTCTAGCGACTACAACTAGTTATAGCTTTCACACAGAGGGTCCCAGACCCAAACGCATAGAATACCGATCCCAGATCTCCCACAACAAACCCTGTTTGTCAAATATTCTAGCGACTACAACTAGTTATAGCTTTCACATGGTCCCAGACCAGCTTTTAATAAAAAACCTTAGGCGTACCGTTTCTGTGCAGATCAGTCCTCAGCTTGAGTCGTCACCAGGATGTCCAGGGCAGGGCTGGACCAACCTATTGGCTCCGTCCGGCAAAGGGTGGACGGCTGTTGACAGTTTCTTGGCCTTGGTCCCGCACGGTCCTGGACAATTGGATCTTGACTCCCGGGTTTCGGCACCAAAAATGTTGGGTTTTTAATCCAGAGAAATGTGAGTTTAAAAGATTAAAAGGAAAATGATCAACACAGAGACCGGGTTTTGTGACGTCAGTGTGTGCCGGGTGGAGAGAAGAATGCTGGCTTGGAAAGCCATCACCTTCTCCCACAGATCCCTTCATGGCAAAGCCTTTTATTAACAGTTTACAACATCAAACAGGCGGGCCTAAAACAGCAGACCCAATAATGATTGTCTGAGAAGATGCAGGTAACAAGATGGTGTGAATTGACCAACTGGCTGGATGGAAGTCACACATCCGTGTGATTCTGCCTCATGACCTACAGGAGGTCATAAAAGTTTATGACCCTTCTGGTTGAAACACAGGATAGTTATCACTCTAACATGTCCCATGACCAACATAAAGACTGCTAGCTCATTCCTGGATGTTTTGCAATCAGTTGCGCACAGATGTTTCCGTCTAACATGCATACAAAGGCAAAGCATGTGTTATGCAGTTAAAGCATTATAAAAACAAACAAACAAACAAACATGTATGTAAATAAAAAAGATATTTATTCACATATTTTTGTAATTTAATGAAAATAGCGAAGATTAAAAGTTTGACTTAGAACATTAGAATAACATCAATAAAAATTATATTTTAAGAAGAAATGTCAGGCCTATAAAAGTATGTTAATTTCTATCCACTGAAATTTTAATTTGTCAACCTTTTGCACAATTAACTGCATCAAAGTGGTATTGGTGAGACACTCTAAAACAAACAATGCAAATGCCTTGAAGGCTGCTATAAAAGAAACCCGGACTTTAGCTTTCTATATGTTAAAGGAGAATTCCGGTTTTTAACACTTTTAGCCCATTTTCTGTAGTGTCCAGGATGAAATCGAATGATCGACACCAAAATTTTGACAATTGGTCCTGTCTCTGCTTTTTGGCTCATGCAGAATCCCCCCCTGGCTGCTTCAGAATGGCTTCCATAGTGCATGTCCGATAATGTCCTTAAAACAACCTTAAACGTTCTTTTTTTAAAATATGCTACTCACCGGGTCGTCAGCGCTGTTCAATGACGTTCCAAAAAAAATATAAGGCATATGTATATATATATATATGCCTGGCCCAAAAAAAAGTCGGCACCAAAAAAAAAAGGTCATTCACTCTAATACTTTGTTGGACCACCTTTAGCTTTGATTATGGCACGCATTCGCTGTGGCATTGTTTCAATAAGCTTCTGCAATGTCAAAAGATTTATTTCCATCCAGTATTGCATCAATTTTTCACCAAGATCTTCCACTGATGATGGTAGAGTCTAACCCTGCGCAAAGCCCTCTCTAGCACAGCCCAAAGATTCTAAATGGGGTTGAGGTCTGGACTCTGTGGTGGCCAATCCATGTGTGAAAATGATGTGTCATGCTCCCTGAACCAGTCTTTCACAATTTGAGCCTGATGAATCCTGGCATTGTCATCTTGGAATATGCCTGTGCCATCAGGGAAGAAAAAGTCCATTGATGGAATAACCTGGTCATTCAGTATATTCAGGTAGTCAGTTGACCTCATTTTTTGAGCACATACTGTTGCTGAACCTAGACCTAACCAACTGCAGCAACCCCAGATCATAACACCGCCCCCACAGGCTCGTACAGTAGGCACTAGGCATGGTGGGTGCATCACTTCACCTGCCTCTCTTCTTCACCCATCACTCTGGAACAGGGTAAATCTGGACTCATCAGACCACATTACCTTCTTCCTTTGCTCCACAGTCCAATATTTATGCTCTCTAGCAAATTGAAGCGTTTTTTTCCGGTTAGCCTCACTGATTAGTGGTTTTCTTACGGCTACACAGCTGTTCAGTCCCAATCCCTTGAGTTCCCTTCGCATTGTGCATGTGGAAATGCTCTTACTTTCAGTATTAAACATAGCCCTGAGTTCTACTGTTGTTTTTCTTCGATTTGATCTCACCACACGTTTAAATGATCGCCAATCACGATCATTCAAGATTTTTTTCCGGCCACATTTCTTCCTTGAAGATGATGGGTCCCCACTACCCAATTTTAGTAGTTTCTGCATGCCACTGATTTGACCCTTCTCAAACAGACTAACATCTTTTCCATGACCACGGGATGTGTCTTTCGACATGGTTGTTTAGGAAATGAGAAGCAAGTCATTGCACCAGTTGGGGTTAACTTGTTGCCAGCTGAAAGATAATCGTCCATGCAGTAATTACCCCATAGCGGGCTCGTACCTATTTGAATCCAGGTGGGGACTTTTTTTTTGGCCAGGCAGTGTATATATATATATATATATCAAGGATGTCTATCTATCGATCTAGAGCATAATAATTACAAACATATACAACAACAAAGGGCTTTACAGGACAGGATTATTATTTTAAAATGTCAAAATCAAATCTAATCTATGCTTGGGGGATATAATTTTTAAAGGCAGATATAATTTGCATGGCTTTAGCATTTAAACTAAATTTTAAGGATTTTAATAGAAGATAATCAAATCTGGAAATTAGGTTTTTGTTGTAAATATTTTGAGGTGTGAATATGATATTTACCATAAATAATAAAAAAAAATAATAGCATATAATAATTCTGTTTTGACAAGCTCACATTTCTAAATACCAAAAAAACATCCTTATCTGTTAAAGTAATGTTAAGATTTTTTTTTATGAAAAGCATTTTTAAATATCCCTCCAGAATATTTTGGTATAATTACAATTCCAAAAAAAAAAAAAAATGAACAAGCTTTTCTTCATTATTTTTTTTTACAAAAAATGCACATTGGGTCCAAATTCCTTTGCTTCAGATCTTAGGGTGTCGTGACTCTCAAACATGACGAAATGAGCCCTTTAGATAGCCAAGAGGAAAAGCTTTAAATGTGACGTTAATATTTCTGACGTTGCTCTCGTGACTCGGCAATCCTTTTTTTAACAAAAGAATATGCTCTTTTAAAATTTGTCCACAGTCACGGTAAGAAAAAAAAAAAAAATGTGAAACACATGACCTTCGGCTTTTCCCTCTCGGTCAAACCAGAATCCAGTGGAAATGAATCGTCTGTCCCTTTTAATTCAGATTTTCTTGCGTGATATATATTGTGATCAGCTGTCAGATGCGGCGCATGCGCATTAGCGGGAGGCGGAGAGCGATTCTGTTTGCGCTCAGTCTGCTGCTGCTGCCCTGTGCCCTCCATCCTTCTAGCTGAGACGGACTAACACGGAGTGGGAGTTATCCGACGAGGTCTGAGGATAATGGAGGAGCGGATCCGCTGCCGATGAAGGTACGCTTTAGCTAGGATGCGCTCGGAACAGCTGCGCGTTTAGCGTTTGACATTGTGACCGTAGAGGGTGAAGGATGCTTGGCTGCAGGATGGGAGGGTGATGGTGGATGGGAGGCGGGGGGTGGGGGATACCGCTCGGATACTTAATGGCATGTAAGGAAATTATAATGTTTACAGGGATTGCCCTCTTTTTTTTTTCTTGTTATTTTTCTTTAATACCTTCATATAATTATAATAACATTTAGACAGTTTGCGGATTTGAACAGGTGTCAATGCATATGCATTATGTGATAATGCGTTTATAGGCACTGTTTAAATAGACCTGTCAATGGTTTAGTTTCATTCAGAATGATTATGTTTGCTGTTATTTTTTTTTCTCACACTGATGATAAGATCAGATCCGCACTTAATAGCTGCTTGTGGGCAGTGCAAAGCAGCCATAATGCCAGGCTTAAAACAGATCAAATCATCCATTAAGGGGAGACATCTTCCCCACACGCACCTACACATCTTCTAATGTTCTATTTTATGCGTGCTGTTGGTATTTAAACATTTCAAATATGAGAAATAAGTAAGATCCATAAATCGGTGGGACCCTACCCGGATGTGCCTGCAGAGATGAGAGAGAGAGAGAAAAAAAGAGAGATAGAGCGAGAGCCTTAGATATCCTAGTGTTTATTTGTACCATGGGCGGATCTACAGGGGGGCAAGGGGGGGCAGCTGACCCCCCAATATAGAGCCTTGCCCCCCCAGCTGCCCCCCTAACTTTGATGATCCAAAAGCTGTACCTGTAAAAACAACCTGCCACTATGTTCACAGGCTTCTCAAAACAATACATTTACCAAAAGGTTGCAATTTAGTTTTTTTATTTTTAATGTATTATTTGCCACTGTCCCTCAAATACTTAGCTACGCCCCTGATTCAAACGTGCAGAGCGCAGTTCGCGCTCAGTCTGTCTGACACACGCACACACAGTCTGCAGCGTCGCGGTGGCTCTGTAGTGTGCAAACTAACTGGAGAGACTGAGCTGTCTCAGGGCATCTGAAGGTGAAGTGACTTTTACCAGGTGTAGTTTAAACACACGTTTCACTTAAAAGTTACATTTGTAGTCAATATCTGCTAAAGACGATTAGCAAAAACAGCGAGTGTGTCGGTCAAATCCTTCCCTCGGGATTTGTAAGAGCACTCTTCCCTTTGATTAATGTTAAGAAAAAAACAGCTTAAGAAAAAAATACAAAATATTTTTTTTATCCATAACGTTAACTGATTTACTGATGGTAAACGTTATGCCGCCGTTACGTTACAACACGCAGGCTACAGTGTTGATTTGATTAGCTGAGCAGTCCTATAAATCCAATTCCTCTCAGATATCGCAGCAATGAAACCAGGTTATAACTGGGGAAATAACAAATACAATAGAATTAAGTAGTCTAAACATAACTGGTGTGTGAATGTGATAAATCTTTCTCATTTATATTTGTTATATAGGCTATACTACAATACCTATATATATATATATATATATATATAGGTATTGTAGTATATGCTACTTAACTTATAAGTTCCATGGCCCTACAGTGTAGGCTAATGAAATACAAGGATAACCAGAGGTTTTCACATATTGACTTTTGCATGCAAATATTACTTCATAGGCCTAGCCATGAAAAGGAAGGCTAAAAGTGGGGATATAACCAGCTTTTTTGCAAAGAAAATTCCAACAAGTACACAAGAGGAAGAGCGCAAGGGAAATGAGGGAGAAGGCAGTACACTGGAGAGCCCAGGAGGGTCAGTGCAGGAAAAGACTGAAGGAGACACAGAAATGAGTGAAGGAAATGAGGAAATAAGTGCTTGTAGTCCACTGCATCTTGGACACAATTATAACAAATAAATTAAAGGGATTTTGCTTGTTAGACTTTTACTTTTTAAAAGATGCAGGTTTTTTTTTGTTCGATCACTGCACTTTGCTTATTCTGTTGTGAATTTAAAAGAAAAACTTTGTAGTGTGTAAGGGCATGATTAAACAACAACTACTGTAGTTTAAAAGTGTTTTGTGTTTATTTGGTTAAAGCAGCTCACATATAAGGATTCCCATGTACCATCTACTTCTGCCACCCTGCCAAGACCTCTTGCCACCCCTTTGCCCCCCCATGTAAAATTTTCTAGATCCGCCACTGATTTGTACTAAGCACGTCCTGCATGAGATTTCCCTCCCTAGACAATCAGCGCTGCTGGGATGATGAGATTCTTTCAGGAGAAGAACCAATCAGAATGGGGTTTTCTTCCTACTATTTATTACATTGCAGGAAACAGATCACGCTTGATCACCCGAGCGGCTCAGGCAAAGTCCAGGGTGATGAGAACAGCAGTCGATACAGACTAAATCAGAAACAAAATCTGATAGGGAATTTATCAGGTAGAGGTATAATTTGAAAACATAGTTTCACTTTACAAAGGATTATAAGGAAAGGACATTTTGTTCGTATAAACATATATATTATATGCAATGATGATATCCAAGTTTTTTAAACAAACAGCACTGATTGTCCCTTCACCACCTGTTTGTGGGTGGAATACTGGTAGTATGCAGAAATTAATTTAGAGGGAGGAAAATAAAAAGGATTCTAATTACGTTCATGATTACTAAATGGTGGTGGTTATATGACTGTGTGAAGTTTAAAAAAAATCTTTTTGGGGGGTTACCTGCTCTGAAGGGGTCATTTTGGCTATCAGAAACCAGATAATGGCGCTGTGATGTACATGAGGAGTACAGGCAGGCCCGTATGGTCTGATTTTTATATGCTACTGCATGCTCTGTGTCAGAATAGAGAGAATATCTTTGGTTGGTAGGTTTGAAGCTGATAAGTCATAACCAATCAGGATAAAAAAAAATGTTATATGGTCTTCAAAGGAAGTTATGATGTTATGCCTTATTGGTCTACAAAGTAAAATGCTGTCATCTGAACAAAAAGCCCTATTCTTTAATCAGTATTGGTTATTTGATTTTTCCCTCTCATGAAGTTTCCCTTTAAAGTTTCTATGCTGTTTTTGCTTTGCTGATAGCATTGTAGGGGCTCAGAACAAGTGTGAAATGTGCATATGGTTCAGGTTTTTAAGACATTTGTGATCTCCCCCCCTCTCTTTGTAATTTCACACTTCATTTCTATTTGTCTGCTCTGCATTTAGGAAGTCTGACGTAGATGCTGACCCAGAGGAGAGTCCTGGTAGCAGCACCAGCAGCAGCAGTTGTAGCAGCACCAGCAGAAAGGCTGTAGATGCCCTCTCCTCAGGTGCTGCTCCAGCCCAGGCCTGTGCTGGAGAGCTGGGACAAAGAGGGGAAAGCTCCTGCTCTGACTCTGACAGCCCAATAGACTCCAGTTCCAGTGAGGAGGAGACGGAGGAAACAGAAGAAGCTGACCCAACCATGTTCTCCTCCAAATTTCTCAGTGGGGCAAACCCCCTGAATGCTATGTCTTCTGCTGTGAATAAATTTGGTTTGTTTGGAGATGATGGAGAGGGGGACAAAAAGCCTCCTCCTAACCTGGGGAGGAAACCATCGAGTGAACCACAACCTGGACCGGGCCCTGGTAAGGATAATAAACAGGAGCAGGTACCCCAAAAATCCATCCAGGGTCCCCCTATGCAAAAGTCCCAGCCTCATGCTAAACAGGGACTACCACAAGTTCATGAAAAGGGACAGACTGCCCCCCCGACAAACAAACCTGCAGGACAACAAGCTAAAGATCAACAACAGCAGGGTTCACCCAAGCCTGGAGTTCAACAGCAAGTTCAGAAAAAGAGTTTAGCACAACCGGATTCCCCAAAACAGGTTCCACCCAGAATGACAGAGCAACGGGATCCAGCTAAGAGTGGCACACAAAGGCAAGAACCTGTAAAGACTGAGAAACAGGGGCCCACAAAGTCTGAGTCAGAGTTAGCAAGTCAACAGCAGTCCTCACCGAAAACTAGACTTCCAGCGTCACCTGAGATGGGACAGAAAGGGGGCCGGAATCCAATCTCTGATAAAAAACACAACATAAAGGGACAAGGCACAACTGAAGTGACACCTGTAGGGTCTCCACCTTTGGGAGCAACCAAAGCCGGACCTCCGTCAAAAGCAATTACTCATCTGCTGTGCTCTGTATGTAACACAACTAAACTTAATATCCATACCAAGGATCCACCCAACTATAAAACCTGTACACAGTGTAAAACTGAGGTGTGCAGCTTATGTGGCTTCAGTCCTCCAGGCGCTGATGTAAGTACTAATTTTATTTTCTATTTAATATTACAGCAAAATCATAGTGGGCAGAGCACAGTATCTCATTGCTGCTTTTACATTTTTCTTTTTGTTTCTTTGCATATTTTGTTCCATTTAAAATGAATGAAACTTTTTGATGATGATAATAATAGGATTAAAGATTTGTTTGTTTTTTTCATATGGTTTGAAATAAACAAAGTGCCTGATCTTCAAAACGGTTGTGTATATAAGAAAATGTGCAAACTTGTTTTCACATACAGAGAAAAATCCATTGGAAAAATGTGGTTTTAGCCTGTCATTCAGTCTCATCTCTTGAAATCATAGTGAGCGCCTCATAGTTGTATTATCTGGTGAACATTTGTTTCTGAATCACTTCTGCTAAGAGACCCTTAGGAGCAAGAGATAAGCTAAAAAGACATTACCAAGATATAAAGACATTGAGCTTAGAAAACCAGCAATACTTAAGAACTGGGATAAACAGATGAGATCTCATTATGGTATCTGTTCTCAATCATATCATAATTATTTTGAAGGTAAATTAGAGGACTTAACATGAGGCAGAAATTAGACTTTTTCTGTAGTAGCTTTTTTAGGGAGGAGTTAGTGAGATACCTTCAACAGAGGATCAGAAAGCCAGGATTTTAACCTACAACAGCCACACCATAGTCAAAGACCACTATATACGTATAAGTCGGAGCACCTAATACAGGAAAAAGTCTCAGATTCATCTTATGTTGAGTACTCTATTTTTTCTTCTAAATAATTAAGACAAAACTGAGAAAAGAGGCATACTGAAATGAAATCTCCTCTGTTTATCTATATTCAGAAACAAATGTTCAAGGAATGATACAACTATCAGACGCTCCAAATGATCTAAATGGACAAGACTGAACAACAAATTAGCAACACATGTTTCTTATGGCCATGAAGTAATAAGATTTATTAAATAGTTACCGACAATTTAGATTAAAATAGATTGTTAGATATTTGCAATAAACATTGCTTTATGAATGTGATGCATGCATCACTATTCACAGTACTGTAAAGATTTGAGTTAAATTTGAGGTAAAAATTTCATGGTCAAAGTTTTTCTTTTGCAGCTGAGATTCTTTTCTTCCTTTTTATTTACGGCTGCCCTTAAAGTTACAGTCAGAGTAGAAGAGCAAAGCACAATGTGCAGCCTTTAAATGAAAGAGCAGAACCTGATCTTATCACCCCTGACAGGAAGTCGTCCTGTGACATTATAGGATCTGTGAATTGATTAATTTAGCTTTATCTAAGCTGATCCTTGTTGTGATAAAGGTTTAGTTTGTGCTAGGAAGGCATTTGTGTCATCAAGGAGTAGGTTAAAAAAAAATAGGGCTGGAATCTGTTTTGTTTTACTACAGATGAGAAGAAACAGAATAATATAAATCTAGACTACAGTGAGGGAAGCCATGGCATGATTTAAAGGGGGGGAGAAATCTTAACAGAATGATAAAAAAATAAATAAAAAATAATAGTAAAGCCCTGCATACCGTGCCAATAAGGGTTTATCAAAAAAAATTTTGTTTAGAAGTTCATACAGTAGCTACTTATGAGTTGTTGTTTTTTTTATTTATTATGATGATATGTTAACATAGTCTTAGGTGTGTTTTTTGTCATCAGAGGATAGTTAATTAAGAAGAAAGTAACAAAAAAAAAAATCATACGCAAAAACAATTTAGAGATGCTAATAAACCTAACAGGTATGTCAGGAGGGGGTCAAAAGCACTTGGTTTTACCGGTTATAATCATTCCTAATCAATGACTTTAATAAAAGGTGAAAAGTTATCCCTGCAGTCTGTATGTTTTCAACACCACTGATGTGTGAACAATGATAGGCTTCCAGAGAGACAGACTTGATCAAATTGAGCTTAATTTATAACATTCCTGTAGGCAAGTTTCTACCCTTGTTGTTTTAGAAAAAAAATGAAAGAAGTTGGTATAGGACCATTAACCACACAAGGATGCCCACTGCACCACTGTGAAGCACAGGGAAGGGCAATTGCACTGCTTGTCCTCGCAACTCATTGCTTGTTAGCTGTCCTTATCAGCTCTGTGTTCAATGTAAAACAGTTCAATGCAAAGACTTTTTCCTGCTGAGCAGTTTAAGTTTAAGCCCACAGTATGTGACACAGCTTCTAATACAGCCTTCTCTCTACAGACAAATGCTATTTATGTGAAAAAATAAAGAAATAGAAATTTGTAATAAATAAAAGTTCTACATTTTATAACAACACACTGCCTCTCTTGGCTAACTACATGCACCAGGATTACCGTAAGCCTGCCTGTATGTAGCTAAAGTCGTACAATAGCGGTGCATTTAGTCAACAAATCATTAGCTAACTAAACTATATGTATATTTACTTTTCTTCAGTTGTTTCCTCTTTTTTTAAGAGTTTGTTTGGTACTCTTCACTCCTACTAATGACTATATCAAAAGTACAGCAAACAGTGAAGGCAACAAGGCTCAGTAGGCTGGTAGGGCGATACCAACTTTGGATGGAGGATAATGTGCAGAGTGGTTCATTGGTTATACTTGGTTCTATTATCTGGCAAATGAAGATAAACAAATAAAATAGTTATTCATGCACAATATTTTTGTATATTGAAATGGTGTGAGTTATTCACTTCAATTTGATTGTGGTTTGTTTCTTTCTTTGAGGAGGTGAAATAACCTGCTCTGGCATTCTTAAGTGCTTTTAACATATAGGTTCCAGGTACTATTCACTAGTACCAAATTACATGGTCGAACAAGAATTAGAACCTTTCACACATGCAAATTCATGGCAGTAGGTTGCCAGGTCAGCTCTTTTCCCGCTTAACCTGGCAACGATGGAATGATTACACCTAATGCCATCTGCCAGTGGTACTACAAGGGCTATATCTTTAACTTTTACGGTTACTTTTACATGTATGTCGTTGTTATCATTACTATTTTTTAAATTATTCAGACATTATTTCCTCCAATTCCACAGAAGAACTTTATCTTTTTCTTACGTACACTTTCCACCAGTTGCACATGCAATTCACTTATTTAAAGGGGGTGGAATCTAACCAGTTGGGTGTCTTATAAGTCGCAGGTGATCTACAAAGAATCTTTGTAGCTCACCAGCAACACACTAACTCATGGGATGGGATTTTTTTTAATCTATGTACAGTAGTCTCGTTATTTGGAACCTTTGAAGATCAGGTACTAAATTTGTTATTAAAATTAAAAAGAAAATTTTTTATTGACATCCCTTTTATTGACATCCCTTGTTTAACAATTTGAGAGAATAAGCTTTAACAGTACATTTCATAAAGATTTTTTTTCTTTAATGTACATATTTAGCAGAATCTAAGAGCCTTTTTTTGTTTAGGGTCGTGAGTGGCTTTGCCTTACCTGCCAAATACAGAGAGCTCAAGGAACTTCAGAGCCACCAGGACCTCCCACCCAAACACCTCTAAAAGCAGGGCCTGGTCCTCAAAGCCGGACACCATCACCAGGTGAAGCTAGAAAAAAAGACATTTCAGGACCAGATTCATCACAGAAGGTGCTGTCTAAACCAATAAATGTGCCAGCTAAGGATATACCTCCCAAGGGACCAGAAAATCCAAATCAAGCCAGTGTTGGTCAAGCTCAGAAAACTACACCAGAGACTCAGAGGACAACGGGGTCTCCAAAACTGCGTCCAAGTGCTCAACCTGGCCAACCTCAAAAAATTGTCCCTCCAGCTTCACCGAAAATGTCTGGAGGTTTATTTGGCTTTACTGGTGGTGCTAAAAATGAATCCTCAAAAGCAGATGAGTCAGTGACTGGGAAGATGTTTGGCTTTGGTTCTTCTCTTTTTAGTTCTGCATCTACTTTAATAGGTTCAACTGTTCAAGATGAACCCAAAACGACACCACCAGTTTCTCCCAAAAGGCAGCCCACAAAGGACTCTAAAATGCTTTCCGATGAAAAGTCTGAACTGGAAAAGAAACAGCAGCAATCTCGAGAGGCAAAGACCCAGTCGGCGGGACAGAAAGCAGAAAAATCCTCTGTAGAGATTTCAAAGGCAGCAACATCATCCCTCAATTCCCCCAGTATGGGCCAATCCAGTTGTCCTATTTGCAAGCAAGTCCTCAATGTTGGCTCGAAGGATCCTCCCAACTACAGCAGCTGCACAGAGTGCAAAACAACTGTCTGCAATCAGTGTGGATTCAACCCCATGCCAAATGTAAAAGAGGTAAGACATATGAGACTTATGACTTAAGATAATTAAATAAATCAAGTATTAAAGATTGATAATCCTACAATTTAATTTGTTATTTTTGAATATGTTCTTCTAAGACTTTATCTCTAAACACCTCTGTTACTTTATGGACAAGAGTATTGCTTCCTGAGATATAAAAACTGCTTAGTTACAGCAAATGTTCACTTAAAGGTATCACATGTTGTTTTAAATCTTTATGACTGTTCTTTTTTTTGTGCTTTCAAAAAGGTTAAAGAAATGTAAACATTCTTCATAGGATATTTTTTACCAAAAGTTTATAACAATACGTTCTCCAGAGAATCAAATACTGTTGACTGCAAATTAATTTTACTTTTAATGTCATATAACACACTTACCTTGCATACACACAAACATACATTGATATTAGAGAATAATAAACTGCATTGCATAAACAGAATGGCAACCTAAGGGCCACCTGAAGCAAAAAGAACATGACACTTGACTCTGTAATTCAATGCAGAGTAAGTATCTGGCTTACCAAGGACATTCCAAGGCTACATGGTGTTGTTGTACTGCTTAAGAAGATGGCTTAAGCAGAGCTAGAACAGAATTGTGGGGCTAGGGCAAAGGCTGTGCTGAGTTTTGACAGACTGGTTCAATATGATTGGACACTGCATGTAATAGGAATGCTGATATTATATATTTACTAAACGCAGGGTATACTGGCTAAATATCTATCTATCTATCTATCTATCTATCTATTTATCTATCTATCCATAGATATCTATCTATCTATCTATCTATAGATATCTATCTATCTATATAGATAGATAGATATCTATAGATAGATAGATACATAGATATCTATAGATAGATAGATAGATACATATATATATATAGATAGATAGATACATATATATATATATAGATAGATAGATACATATATATATATATATATATATATATATATATATATATATATAGCTCCTGATGCATACGTTGTTGAGCAACACTTTGAGGCACAGTTTTCTGTAACTTTCAGTCAGATTTCTGCACCTGTTAACAGGTATGCTAGTTCATTTTGCATGAGTTAGGTACTTTAATTTGTCTCTGACATAAATTCTTTTTAAAACAAAAATTTAAAATAAATATTTTAGTTTACTAAATTATCATTTAGTGAATTAATATTTATTTTCAATGTTTCAGTTTTGTTTTATTTGAATTACTAGTGTGAACAAAAGAGGTTATTGATTAATAATAGCTTAGATGTGATTATATGTTATTATTCATTTCTTTAATACTGCACCTTAAAGCAAACCAAAGCTCACGCCTCCGTCGCATGAAAATCGCCTGAGTCACTCACAGTCTTTAATCCAAACAATTAGGTAGCTACAGTTTCATAGCTTCATTTTGCTTTTTGTATTTTTTTAACTATAATGCAGGGGCCATTTTGATTGACATGAGAGGACACAGATTAGACATGTATGCTGCAGTTTTATTTAGTTGGGATCAGATACATAAACCACAAAATATTCATAAATACTGCTAGATTGTGGAAGTGATGGAGGGCATTCTGGTATTCATTGTGGTCTTAATACCACCTTTGCCCTCCCCTCTTGCTGCTGTAGGTTGTGGGTCCTCTCATATTCTCTCTTTTCTTCAGTCCACATGCTTTTTTTTTGATTTAACTTAAAGAACCATGACCATGCAATAGGCAGATAGTGTTCCCTATGAAATAGTTTTGTCCTGGTTTGAAACATTAGTTCTCCACTTATTAAAAAGAAATCCAATCTGAGGTTTCACTTTTCCAGAAATTTCCACTGGGAAAATTTTCTTCTGTAGCAAAAACATGGTTTTACATGTCTTTACCACGGGTACTAATAAATGTGGCAATCATTATAATAAAGTCCGGAAAAATTTTTTTTTACAGGGTTAAAGGCCAGAACAAGTTCTACTACTTAGATCAGATAAAAAAACTACCATAATTGTTTTTTATTGTAGTCCTCTTTATTCCATGACATATAGTATTTCTGTGCAAGTGACGTTATATTTAAGATTTGTTGTCTCAATTTGTTTTGTTTCAGTTTAGAACTTATTATAAATGGAGTTAATTTATGCTTGATTGGCTTCCCTTGTTTTTTGCAGGAAAAGGAATGGCTTTGTCTGAATTGTCAAGTGAAACGAGCTGCTGAAGGAGTTAATCCACAAAAAGAGACGTCCTTGGTGAATTCATCTAAAAAGACAACAGCGGCACAACCCGCCTCTCAAAAGACTTCTGCCCCAAGTTCTCCTCAGAAAAAAAAATCAACAGCAGAAGTACAGCAGGGTAAAAAAGAAGACCCGAAAATAAATAAGCAGGCTGGCAAAGGTCCTGGACCGAAAGCACCTCAAACGAACCAGAGAACCAATCCTGAGAAACAAGCAAACCATACCACTCAACCTCCACAACAAACAGAAAAGGCCAAATCACAAGAGTCTGGTGGCCTTTTTGGTTTTGGTAATCCTAAACATCAAGGTGATGCAGCAAAGCCTGCAGAATCAGTGCCTAGTAAAATGTTTGGGTTAGGCACTTCCATCTTCAGCTCTGCTTCAACTTTAATTTCTTCAGCTGTCCAAGAGGATCCCAAAATTAAAACTCCAGTTTCTCCCAAGATGTCCCCTGCAAAGGAATTAAAATCAGCTACAGTCAAAAGGCTAGAACAGGAGGATAAAGGGCAGCAGTTACAACAAGCCACAGGTTCCACATCAGCTCAGCCAAAAACAGATAAGCCTTCCTCAGAACTGCCAAAAAAAGAGTCAGTCTCACCAGTTATTTCCAAGAAATCTGATTCAACGTGTCCCCTCTGCAAAGTGAAACTGAATGTGGGCTCCAAGGATGCTCCAAACTACAGAACCTGCACAGAGTGTAAAAGCATCGTCTGTAACCAATGTGGATTTAATCCCACGCCAAATGTAAAGGAGGTAAGATCAAGAGATTTGAAATCAGTAATAAAATATTTTTGCTAAAATAGTTTTAGCATTACCTCTCTTAGTAATTAGGTGATATTTGAACTACAATGCTTAATGCTGTGTCCGGCCAAAATATATTGACAAGTCTAATTAAGTTTGCTCTTTTTCAGATGAAAGAGTGGTTATGTCTGAATTGTCAGGTGCAAAGAGCACTCGGGGCATCTGAACCTCCAGGAACACCTGTAATGAACCTACGGGCCTCTCCAAACAAATCTCCTGTCTGTCCTGATGCTCTTAAGACAAAAACTATGGTACAACAGAATACAGTTGCAAAAGAGTCCACCCCATCTGGTTCCACTCAGCAGAAATCTGAAAAACCAGCTGAGAAGTCAGCAAATGCTGAAGACAAGAAAAGACCTGAAAGTCAGGAACGTGAAACTCCAGAAGCTGGTCAGAAAAGCCTAGAACAAGACCACAAGAAAGGACAACATAAACCACCAGACCAGACTAGTCAAACTGATAAGAAGAAGGGTATTACATCAACTAAAGAAGAAAATGAAATGCTTTTCAAATCTGGTGCTTCCAAGGCTCAGCCTGATGCTTCAAAACCTGCTGAGTCACTCGGAGGAAAAATGTTCGGCTTTGGTTCTTCCATGTTTAGCACTGCATCCAATTTTATAACAACTGCAGTCCAAGATGAATCAAAAGCAATGGCACCAGTTTCTCCCAAAAGTCCTATTACAAAAGGAACCAAATTAATTAATGGTCAGAAACATGACTCAGAGAAGAAACCGGAACAAGGTCAGCAAACCAAAAGCTCTCCAATGATGCAAGCCAAAGTAGAAAAAGGTCCACCAGAACATGTTAAGGATTCAGTAAATTCAGATAGTCAAAAGGTCAGCCAGTCTACCTGTCCCCTCTGTAAGACTGAACTCAACATTGTTTCCAAGGATCCTCCAAACTACAACAAATGCACAGAGTGCAAGACAACTGTGTGCAACCAGTGTGGATTTACCCCAATGCCAAATGTGTCAGAGGTAATAATAATATAATATCATTAATAATAATAATAATATTATACCCAGTTGTACAAAAAAACATAGCATGTGTGTTTTTGCTGCAAATCAGATTTTGAATTGAATATAAGTTATCCCTTTCATTATTGCACCTATATATATTGGTATGAGGATAGTTAACAACACTCGCATGTAGGGAACAACACAATGAATATCAAAAATATTGATATCTTTTGCTATTAATCAATACTATTTTTGCTCAGACAAAACCTACTATTGAGTCAAAAGATTTTTTTTAACAAGCATAACTTTCTATGATGTAAGTGTTTCAAATTAATCTACAATTCACTTCCTTTAAAGTAGCTGCTATGTATCTCTTTGCTATAAAATACCAGTTTTAGAAAATGGAAATGTTACAAATTGATCTACAGCATGTGTTTTTGAACAATTGTTTTTTTTTATTAATAAATTTAGCAAGAATACTGTAGAGCGCCATTGCTGCCCTTTTCTGTGAACTGCTAAACATAGAATTTATTCTAAATAAGTAAATGAGTTAGAGTTTTAATCAAAACATTAGACATTTTTAGAACCATTGCTTTTCTGTCACCAAGAGTTTAAAATTCAGTTAAATATTGAATACTCTATTTACTTATTGAGGTTTTTATCTATTCTTTTAATTATATAATTAGTTGTTTTTTTTTATTTCAAGTCATCATGCCATTGAACTTTATATAAAAGAAATACATGTATTTAACTGAAATTTTCTATAAATGAACTTAGATTATAAATATTATATGTTGTCAATTGGCATATATCGGTTTTAATTTGTTACCCTACAACCTAACTTAGAGTTGGACACTTAACTGAGTTTATCTGCCACATTTCATGTGATTTCACAATTCTTCCTTGCTTATTTTTGATTAAAACTCCATTAACTAATTTATATATTTACAATTTTATTGTATCCATGATACCAGAGGCATGTGTATAAACCAACATTAGTATTAGCCAATAACCATTTTAGCTAAGTCTGGAACTGGACTGAAGTTTATAAATTTGTATTTCAGAAGTAGTCTGGAATATAGTCCTAATCTTGTTTTAAAAGTGTTACTCTAATCCATATTAATTTGTGTTTTCTGCAGGTCAAAGAGTGGTTATGTCTGAATTGTCAGATGCAAAGAGCTCTTGGTGCCTCCGAAGTCATAGGACCTTCCATAAAACCGGGAATAGAAACAAACAAAGGTTCAAAAGAGGAAAGTCTAAATAAAGAAACACCTGACAAAAAGGTGGGAGCCTCAGTGTCGGAGTTATCTCAAAAGAAGGTGAGCTCCACACCTGGTTCTCCTCAGAGGAACATGCATGAGGCTTTAAAACCTGCTTCTAAAGAAAAAGAGGCTAAAACACAGCCAAGCCCAAGCACTGGTCAAAGTGTTCCAAATATGCAAAGTGTAACAAGTACACAGAAACACATTGAAGGGACAAGGAAGTCTGAGCCCAAACACAACGAGGTAAAACGAGAAGCACAAAAGGAATCAGAAAAAACAGCTGGCTCAACATATCCTGAAAAAGTGACTGAAGCTTCAAAAACAACCGAGTCCTTGGGTGGTAAAATGTTTGGATTTGGCTCATCTATCTTTAGTTCAGCATCAAATCTAATATCATCTGCTGTTCAGGAAGAATCACGGACTACACCACCTGCTTCTCGTAAAATGTCTGCACCACCTCAAATTTCTGGCAAGTTGTCTGTTTCACCCAAGATTTCACCCAAAACTACACCACCGGTTTCTCCCAAAATGTCCCCAAAAAGAGAGCCAAATGTTCTACCTCAAAAATCAGAGCAGGTAACAAAACCAGAGGAATCCCATCAGAAGAAAGAGGAGAAATCTACATCACAGCCACGTGTAGGAGTAGACCCTTCAAGATGTTCTGATGGAGGTGTATCTACCTGTCCACTGTGCAAGGGGGAGATGAACATTGGCTCAAAGCACCCTCCAAATTACAACACCTGCACTGACTGCAAAACTACAGTCTGCAACCAGTGTGGTTTTAATCCCATGCCTATGGGCGAGGTAAGTACACAGAGACAAACAAAGCCCCTCTTATAAGAAATGAAGTTATTGTTTTAACTGCACTCCTTTTCAGTCTTTGAGAATTTTAAAGTTCGTTCTAGAAAAAAAAAAATATGATTTTGTGTTTATTTGCATTTTAGGAAAAAGAATGGCTGTGTCTTACGTGTCAGGTGAAAAGAGCAGTTGGACCCTCTGTACCATCAGGGCCTACTGCTTCAAAGGCCCAAACTTCACCCAGTAAATTTCCCTCACCTATGTCTGCTCAGCTGAAAGACCCCTCCAAACTCACTGCTACTCTCAAGAAGGATGATGTACATAGTGTAGAAAAATGCTCTGAGCCATCTGTACCTGATGGGAAAATTCCTCAAGAAAAATTAAAAGCAGATGAAAATAAACAATCAAATCAGGCAAATCAAACTGAACGCAGGCGGAGTAGCACTACTTCAGGAAAACAAGAGCCAGGGGGCTTTTTTAGTTTTATTGAATCTAAAGTTCAGCCTGACGCAGCAAAGACTGCAGAGTCAGCGAGTGTGAAGATGTTAGGGTTAAGTTCTTCCATTTTTGGCTCTGCTTCTACGTTAATAACCTCAGCTGTGAAAGACCAGCTCAACACAACACCACCAGTTTCTCCAAAGATGTCTCCCTCGAAAGAGAAAAAATCTCCAGCCTCTCCAAAAGTAGACCAGGGGAGAATGTCAGAACAGGAACGGCAGCCAGAGGATCAACCAAAAACAAATGAGAACAAGCCTTCTACTTCCCAAGAACCTGACCAGAAGAAGAAAGCAGGACCATCCTTGCAGACAAAGACTCTACCACTAGCACAGGACAAAGTGGACATCAGCCAGTCACAGCTTTTAAAGCCTGAAGTAGATTCTCAAGAAAGTATCAAACCAGACCAAGCCACCTGTCCTCTGTGTAAGATCAAACTCAACATAAACTCGAAGGATCCGCCGAATTACGATAACTGCACTCAGTGCAAGAACAGAGTGTGCAACCAGTGTGGATTTAATTTGATGCCAAACAATACTGGGGTAAGAGAATGAGTAAAACAGTAGAGTTTGTATTATTTTAAAAATATATTTTACAAGATGATTTCCTTGATTTGGTAAAACACATTTCCAATTCCAAATATTACTTTTATTTAACATTTTTCCTTCTGTTTGTAGGTCAAGGAATGGTTGTGTCTCACATGTCAAATGCAGCGAGCACTTGAAGTAACAGATCCTTCTGGAGGAGTTGCTTCTTTCAAACCTCAGACACCAGCAGAACTCCAAACAGGCATCAGCAGTCCAGTTGTGACTGAAAAGAAAGTCTTATCCACACCAAAGTCAACTGAGAGCAAATTGTCTGCACCTGCAGAGTCAGTTATATCTAAGACGGTTGCTAAACAAGTGGTTGATAAAGAGGCCAACCCAGTTTCTTCTGAGAAAACCCCAGTAGAGCAGCAGCAAATATTAGCTCCCAGCAAATCACCAAGTCAAAAAAGACAAGCTGAATCTAAGCAGAGCAATGTGACTGCAACGCAAAGAGATTCGGGTGGCTTCTTTGGATTAGGCGGAGGGAAAACTAATGTGAACAAACCAGCAGACTCTGTTTCTGGAAAAATGCTTGGCTTTGGCTCATCCATTTTTAGCTCTGCCTCCACCTTAATAACCTCAGCTGTTCAAGATCAACCTAAGACCACTCCACCAGTATCTCCAAAGTTGTCCCCTGCAAAAGAGATTAAGTCCCCTGCTGCCCAGGATATAAAGCAACCAGGTACTCAGCAGCCCAAGAAACCCGCTGTGGTGCAGAGCAAAGCCGACAAGGCTCAGTCAGTGGTTTCAAAGGACAAAGAAAGTGATGTCAAACCCGGGACCAGCTGCTTGCTCTGTATGGCTGAATTGAACACGGGGTCAAAAGACCCACCTAACTATAACACCTGCACTGAATGCAAGAACACAGTCTGTAACCAGTGTGGATTTGACCCCATGCCAAATCAGTTAGAGGTAAGAGAGCTTTCTATACTGACCCTGACTGAATTTTTGAAGAACCCTAAAAAATAGAAGTTTCTGCATCATTTAATTTCTACAAGGACCAATAAACCATCACTGAATTGAATTAAATTGAATAGAACTAAATTGTATTGAATTTAATCTGTGACAATTTTTTATGTTATATTGTGTAATAATGCTATATGCATTTCATTCATTTAGTTTTAAATGTATCGAATGTTTTCTTTCTTTGCTATTAATGTAGCATGACTAACTCAAATGTTATTTTCCTGACAGATGAAGGAGTGGTTGTGTCTGACTTGCCAGATGCAAAGAGCTGTGGCAGCAGCTGACTCAGTACAGCCTCCTGTCTTGAAAGCTCCTGCATCACCTGGCAAAATGTCTTCACCTGGCACTCCTAAGAATGATACGAGTAATCAAAAGAAATATAGTATTCCTAAAGAAGATCCCGGAGTTAGTGGAAAAGCAAAAGAAGTGCCACAGCCAGAAAAACACACTTTGAAAACTTCTTCCTCACTGATTTCTAAAAATGAAGCAGCTGAAGCTGCAGTCCCAACAAAAGATGAAAAAAACAGTTCACTCCATGTTGAGGATGTTTTAAAGTTGTCTGTACCTGAAAGTGAAGAGACAGGGCCTGTTAACTCTGATGTCAAACAATCAATGCCTACTCAATCTCCTCTTATTACCACAGATGAGAATACCCCACAATCAAAGGTGGAATTAGAAAGCAAAGAGGATAAATCCAAACTAAAAAAACCATCTGACAAAATTATCAAATCAACAGAGGAAGAACAGCATTTCGAAGCCAAAACACCCCAAAGGAAAGGCTTGGTGGTAGTTATGAAACAAGATGAAAAGCAGAAAACACATGATACAAAGATACTAGACCAGGAGCCTGAAGCTACTCCAACAAAACAGAATGAAGATGATAAACGTAATATAGATTTGCCAAAACTAAGAGATTCCCAAGATGCACCCAAAAGGCTTCAAGCTGCTTGTCCACTCTGCAAAGTGGAGCTAAACTTTGATGGCAAAATCCCTTCCAATTACAACACCTGTACAGACTGCCAAACCACTGTTTGCAACAAATGTGGATTTAGTCCAATGCCTACCATTTCTAAGGTAAATTTATTCAAGATTTTTGTTTTATATGAATGTGTCAGTTTTTTTTTACTTTTTATATGAATCTATTGGTAATCTGTTAAAAACAAGCCAAGGTCTGTCTCCTTACAAAAAATCTATTATTGCTTTTTTTGTGTGTTTACAGGCAAAGGAATGGCTGTGCCTTAACTGTCAAATGCAGAGAGCTCTTGGAGCTTCTGAACCTCCAGGCCTCCCCATGATCAAAACACAACCTTCCCCAATTAAAGAGATCCCAGCCAATATACAGAAGAAAGAAACCCAAAGAGTAGGTGTTTCCAAGGAAGAGATTTCTGACCCAGTGACTCTGAGTAATGACTTTGCTAACAACATTATTGCCAGAGAAACAGAAATATGTCCTGTTAGTGGAGTAGCAAAAGAGGATCCTTATTCAACTGTTTCAACTGCTGATAAAAGTGATTCCCTGACTGCCACAAAAGCAGATGGTTCAACAACTTTACAAAAGCCATGTTTAGATGAGACAAACGCACTGCCAATTGCAATAAAGCAAGAAACTGAAAAAGTTCCTGTTCCTAAAACTGATGTTTCAACAGATCAGCTGAAAGGAGGCTCATTATTCCAAAAGCCTCAACAAGCTTCACCTGCAAATGAGTCTGTTTCTTTGCCAGAACAAAATAAGGTGAAGCAACCCCCAACACAAACTCCAAAACCTGAGAGCTCTGCCATCAAGTCTGCACCACCACCGGTTCAGGCTGTAAAAGCAGAGCAAAGTAACTTCTTTGGTTTTGGTGCTCCCAAAACACAGCCTAAAGCAGCAAAACCTGCAGAGTCTGTGACTGGAAAGATGTTTGGCTTTGGTTCATCTTTTTTAAGTTCTGCCTCTAATATGATAACTGCAGCTGTTCATGATGAACCTAAAACTACGCCACCTACTCCTCGTAAGATGTCAACCACAGAGAGAGTCTCTCCAAAGCCTACACCACCAGCCTCTCCTAAAACATTACCTGCAATGCCTGACAAAGGACCTCCTGTGCAGCGGAATGAGGACAAGAAATCAGAAAGACATCAGCAGAATAAAATCCCCCCAGCTGAACAAGTCAAAATGACCAAGTCACCATCAGAAGTCTCTAAAGCTCAAACAAATAAGCAAGATACTTCAGAGTCAGATCAGATAATGTGCCCAATATGTAAGATCAAGCTTAATTTTGACACTAAACACCCTGCAAATTACAACACTTGCACTGAATGCAAGACTACTGTGTGCAAGCAATGTGGATTTGATGCAGTTTCAAATATATCAGAGGTAAGAATCATCTCCAAAAAGTTACACTTATAGTTGTTTGATTTAACGTAACCCCATTATATCTTATTCAAGCAATGGAAATTGATGATTACATTTGGTATTTTGTATTCTTTTGGATTATAATTGTAATAACTCTTGTATTCTTGTGCATGAATTATTTGTTTTCTATCTTAGTCCATGGAAGTTTTATCTTGTATTCTCAATATTGACTGTAGTAAAAATACAATTGTTCTTGTGGTTATGATGACCCCTCTAATGTTCTTTTTCCAAAAACTGTTTATGTTATTTGCTTGTTTCAGGTAAAGGAATGGCTCTGTCTAAACTGCCAGATGCAGAGGGCCCTAAAAGTGTCTGAATCCACTGTATCTCCTGGGGGAAAACAGATAAAGAGCGACACACAGCTTCCTCTTGTGCAGAAGGAGAAACCTACAGTAAATAAGAACAATCAGAGAGAAGCCATGAAAGCTACAACTTCATTGCAAAATGCTGCTACACCTCAGCAAGATTCTGTGCAAACATTACCGGTGGTTCCAGGTTCCAACCTGCAACAAGATGAGAAACCACCACAACTTAAGAGTCCTCAAAATGCAAAGCAAGAGCAAAAACCAGATATCACAAAACAAGAGGGTGGAAAACTACAACAACAACCTGGAAAGTTGGTCCCGCAGCAAACCAAAATGGCTCCACCAGTTCAGTCTACTAAAAAAGAATCTGGGGGCTTCTTTGGCTTTGGAGCCCCTAAAACAGCAGCTGCAGCAGCAAAATCTGCTGAGTCTGTGGGTGGGAAAATGTTTGGCTTTGGCTCATCTTTTCTAAGTTCTGCATCTACACTGATAACCTCTGCTGTTCAGGATGAACCTAAAACTACACCACCAACTCCAAGGAAAATGTCCACCACAGCAACCACCTCTCCTAAACCTACACCCCCAGTATCTCCAAAGATAACACCTGCCAAAGAGACAAAAATACCTGCTCCCCAGAAATCGGAGCCACCTCAAGAGGACAAGGGTACTACACCACCTCAACAAGACATGCCTTCTGCACCATCTAAACAGGCCAAACCTACTCCAACCTCTCAACAGGATAAGACTACTCCACAACCATCACAAGATAAGCCTGCTATTCCACATCCACAGGCTGAGCCTATTCTTCCTCCACAGAAAGAAAAACCTACCCTTCCACCTCCACAGGTGAAGACTACTCCACCACCTCAACAAGATAAGGACAAGCCTACTAAACAACCATCACAAGACAAGCCTACTCCACCACCTCAGCAAGATAAGCCTCTGCATGCCAAGCCTAATGCACCTAATGCATCCCAAAAGGATGAGCATATTCCACTCCCATCACAAGAGACGCTTACTCCACCATCTCAGAAGGATAAACCTACTCCAGAACCTTCACAAGAAAAGCATACTCCACCATCTCAACAGGACAGGCCTACCCCACCACCTCCACAAGACAGGCCTATTCTTACCCCACAGCACGTAATACCTACTCCACCACCTCCACAGGCCAAACCTATTCTACCCTTACAGCAAGAAAAGCCTACTCCACCACTTCAACAAGATAAACCCCTGCATGCCAAGCCTAATGCACCATCTCAAAAGGACAAGCATATTCCAATCCCATTAGAAGAGAAGTCTACTCCGTCATATCAGAAGGACAAGCCTACTCCACAACCATCACAAGACAAGCCTACTCCACCATCTCAAAAGGACAAGCCTACCCCACCACCTCCACAAGTCAAGCCTATTCCATCATCTCAAAAGGATGAGCATATTTCACTCACATCACAAGAGAAGCCTATTCTCCCGCCTCAAAAGGATAAGCCTGCCCCACCACCATCACAAGAGAAGACTACTCCACCATCTCAAAAGGACAAGCCTACCGCACCACCTCCAATAGTCAAGCCTATTCCATCTTCTCAAAAGGAGGAGCATATTCCACTCCCATCAAAAGAGAAGCCTATTTCACCATCTCAAAAGGACAAGCCTACCCCACCATCATCACAAGATAAGCCTACTCCACCATCTCAAAAGGACAAACCTGCCCCACCACCTCCACAAGACAAGCCTATTCCGCCACCCCAACAGACAAGACCTACCACATTACTGCAAGAAAAAGAAGAAAAGTTTCAACCAATACCTGCAAAGCTGAACAACATTGTTCCTATACCAGCTGTGTCCACCTGTCCTCTTTGTAAAGCTGCACTTAATGTGGGATCAACAGATACTCCAAATTACAACACCTGCACTGAATGCAAAAGCACAGTTTGCAATTTCTGTGGATTTAATCCAATGCCTCACACTTCAGAAGTAAGTCCAAGTTTTCTCATTTCTGCATTTTTTTCCCATAAATAATGCAAAGATTGGTTATATGAATAACCTTAAATCTTGAATAACAATAGTACTAAATTTTATGGAGAGCTGTTTCTTTAAAAAATATATTAATAAATATTGCTATGAATGGGCAATAAATATTCCATTGAATAAAATGAAATAAATATGTTGAAACAATTTTTAATCCTATTTCATTTAATGAGATTTCAAGATTTTTTTTATTTATTCAAAGAAGTTTTAAGTTTTTTATTTATTTTTTATTTATTTATTTCATAATGGGGTATTATTTTGTGAGACTTTTTTTTTGCAAAGCTACTTTACCTTTACATTTTTCCTTTTAAGCTCCTTTTATTTCATGTTCTTATATTCACGCAAATAAAAGTCACTTAAAACATAATGTAGCTTTACAAAATAAAAGCATCAAAACATAATACTCCATTATGAAATTAATAAATAAATAAATTACATAATTACATGATTAATAAGCATCTGAATTATAAAAAATCTTGAAATATAATAAGGTCAATATTATTTAAATATAGATTTGTATTTAATGGTGATAGCTATTTAATTAATGGAATATTTAATGAAATATTTATTGACAATTTATCAATAACAGTATATTTTACTTGAACGCAAAGTTGAGAGTGCAGCTTAAAACAGAGGCATTGTAGATACTTGACATTTTGGACATTTAAGACTTTTCAGCTTAGATTTTGTTATAGATTGACTTTAAACATTATCATTGTTTGATCTAAGGATATTCTATCATAATCTTTGATTGATCTCTTTAAAAGAAAAACATGCTACATAACCCAGTGCATGAGGGTTGTCTTGTGGCTTTTGTTTCTTGACTCAGCAGGTCAGATTTGTTATGCAACTGCATTGTCGACAGACTGGCAGTATGGAAAAAGTATTAAAGGGATGATTGATGGTTGTGCAACAGCATTAGTGAGATGGGATCTGCTGCCACTGGAGACCAGGAGTCAGAGAACTCCAAACCTTTTGAGAGATTTGAGATGGCAAATCTATGTGATATGCCAATAAGAGGGGGTGAAATTGATTAAGACAAAAAAAAACATGATACATTCCATCTGTCCATCCATCATCCATCCATCCTGCATCACTGACTCTGACATTTCTTGTCAGTCTGTTCTGTCTGGTATCAATGGCTTCTAGTGTTTCAGCTGTTATCCCTTATTTGTATGGCAGTTGAAACAACATACATGTATTTGTTTCTACATAGGCAGCCTATGGCTGATGAATGTATGTGTGCCCATGTCTACTTGTTATTCTTAGGTAGTTTCAGTTTGTTTGTTTTTTTTCAGTGGCATCCTAAATAAGCAAGCTAAAAAGATTTAGTAAATGCATTTGACAGAATATTGACTGACAGATACTGTCTTGGGGATAGGAATAATCTCTGATACACCAAACAACAAAATTCTGAGATCAAAGAAGGTACCAGGTATGAATTTCTGCCTAGGGGAGTTTGTAGGAACCCTCCCTATGTGTGTTCTTTCTCTATATCCTTAAACTTCTACTCACACACACAAAAAAAAAGAAATAAATAAAAACGAGTTAAGCCATTTGCTCTGAGTTATCCTTAGATATAAGTGTGTGCTTATGTGGCTATTTATCCAAGTTCTCCTCTGTCTTTTGCTCAATCTCTTCTCTAGATACAATAGCTGTTACTTTCTGTTGAAAATGGATGAGTGGATGCTGTTACTTTATTTGATTTTGTAGAGTAAAATATGATTCACCAGAACACATTCAGCCTTAATAACAGGTTCTTATATAGAAATATTATAGAACTTGCAGATGTGCACATTGCCTTTTGTTTAATTACACCAGAGAATGCAAGAGCCTAAAAATAAAAACTGATCTAGGGAAGGGACCAACATATATTTCTGCTGTGTTTACAGTGCAGATATATCCCTCTAGGCAAAACAGAATTAGCCAGGCCCTGGCAGAGCTGGGCATAAAAAAAGCTTACTCTCCTTTAGTGGCCTTTATGCTTGCCAGTTTTCTATAGTTACTTTTTGGTGAGCTTTTTTAAACAAGAGTCAGAAATGCACACTTATACAATTTGAAAGGACTTGTAATGTTTGTAAGAGGAGTCTGCCTTAGGCAAGTGCGAGGAGAAATTCTATCCATTTCTCTGTGTTTTCTGTTTTGCTACTGCTGATGCTGTTAAAAACCTTAGACTGACTGTTATCTGATAAGTAGGGCACACGTGTGTCATGACAGAATCGGCCTGTTTGTGGATGCTGAATTCTGGTATGGTAGCTTTATGGTTGTACATTTTGCATTGGTTGAAAAGACAAAAAATCTAATGTCTGTTAATATTTTCAAAGATGCAGAAAATGCTGTTGATGAACAAGGTTACAAGTTATGAGGATTAATATATGCAATGGATGTAAATAAGTGCATTCATATTTGAAATTACAGTCTATAACTAAATACCTTACATGGTATATTTTAGTTAAAGAATTATCTAAAGTGATGAAACAACATTCAAGCCTGAAGTTTTACTGTGCAGTCATGGGTGAAAAGCTTCGGGTTTAGCTGAAGCTACTGTTTACACCTAACAGCAGCTGAACATAGTCTCTTAGGATATTCCTAATCCCTTCAGCAACTGGCAAATTCATGACATAGCTTTGCAGTTTACATTGAACAGCCACTGTAAAATAATAAAAATAGTTATATTCTTTTTCATTTTTGTATTAGATACACATTCAAAAGGTAGTAAGAAATACAAGCAAGTCCTAAAATGTAGTCTACAACATCAAAATTGATCCATGGATTTGCATGTTACGAATACTCATGTTGAGAAATGGCAATCCATAAAGCAGGGATCACCAACCATTTTAAGGCTGAGAGGTACTTCATGTGTGCTGATTCATAGGAAGGGTTACTAATACTGACCTATGAATGGAGGAGTCAGCGTTTACAGCGTTAACTTCATGCATAATAAACATATTTTTATGCTTATTTAAATGTATAATTTTCTTCTAGATATTGTCAGTTTGAAATTCCTATAAATGAAGATTAGAATAAAAAAGAAGAGCAACAGAATAAGATAAATTTTCAAATTTAACCCACTTGTGGATTGTGCTGTCTTCAGAAGATGCTGTGGGCACACTATGTAGTCCTTGAGGGCCCCTTGGTGCCTGTGGGCCCCATGTTGGTGATCCCAGCCATAAAAAAAAACTTTAAACCAAATTGAAATAGGCATTCTAATTAGAAACTAAAGAAACAAAACCATAAAATCCATTAGTTTCTTTCCTAATCTTCAAAATATTATTGATATATTTTTTATGATTAAAAACCTACATAAAAGTATTGATGTGGCAAACTAATTTTCTATTAAAGAGAATAATGAAAATAATTCTCTAAGAGGAAGCAAAGTTTATGTTTTTTTTATATATATATTCCTACATAAGCATTCACTTTGTAGAAAATACAGTACATCATATACATTATCTGCTGGAGAAGTTTTTAACCAAGTTTCTGCATGAGACTTAATTTTTATTATTGCAGCTGAATTCTCTTTTCTACTAGAAATCCGTGTAGAGACTAGCCAGGTAAAAGAAAATGTATTTATATTATTTAATTTATTTCATACAGCTGCAATATACCCCTTTAAAATGTTTTTTTTTTTTTCAACTATAAGGTTACAGTTTCATGTGTCCCTCAAGCTGCAGTCACACATATTACATGAGCCTGTCTCGTTTTTTTCTTTTTTAGATTTGTTTTTTTTTTTACTGTTACTGTTTTCTAAAATATGCTCTGCCTTATAGTGAAGTTTCCTAAAAGAGCTGCAAATGCAAAATAAAACAATCTGCTTATCACAGATTAGCAGGTAAACTTTTACATTATTCCAAGCATTAATATATAAAAACTTTGGAGTTGCATTAAGCCTAGTATAATGTAATTGCCAACAGCACTGCCAAAAAAAATCAATAGGAACCTTCCTGACTCTAAAAAAAAAAAAAAAAAATTACTTGGACTAAAAGATCATAACATTACTAGCTGAATATAGTAATAGTCTCATTTCAGGAATTTCCGGTAAAAACCCTATCTCGGTTTAATTATAAAAGACAAACTTCAAAATTACATTCAGCTGATGCTTGTTTATGCTTTAGCTAACATTCAGAGGTGCAGCAAAAGCTAATCACACAGCAGTCTGTGAGGACATCTTTTTTTATTGCTCTCTGCAAGGAGATCTTGCCTATTCCTCATAAGTCAAATAAAAACAAAAAGGTAATCGTACATTTCCAAGAACCATATAGGTGGTGATGTGGTTAAGATGCAAAAACATATCTAGGATTTGACTTGATAAATTAATAGTAATACTTATAATGATAAGTTTTTTTGTGACTGGCCAAAATATTTCTATTTAAGAACTACTACGCTATGCTGTTAATGCTTTTGGTTGGACAGTGTTTTTGAGTGAAGGAAGTTTAACATTTGCTTTTCAGTATGCTCTTTACTACATATTTAGATGTCCAAGATCAAGAGAGAAGGCAGATAACAATGCAATTCTATCTAGTATTGTAAAACAAGACGACACAGTTGCTCTGTATGATTCTAATAAGCTTTCATCCTATATATATATATATATATATATATATATATATATATATATATATATATATATATATATATATATATATATATATACACATTATATTGAGAGTGGCCCTATTGGGCATGCCCCCAGCATCATAGGGTGCAGAAAGTGCCCTACTTGTAAAGTGATTTGTTTGTGCACATTTGTGCAGTTAAAACCTTAATTTTTGCTGCCATTTTTATGCAGCTGATGGCATCCCCATCTGAGCAGAGTGCACCAATACAACCGAAGAGGACTACATTTTCAGTGCTTTGTTAGTGCTGTTCTTGTTTCTGATTTCAGATCCTTCCATTTGAATCAGTTGCTACATATAGCAACCGCAGAGCATTTTCATCAAAATCTTACAACTGAAACTACAAAGAAACAACATGTGAAACCTGACATTGTGCTCTATGACCATTCATTTCTGGAAAAGCACAACCATCACAACAATTGAAGGCAGCCTTCGCTTCGGATTTAGACACAAAGAAAATATAAACACTAAGGATATTTAATTTTTTTTATTATTATTATTATTTGGGGGGAATAAAGTATTGGCTGGGAATTATGAAATTGGTCATATTATTGAATAAGACATTCACTTCCTGCTCTGAGTCTTTTTAAAGAAATAAAGGTAAATACAACAGTATCACAACTCCAAATAATTCAAGCTAAATTTTAACATCATAATAAGGACTGATGGTGAATAATTTCTTTGTGATGGTGGTGATGAGGTCTAGTGCAGACTACAGATGGAATTAATTTGGGTAGAATTTGGTGATTTCTACAAAGTATTGCTTAGAAACCACAATAGCCCAAATTAAAGTTTCACATTAACAGGGGGAGAACTAAAGGGAGAACTAAAAAAAGTTATCTACATTGGTTTGTTTAATAACGCCATCAGCTGAAATAAAAAATATATTATGTTATAAAAACCAAAGAAGAAAAGTTTTCACTGCAAAAATCATCACTACTGGGGCATTAAAAGAGTAGACTGCTTTGGTTGAATTCCGAGACCAGTGGGGGGATCATGACCTCTGGATTAACTGAAAAAAATAGTGTTTGTTATTTTTAGCAAAAGTAGCAATATTTACCATTTTAACTAACAAAATCTGCAATAATGAAGCACTAATCGTTCATTTAAATTTTCCAAGTTTTTTTCTTGTGGATGGGGTGTCAGCTTCATACGGTTCCCCAGGTAAAGTCCTGACTCAGATCTAAGTTAGAAACTTTGTACATAGCCAGATGATGGCGAGGAGGTTGTTCTGTCCTGAAAGACTTAAAAAGCAACTCAGAAAATGTTGAAAGGGCTTAATACTAATTAGGGATTATTTTTTTAGATTGATTAACAAGAAACCTATGGATAATGTTCATTGTATGAATAACTTATAAGTATCTACGAAGTGTATGAGAAAAAAATAAAGGCCACAGACAGGGCAGCTATATCCTGAAATGCTTTGCACAGAGAGCTCTCCTCGCACAGAGAGCTTTCCTGTCACAGCAGCCCACTGTTGCCATAGGCTGTCGTTACCTGACAGCGGCAAGTAATAACCAAGATGGCGCAAGCACCATGCAGTCAAGGAGAAGTTACGTGACCAACGGAGCAAAAAGCAGTGATCAGAAGAAAAAAAAAAGCAGTGATCATCTGTCCGAACGTTGTTCAGTTAATTGAGTTTGCAATAAAGTTAACTATATACTGTGGTCCCCGTTCTATACAGTGATTGAAGGATTTAGGGGTTAGGGTGGACATTCGGGCACAGTAAGCTTATATGAGCCAAGAGAACGGCAACTTTTAAACAGAGCTTGCACAAGGAGAAATGGGTTCGAGCATGCTCTCGCGCATGCTTTTTTTTTTTTTAAGAGGAGAGGGTGGGTCTTGAAGAAAGTCCTGCACAATACCTTTAAGTTACTGCTATCCAGAGGTGTAAAGTGACAAAGTACAAATACTTCGTTACTGTACTTAAGTACGCTTTTTAGGTATCTATACTTTACTCTATTACTTTTTTTTCCTCCTACTTCTGACTTCTACTCATTACATTTTCACACGAGTATCTGTACTTTCTATTACTTACATTTTTAAAACAAACATTACTTGTTACTCTTGGCTTCAGTTTAATGCAGAGGTAATGGATTAGAGGACTGCAGTCTGGATCTGGATCCCCCTGCAGGCTAATCCGGACCCAGCCTAATTTAAAACATCTATAAATTACCACATGCTGCCTGTCGACAGTGTCTAAACGTCACTTGCGCCGCGTCTCCTCTCCAGACCTCCTGCGAAAAGCAAAGCCTACAGCCTCCGCTGTTCCTCCCGTATTGCTGCCCTCTGACCTATCCTCAGAGCTCGAGGAGAGCACATGCTATATTATCATTAAATTCGTAGGAGAAAAACATGCAGAAATGAATGCTTAATTTAATATGACATATTAAAAAAAATCCCCATCAGCATTCAGCATATGTGCCATTTCTGATGGAGATGAGAAATCTGCTCCCTGGTATGTTGAAGCACCAATAGTTCGCTGTTCTTTTTCCCGTTTGGTGCGATTGCAATAGCGGATCTTGACCTGGCCGGACCGGAGCGGACCCTGCACATTTTGAGTATGTTTGGCTCAACCTGCTGCTGTAAAGCAGGATTCTTCACCACAATGAACACAATCAAAAATAAATATCAATCCAGGCTCAAAATTAGCACCTTGATATGTGCTTGAGAATGACTTTGTCGCCATTTAAACCCAGGTTTAAAGCCTTGCAGGGCAGCCTAAACCCCACTGCTCTCATTAAGCCTGAAAAAAGAAAAAAAAACAGTCAGTTCAGGAGTTTAAAAAAAAAAATGTGAATCAGGAAATTGTCCATAAACCAAACTGAAAGATTGTTGTTCTCTACTTCAAAAAAACTTTAGATTTTAAAATGGAATGATTTTCTATTTTTTATTTTTTTATATATATATTTTTTTATTTATTTAAAAATGAATGTATAATATGGATGCATAAACACCTAATTTCATTTCAGTGTTAAATTCTGTTTAAAGTAACAGATCATTAAAAATGTCTCCGGACATTTACTGGTTGATAAATTTCTTTATACGGACCCCGCTGATTTTTAATTGGTTACCCCGGTTTAATTTTTTTAATCATCGGCGGCATACACATCTAGTGAAAACTAGTGTAATTGGATGAGTCATATAACGCAAACACTCATTGGTTAGCTATTCGTCAAATTTGAGCTTACGCCCAAGGAAATCATCAGAAGCAAACAAATGTTCTTCAACCTGCAAACGTGAATTGTCTATGTCGTGCTACAATGTCGGATTCAGAAAAAGATGTTGAAATGTCTGAAAGGTTGAACACAGGCAAGAGCGTATCGGGAGATGGAGACCAACAAGATCCCCTTCATTCTTGGCCATATCGAAAAGAATTTTTTTGAAATAGTCGTAAAATTGATCTTTTAATTCATATAGTGGCATCTGGCTGGTTGTTTTTAAAGGTTACTTTATACTTTTATATCTTAAGTAGTTTTTGGAGTACATACTTTTTTCACTTTTACTTGAGTAAAGTGGTCAAGTTGATACTTCAACTTTAACCAGAGTATTTTTAATCTGCAGTATCTATACTTCTACTTAAGTAACAAATGTGTGTACTTTTAACACCACTGCTGTTATGTCTGGTGTAATCCCTTCAAAAGAAAATTGTATTTTTGGATCTGTGATGTGTCTAGATCACTGTGAACAGTGATGCTCTAACAATATTATGTTGCTTTTGTTTTCTCTTTTACAGAACGAATGGCTGTGTTTGACGTGCCAAACTGATAGAGCTTTGTCAGGGCAGCTGGGAGACTCAGGAAAAATGTCCCAACCTTCACTTGTGCCAGCCAAAGCTAAAACCCTGGGGACGTCTGTTTCCGGAATGACAGATCCAGAAACTTCACCCATAAAACCAGAGCCCACACCCGGAGCAAAACCCACAAAACCTGTTCCTCCTTCAGTTGAGGATGTACAAACACTTCCAAACGTAAAATCAAATGTAGAACCTGCCAAGATGGAATCAATAGTTACTGTTCCTTCCACAGAAAATGAACTGGAGAGAAAACCCCTAGCCACCATGGCAGATGGTGCATCTGTTGTCCCAGAAAAACTTTCTCTCACAGATTCCCTTCAAGAATCTTTCTTAACAGAGCCTGACGTGTCAAACACCATTTCCTGCATGGAAACTGTTAAAGAGGTTATAATGTCTGAAGTTGTTCTAGAGCAAAAAGCAAAGCCAGAGCTCTCTGTTGAAGGGAGTACAAGTGCTGAGGTGCAGACTTATGAGCATATCAAGCTGATGGACACAACATATTCTACACAGGAGAAAATGCAACCACCCTTGCCAGAAAAGGAGCTGGCAGTAGAGTCAGGGCGAAAAACAGCAGCTGGCAGCAAGGAACTGGATAAGGCGACTGAAAAGGGTGCAGAAATCTCCTCAACTCAACTTTCACAGACACTGTCTACAGAGACCGTAACAAAAGTAAGTTTTTTTCTTAAATGAATATTAAAGTTATTCATACCAAATTGTGGCATTTGGTTGAGAGATTCTACTGCATTTTTGATTAAACTGACTTTAATACCAAATACTAGCTCTATATTTAAAACACCACGGTTCAGCATTACTTTATATTTTCCCTAAAAAAGGGCAGCTGATTTGAAAAGAAAATCCTTCTGTTAATGTGACCTTGGGTTTGTCTTAGAGCAGGGGTGTCAAACTGGTTCCAGAAAGGGCCGTGTGGCTGCAGGTTTTCTTTCCAACCAAGCAATAGCACACCAGACTCCAGTCATTTCATAATGTCATCATGTTCAGATTGGACTCACTTGATGAGATGATAGGAGTCTGGTGTGCTATTGCTTGGTTGGAAAGAAAACCTGCAGCCACACGGCCCTTTCTGGAACCAGTTTGACACCCCTGTCTTAGAGTAAATTATAATTATTCTGTAGTCATTCATTCTGTGGTCAAAGGAAAGTTCCACATGTGAAAAATAGTGGTGCCACTTCAATTCTGCTCTGCTCAAGGTGGGCACACATTTGACTAGATTTTAATTTTTTTATGTTTTTTGTTTCTGGTGTGAAAACTGGAATAATTTTGACAATTTGTTTTTTTTTGTATACTAGTTATAATGCATAACCAGAGCAACCATAGCAAGTAGTTTTTTTTACACCCAGGCGCAGCTTCTTGAGAGGACTCTATCTTATACTAGAATTTGGAGGTGTAGAGTAAAAAGTAATGATAAAAGTACTATCTCCTGTGGTGCTTCTGTACTGTTGACTACCTGTTTAGAAAAGTGACCCTTCAGCTTTGCAGACCGTGGTCATTTTTTCTTGTAGTTTTTTTATCCAGGCAGTTGTTGATACCTCCACCTGAGCCATCTTGATTTTCTGATAAAGTCAAGCTGAATTGTATTAAATGCACTGGATAAATTATAGAATAATCCTCGCAGTACTGCCTGCCTTTTCTATTGCAGGAATTCTATGATGGCATCTTTAACTCCAATATGCAAACTGCAAAGGTTACTAATAACTGCTTATTTGCTTGCTCACGTGGTCCGACAGAAGTATCTCTGGGACCTTTGTTTGTTATGTGTGATATCATAGCTAATGGTCTAAAGTCATTGAGGACTGTTGGCTGAGTTTCTTTGGTACTGGAAAAGACAGTAGGTTTTCTACATTACTAGAACTGTCTTCTTGTTCAGACAAAGGATGAAGGGGGTCTATACACTCCCACAAGAGCTGCTCTGCACAGTTCTTTAGAACTCTGGGGATGACACCACTTGGACCTGGTGAAATATTGCAATTCAGTCTCCAGCTGCCTCTTTATTTGACATACACAGACAGATGGGTTGAAAGCGAATTGAGCAGCACCATAATTTGATTTGACTGAGAACAAATGCATAGAAGCAGGAGGGTCCATTTTTGATTGACATTTCAGGCGTGGCAGAGAATCTTTGGGTCAAAGGAGGGCGGAATGCCTGTTCCATTGTGGGCATTGAGAGAAGGATGTTGAGCTTCTTCCTGAACAGAAGTTATTGAAGAAAGTGCTTAAGTCAATTGCTCTTTCTAGAGTTCTCTGATATTCTTCTGTATCTGCCTGCTTCCCAGCTTCTCCCTGTATATCTACTTAGTCTCTCTTATTTTGACTTTAATTTACTCCCGTATTTACCCCTCAATAAGTCCTTGTCTGTCTTCCTGAAGAATATTTTTTCTTGTTATCAGTTCCTCTAGGTCACTGGTGATCCTAGAACTATTATTTGGGGAATGTTTTCACTGTTCTATTGGGGAAGTTGTTATCTACACAAAAATGTATGTAGTCAATTGCATTGATGTGTACATGATGCTTTCTAATCTATAGCATCAAAACCTTGCAGTTTGTCTCTTATAGAGGTGGTTATACATTAAGCAGAGAAAAACAAGAATGTAAACTGATTTCCCAAGGGGAGGTCTCACATTAGAGACATAAGAGTCCCTAACATCTGCATAAAGCAAGCACAAAGTTTCGTTTTCTCTGGTAGAGCAGCTGACAAACCTTTGAAATGTTGACACAGTTGAGAGGGAGGTATGCATAAAATCAGCAGTTATTGCCACAAACACATTTGGCTGTGGTGTCTGTAGCTTAGCAACAACAGAACCGATCACTACACATGCAAAGTAATGTATGTAAAAGGTTACAAAAGGAACACTGGTTAACTCTGGACAATTAATACAGAAGAAAACAACTGTTAACAGTTTAATAACTGGGCTGCAGAGACAAATCTTCACAGTATCATATCCTAGCTGACACCCTCTGTTTTTCAAAAGCACTGCCAATCGACCACCCTTTAGTTTACCAGCCTTCTTTAAATTTGCCAGAAAGCCTGGCAGAGAGATGCTGCAGTCAGGGATATGATCCTGCAACATTTCAGTAAAGCACATAGTACTTCATTGCCTATATTCTGGCTGGATCTTTGCTGGGACTTGCAGTTTTTCAAAGTTGTTTGTAAAGATCACACAATGCCCATAATTGATTGATGGAAAATGCAGGTTAAATTTCCTGCTCCTCTCTCTTCTTTCTCCTCCTGCCCTGCATTCTCAGCGCCTCCTTTTCAACACAGCTGGAACTTGCGGTATTTGCGGAAGAAGTATTATTTATTATAAGTATTCTATTTTTGTAAGTTTTATATCAGCTTTAGAGATGTTGATAAGCTGCTTTCAGGTGTAAAAAAAAACAACTTGCTATGGTCGCTATTGTTATGCCTCATAATAGCCAAAAACCTCCAGTTGCAAAGCATTAAGCCCTAGAGGTGAAAAAATAAAAACAACTGACTGATCCACAAACAGAGGAGCTGAAGTTATCTTAGGAACATTGGAATCAAGCTAGCATAGCTACGCCAACATGCAGCCACCTTAAACGGGGAATTCTTTAATTAACTTATTTATTTTTCCTTTTAGTAACAGTGGAGAAAGACATTGAATCTAACAACAGCAATTACTTTTTTTCTTCTTTTGACCTTTTTAAACATTTTCTCTATGAAAGCTTAATATAGCTTATAGCCCCATGTCTGAAGTACTGCTTTGTCTTAATAACCTATAGAAAGGTGAAAAGAGGACAGAGGGAAAACTACCAAAATATGTATGGAAAATGGTTTTAATCTGATTCAATAAGTACAACCAAATACAATTCTGATTTATATTTCAGATTGCGTTACCCACTGTTTATATAAATTCACACACCAACATACTGAATAACATTTTCCTCTGCATTACAAACTTTTTTTTAAATCAGTTATTAATATGAAATACACAGCTAAAAAAATTGAACACTTAAACAACACAATATAAATTGAATAAAATCAAACTTCTGTGGAATCAAACTGTTCACTTAGAAAGCAACACTGATTGCCAATCAATTCCACGTGCTGTTGTGCAAATGGAATAGAACACATGTAGAAATTATTAGCAATTAGTAAGACACACTCAATAAAGGAGGGGTTCTGCAGGGGGGATCACAGACTTTTGTGAGACACTTTTCAATAAAGTAGGGGATTAATTAAAAAAAATTCATTTGATTTTTATAAATCAAAGTCACCTGCCCAACAGCAATGATGAGCTGCATGGAATTATTGTATCTCAAGCAATTATAGTATCTAGTCAAGAGCTGTCTGTCTGGTAAGGAATCTGGTTGTTATTTGAAATTGTAAAGGTGCACTGTTGAATTGCAACATAAAACTGACTAAAACCTGACTAAGGCCCCGTCCACACGAAGACGAACCCTGGCCTAAACGCACAAATTTTTCACCAAACCAGCCTCTCATCCACACGAAGCCGGCATTTCGGGGGTCTGTAAATGATCTTTTTTTTATTCAGCCTTCAGAGTGGGAAGATTTCGAAACGCCGTTTTCGCGTTTCCATCTTTACGCTCTAACCGCATATTTTTTTTTACACACACACATGCGTCATAGCGTCGCCTCTAAACACGCATGCGCGACCAGTATCACAACAACAATGGCGCCGTTGCTGCTAATGCTACTCACCCTGCTGTCGGGCTTACAACAGAATCTTCTTCTTCTGGAATATCTCCAGGAAGAACAGAGCAATATCGACGACATAGTTCAGCACCTGAATTTGACTTAACCATGAAAATGGACCCGCAGGGCAACCATGTATAAATATTAGTGCGCATGCCCAACATTTCGTCGCTTATTTTTGCTTTGGCACCACAGCGCCACTTACAGGCCTGGCATACATTTTGCAGCGTTTTCATGCATTCGTGTGGACGCTCACATTTATTTTACGTCTCCGTCTTTACGGCAAACGTTTTGGAAAATATCAGCGTTTCGTGTTCGTTTTGACTTCGTGTGGACGGGGCCTAAAACCTTCTTGAGTTTTAGTTGACCAAATCTGGACTAAAGCTATCACATAAAGTAATGACTAAAATGCAACTAAAACTAATAATAGTTTTCGTCCTGAAGACAACATTTAAGACTAAATCTCAGGTGGCTGTCAAAAACCAATGGCTTGAGGTACTAACAGGAGACAGGCCAGTACACATAAGTTATGGAGGAGGCCATAGGAGGGTGACAACCCAGCTGCAGGACTACTACCTCCGCCTTTGTGCAAGAATGAACAGGAGGAGCACTGCCTGAGCCCTGCATAAGGACCGCCAGTAGGCCATAAATGTGCAAGTGTCCAGGCATCCATTGGTTAATACATTTGATTGCCGTTGATTATTTTTATGTGATTTTGTTTTGAGCACAATCAACTTTGAACAGAACAAAGTATTCAGTGTATATATGCACTGATAAAGATGAAATAATTATTTTTTTTGGGGGGAGGAGGGGTATAATACCAGATGCTGTTGAATTTTGTTTTTTTTTGTCTCCAAATAAATCTAGAAATATATTTGGTTAGCACCACAACAGAAAAAACAAATGTTTTTCAAAAGGACTGTATATAAACCGTCACTGTCTAATGTGGGTCAGGTTTATTTAGTCCGTTTTTTTTTTGTGTGTGTGTGTGTCTCAATTTCTCATTTTTAATAATTAATTAAAAATTGACTAATATTTTTCATATATTTATTTTTAGGGTTCAGGTGTCACCAATGAAGATCCAGCAGAGGAGAAAAAGGTTCACTCTCACACTGATCAAGGAACAAATAAAGCCAGCTTGGGAAAAGAAGTGCATGATAAGGATCAACCCCTGATTATACCTCTACTTCAGGAACAACCTGAGGGGAAGGTACATGACCAAGACAAAGGTGATTCTAGTGTGGATTATTCTATGCCAGAAAAGGAGGGAGTTAAACCAGAGAGACGGCGTCTTAGTTTCCAAGCAGTGGAAGAGAGCAGTGAAAGTGAGGTGACACCTTCCTCATCCCCTAGAATGCAAACAAGGATCTTAAAGGTCAGCACTGTTTCATCCAGCAGTGAGGAGAAAACTGAAGGGGCTGATTCTTCCATTGAAGATGATGAGTTCATCCGCAAGCAGATTTTGGGTATGGGTGATGAGAGCTACATGTCTTTATCAGAAGATGAGAAAGAAAACACTTTGGAAAATGTGGAAGCTTTGAAGGACAACACACTTGACAATGCATCTATAAAATCTAAATCTTTGTTTAACAAGGATGAAGTGGATCTTGACTCTCAAATCCAGACCGAAGTGTCCAAGAAGGATGATACAACTTCTCAAAACATTCCAGAAACTGTTCCAAATACTACTTTTAAGAAAGCTACTCCTGTAATGAGGCAGCGACAAAGCACTGATGAAGAAATAGAGAGTATCACAGAATCATTGTCAAAGGGTTCATCCAGTGTTCAAGTTTCAAGCATTACTCCAGGGTCTTCCCCTACATCAGTTTCATCTTTGGAGGAGGACAGTGATAGTAGCCCATGTAAAAAGAAATTTAGTCAGCAAAGACAGCATCGTAAAGGTAGACACAGTCAGATTAAGCCTCTCTCTATTATAGATAACTCCTCTGATGAAGAAAAGACAAAGAATCATGAAAAACATCTGTCTTCACTCAGCGATGTGTCCTCTACAGAAGATCTACGACATGTGACTGTCATGGATGAACGTAATAAAAAATCTGGTACTGAGTGTTCCGCCAGTATAGAATTTGAACCAGATATTAAGAGGGCTGTACAAAAAGGACGGAAACCTTCAACAACAGTCATACCTTATACCCCTTCTGATCAATTTGAAGAAAAAGGCACAGTAGGAAAATCATTGAAGAGTGCTGAAGAAGCATACGAGGAAATCATTCAGAAAACAAAAGCCATTCCAGGAGAAAGTCCCCCTGATATTGAACCACTCTATGGAGGACTGGCAATAGAGGACTATCTTTATGAATCTTTAGTGGAGGAGCCAGAAATGAAACTAAGCGAGACTCAAGATGAAGAACCCCAGTTTGACACAGCTTCACAATCTATTAAAAAGCTCAGATCCCCAGAGGAGGTTTATGAGGAGATGATGCAAAAGAAAAGGGAATTGATGATGATAGAGCAAGAATTTCAACAGGCTTGGACAGCAATGGATTCTTCCTCAATCGAGGCTGTGGTTCATGAGCTTCCTGTTGACGCTGAAACTTGCGTGGTGACCATATCTAGTGAAGATATACCTTCTGAAGATACACAGATCACTGAACAAAAGGATATATCTCCTTTAGTTATGGATACTTTAAGTGAATTACCAGCAAAGAGAAAGAAACGTCCAGCCCCCCCACGCCCCTCTGAGCCCCCTAAGCGCACTGATGTAACAGTTTTTCATAGTGCTCCCAGTGCATCCATAACTTTTATCAGGCCTATGGTTCCTCAAGATCCTGCACTTAGAAAGGCATTGTTCCCAATACCAGACCTGAAGATTACTCAGTGCTCATCTGGTGAAGAAGAGGATGATAGTCTTGCAGATGAGTATGCCATAGGTATTTCCTCTGATATTACTCCCAGTGATGATTCTGAAACCAACGAGGATCACTCCATAAGTCCATCTTTGTCTGACTCTAATGAGATAGAGCCTATAGGTGTTATATGTGAAATACCAGAGCCAAAACCGATTCCAACTCCTATATCAGCCCCAGAACTAACAACTACACCTTCATCTGTTTCACCAATATCTCCCCCAACATCACCAGCTGCTCCAGATTCAAGTATGGCTTCAAATGTCTCATCATCCTCATTTCAGGCTCGAACACCGATTTCATCTGATTCAACTCCACTGTCCACACCAACTCTTCCAACTTTAATAAAAGATCAGTTAGTTGAAGAATCGTCATTGTCTAATACAAGCGAAGTAATTTCGTCAAAATGTGTTCCTTATCCCCCCTCAGTGACTGTTATAGTCACAATTCCAGATATAGTTTCTGATCCATCTAAAGTTCAAATGACAGAGGACCTTCAAATTATTCCTTCTTCAGCAAAAGTCCAACCCCCACCTCTGTCTGAGACTTTATCTGCTGTAACCCCTAAAGTTCAAATGCCAGATTTGGTTTCCACTCCATCACAAGTATCAATAAACATTGAAGCTGTTTTACAAGTCTCAGCACAAAGTCCACCCCCCATCATTGTCTCAGCCCAGCCTTTAGCCCAAGACATAGCTACACCTATTGTTGTCACAACAGCAGCTTCATTGAACACAATCTCATCTACAGCCTCTGATGTGCCATGCCCCGAGCCCTTAACAGTCCAGATGCCAGATTTGGTTTCAACACCACAACCAATCTCAGCCCTAATTACTACACCAACTCAAGCCCAGGCCACCGTAGTACATTCAGTCCCTGTACAATATTCTGTTCCATTAATGAGGACAGTGGTGGTCCCAGCAAAGGCTCAACCTGACCAGGGAATTATATCATCTCTGGCATCGACTACTATTGTCAAAAAGAAAGTTCCTCCTCCACCCCCTCCTCGATCCACTTCAGTTTCATTACCTGAGACCACTAACGAGATGCCTCATGTAAAGACTGTTATACCAGCTGTAGCAGCTAAGGTACCTGCAGTGACTGCCCCGCCAATGCAATCTGTCGTTGTAGATATACAACGAAGAATGGAAGTTGTGCAATCAGGGAATGTACCTGTTCCCCAAGTTGTGACCCCAACCAGACAGGGCCATGTAGTCATTATTGTTCCAAGTATGGAAAATAAATCTCTTCTTGAAAAAACCAAACTGAGTAGTTATGATGCAGAACCAAACGTTGCTTCACACATATGTGGTAGTCAAGAAACTACGAATGATACAGTCAGTACAGACACTTCAGGTGTGCCTTTGCGCTCAGCTCCGCCACTTCCACCTAAACCTACATATGGGGAAAAGGTTGTATCAACTGAAGAAGTACCCCATGTTGCAGCCAAAACTCTATCATACCCAACTTCTGTACCTGAACTAACTGGAAGCACTGTTCCCACTCTAGTCACAAACACTATAGCATCAATCGACACTGTTTCTGGAACAGAGTCAATTCCTTGTCATCTTGCTAAGCCTCCCCCACCCATACCACCCAAGCCTGTTTTAATTCCAGCTGGCCTGGTTTTCACCCACAAGCCAGGCGAGAATGTTAAGCCCCCTCCTCCTCTTGTTGCACCCAAAGCAGCAACACTGCCTCGGATGAAAGAACCCCCAAAAGTCCTGTCACTTAGCCTTGCAAGACCTTTGGAAACTAAATTGGGTGCAACATCTCCCAAGTCACCTGTGTCCCCTAGACATGCAAAATGTTTACAGACATATGTGGTGATTACTCTACCATCTGAGCCAGGTTCTCCAACAGAGACCATAACAGTTCAGGCACCTGTGAGGCGAGGATCAATACCCCCTTCTACAGGATCAGACATTCAAACTACACTACCAGAGCAGAAGACGCCCACTGAGGTCCTTTCAGCACAGCTTGCAGTTAGGCGGGCATCTGTACCCACTGTAACCCATCAACCCCAGATTAAAAAAATATCAGCTACGGGAGCAGAGGAAGGGAAAACATCTGAGATGGTGACTGCCAAAGTGCAAATGAGGGAAAATTCTGTGCCCTCTGCTATACACCCACTACTTCCTGTTGCAGATGTTATAACAGTGTCATCGGATCAAAATGCCTGCATCATGGCACATGCTGTAGCGCCTACTATCAAGAAACCCTTTATGAAGCAACAAGAGTTAATTAATGAGCTCCAGAAACCTCCTGATCCAACAACAGAAGTAATGCCAAAGCCTACAGGGCCTATAGGTACTCTCGATCTGACACACCAATCCATTGTAATTGATCAATTTCAATCAAGTGTATCTCAACAACCTTGTGTAATAACAGAAATTGTAACAGTTTCTCCAAAAACTTTAACTGAAGATCCAGTTTTTCAGTCAACCAAATCAATTGCCACTGTGCAACCACAATGTATAGGGGAAGCTGTTGCACCACAGCAGCCTGAAACACTTTTAGAAGTAGTTGTTCATCATAGACCACCTACACAATATCCAATTGATCATAATGAGAAATGTTTAGCACAAACAGATGTACAGGGTGTTGAGAATACAAAACAAGATGTAAGTAATCATGTCCCAGAGGAAGTTCTGATTCCATCAGCAATGCCAGACAACAGTCATAAAATTGCAGCTGAAGAAGCAGACACAGCAATTGAAGTGGTTGTACACTCTACAAAAGAACACATACCAGGGAATTCTAAAGATGCATACTCCCTATCTGAACCTGCAAATCAACAAATTGATCAAATTTTAGAAAATTTGGTTGTGGTGACAGAGCACCAATTCACACACAAGTCGAAGCTTATGGCTGAAGAGATCCCACTGCCTACAACATTTGAATATAGCACAGAAGATGTTTCTACTGACCCTGGTGTTAAGGTACCTGAGGCTGCTGTAGTGTCTCCTGTACCTCATCCTCTCACTGCTGCTGTGGTTGTGACTATGGCCTCTAAAGTACCTGAGGTAATGCCACAACCTACAGATCATGGTGCTGTGACTATTACAAGTGGTGGTCAATCACCGCCATATCTGTTGCATGGAATTCAAACATACCCAGATATTAGTTATACTCCCCAGCAGTATGGGACAATCACAGTCACAGCAACGTCACATCCTATATCCCTGGAGGAAACACCGTTGCAAACTCAAAACGAAACTCTTTCAAAGTTAACATCCATGGACAGTGGTCACTGGACAAAAGAATCCATTGCCATGCAACAACCAAAACAGATTGCAGAAATAATTAATATGCCATCTGAAAAGGATGTTTCAGCATGTGGTTATATAGCACATAGCCTCTACAAGAAGGAATCCATTCCAATAACAGAACAGCAACAGGAATCCTTGATCTATCCATCTGAATATAATCATCCATTGCAGACAATAACTCAAGAAGCAAACATCATAAGAAGCTCTATACCTTCTGCTCCACACATTCCACTGAGTACATCTGCAGCTCCAGTAACCATCACCAAAATTCAACAAGAGTCAATTGAGAGTCAAGAAATAAGAGGATCAGAAAAGCTGGTATCTAGTAGGAGTCATATGTATTCCTCATCGATTTCCACCTCAGGCAAGCCCCCTGAAAGCTTATCTAGTCGGGTCACTCAAGTGGTTACCACCGAAGTGCAACGGACCACTGTTTCTGTTGTCCATGAAAAACTTCAACAGGTTCCTCCACAGCCAATAGCAACCACTATACAACCAGACATATCAAAAGTTCAAACTTTGCCTAAACAAAATAGCAAGATTATGTATCCTGGGGATGTTATTGATTTACGTACTATCAAGTCTGGCATAAAAATGACCGAGCAAGGTATGGACCTGACACAAACTGAGTCTAGTCGGCAATCTGTTTCTTCTGAGTCAAGTGGACGTCATATATCTGCAGTACAGTCCGAGATCGTAAATCTTAGTGCAGAGCTTACTCCTGCAACAACACTGTCTGTGGTTACTGATAGTATCACAATAGTCACATGTACTGCAACGATTGCTTCATACAATATTCCTGCAGAGAAACCACTTGATTTGCAGGGCCCTGTTGCATCACTACCTTTGCCTCTCACCACATCAACATACAAACCATTTGAACCACTTGCGCAAATTGTTTACAGACCAGTGAAGACCCCATCTGCATTCACTGATGAAGTATCTACAGCTCAGGACCTACCCATCAATCTTTCCTTTGAAGCTCTAGTCACATCTGGAGGAAAACAGCCATTGACTTCAGCTCAAAAAATTACTGGCAATGAAAGTCCCATTATATCTCTTGAGGCTACAGGAGCCATGGATTTATCAAATTATAAACCAGTGACAGCTATGGTAGCATTGTCTGATACAGGCTCAGGAGTGGTGACCTCAGTTTTAGAGGATGATGGAGTTCCAATTGACCTTACTGCTGGCAGAAGAAGCATTTGCTGTGATGTAATTTACAAGCTACCATTTACTGGAAGCTGCAGAACACAACCTCCAGTAACAACTCAACCCGACACCCATTTTGGCTTCGAAGATCAAGCTGGACTGTATAAAATAAAAGGGACTAATGGAATGAAAGCATCGTTGTCAGAGACCAATTTGACAAACACAGGTCTTCGCTTCTGTAATCTTGAAAATGACTACTTTGGTGGATCTTCTGATGCAGCCATGGACCTAACTGCTGCTAAACTTTCAGCTGGTAAGTATGGAGATCCTTTTCAAGTATTGTGTTACTTTGTTTGGTCTGCATGTCTTTAGACTGACATTTATTAAAATGTTTGTTTTCTCTTTGACGTAGAGCTCATTGCATTGTTTGCATGCTTCCTGTCTTGTCTTTTACACTTCAGTTTTTTTACACTTAAGTTTATATTGAATGCTTTAATTGTTGGATTTGTTTTGTGATATACATATTTTCTACGAATCGAGTAATTTGTTTTCTGTTTGTTTGCTTTTTTCTTCATACAGATGCATGTGTTTGCCTGCGTGTACTGCCCCAATATTTTGGTTTTGCATCTTGCTAACCAAAATACCTCCATATATGCCTGTGCAGTGGACCTTTTTTTACCCCAAATGCATGATCCTGATTACACAATTTAGTTTCGTTGTTTGTGAAATTACTCTAACGAAAGACATATATATTTTGACTTCTGGCAGGTGAAGCACTAGACTACACTAGCAAAGCAACCAGCATCTACTCTGCAATGATTACTGCCCCAATCTCCCAGGTTCCTGCTGGTGGATTTGGAGTAAATAGTGCTTTAAGAACATCAGATGGGATAGTTTATTCCTCAGTTGCAGCACCAGTTCCATCGACATATGCAATTACAACGCAACCAGGCTCCATCTTCAGCACTACTTTTACACCTACATCAACCATGCAGGATCCCTCATTACAGCACTCATATGGTTTTGTTCCTGCAACAGACCCAGGACAAATAGTTCCTTTTGAGGCTGATCTATCAAAAGAGTTTTTCCCTACAGTGTTGGCTGACCTCATAACTGGCTATCCAGAAATGTACTCAGATGCCACCCTTGAAGCCATTGCTGCTTCTTTAGATGTTCTAGCTTCTTCACCAATATTTCCTGGTTTAGACAACACCAAGATGGCCCAGTATCAGATGGAGAGGGAATTTCTAGAATTAGAGAAGCTTAAACAGCTATGTCTTGCTGAGGAACTGGAGTGGGAAAGACAAGAAATCCATCGCTACAGAGAACAGGAGCAACTTATGGTGCAAAGGGAACTTGAAGAACTTCAAGCTCTGAAACAGCAGCTGCTTCTTCAGCAGGAAGAGGAACACCATGCCCATATGATGGCCCAGCAAGAGACCTATGCTCAACAAAAAGAGCAGTTGCAACAAATTCAGCAACTTCAACTCCAGCTCCAGCGGCAGCTAGATGAGCACTACAGCAGTACTGGTATGACAGGAAACCTTTTAGAAGCTAAATATGCAGGAGTGGGGGATAGTGGTCAGTACTGGCCTGTAAAAGATGAGTCTACACTTCCTTGTACAGAAGCACAAACAGAACAACATAATGAGAAGCTTCACATAATTAAGCTGCAAGCTGACCAGGATTTAAGTAAAAAAATCCTTGACAGTGGTGTACAAACAGATGATGAAGACTCTGCGGAAAAGCAACATGTGGGGAGAAAAAAGAAGAGCAAAAAAAACATTGATAGCTTAGTTCAGTCTGATGAGGATGATCTAGATGAATGGGATGCCCCCACCAAAGTTCGACGCCGTTCTCGGAAGCACAGCAGTGATGGAAAGCATGGATCCAAGGTGTCTAGCATTGCCATCCAGACAGTATCAGAAATTTCAGTCCAAACTGACCACTCTGGAACTATGAAACGACCCAATGTCCAAATGGACACAAAGATAGAAATTGTTAAGCACATATCAGCTCCAGAAAACTCTAATAGAGGTGGGAGTCTTAGCTGTCAAACTGACTCAGACAGAAGACATTCACCTATTGAGTTTGAATATAGTACACAACTAACGACAGATCTCCCCTCTAAATCCAAAGTGCACTACAGTCAAGTGTCTCCTATATCTCCAGAAAAGTCATATGGAGGGCAAAGAATGCTAACTGCTGACCCAACCAGATTCTCCTCTGGCCCTAGGAGTTTAAAATCTGGGCAGAAATCTCTGTCAGATCCTAGGTCTCTTAGTCCTTCAACTGAAGACCGAATTGGAGGATATTATGCAGACAGCTATTCTGTAAGTCTTTAAATTTTTGGCAAATAAAACAAATGAACTAATTTATTAATTTTTTAATCATACACATCCTGATGTGTGATTTCTTGTTGTGTTGTAGTGTCGTGGTTCTCCTTCTAGTAGTTGTAAGAAAGTAAAGCGAACCCTCCCAGACCCCCCTTCTGAGGATGACTCTTTGGCAGGAAGATCAGGCTATAGTACGAACTCTGCTCGTCGCCGTCTTGCCCGGAGCACAACAATGGCCCGTGCAAAGATTCTGCAAGATATAGATAAGGAACTGGATCTGGTGGAGAGGGAATCTTCTAAACTACGCAAGAAACAAGCAGAGCTTGATGAAGAGGAAAAGGAGATTGATGCCAAATTGCGGTGAGGTGCTACACATTCCTTGAAACAAATTACCAAGTTATCTAGAAGGATTAATTTTCCACCCTGTTATAATACTTTTAATTTACTTCAGAAAATTAAAAGCCGATCATTAAAACAAAGAAAAAATGAACAGACCATTTCATTAAACCATTTCAGTTTCTTTTCTTTATTTTCATCATCATTCCCTTTTTACCTTAATAGCTTATGGGCTAAAAGACTGCCTTGACAGCACTGAATGAGACCTCATCACTATTAAACATAGTAACAGGTACAATGTGTGAGAAACTGGAAAATTGCGTAACTCTTCAAAAGTGTGTCTTAGGAATTGTCATTACTTGAAATCTAAAACTTTTTTTTCTGATATAGGTATCTGGAGATGGGTATAAACCGTCGCAAGGAGGCATTGTTACAGGAAAGAGAAAAGAGAGAAAGGGCATATCTCCAGGGTGTGGCAGAGGAAAGGGACTACATGTCAGACAGTGAGGTTGGCAACATAAGAGAAAGTCAAGGGGAAGGCCTTGAGAGACCACGAACTGCACCACAGTCAGAATTTGATCAATTTATCCCTCCCCAAACAGAAGCTGATTCCCAGTACAACACCCTTACAAGCCCCTACTCCCAGTATGGTCAGTATGTTCCTCAGACTCAATCCACAAGCCATTACACCCAACAAAATATCTATCAGCAGCAGTCCCTTTACCATCATCAGGTGTCTCCTTATCAAACACTATCGCTCTCTCATTCTCAGGGTCAGCCTAGCAGCTACCAGCATGCTTTACTTTTACAACAGGGAAAACCACGCCAAACTACTTTATCTGATATAGAGCCCAAAATTAGCACCAACTATGAGGTGATGCGTAACCAGCCTCTCCTCATTGTGCCAACCTCTACAGAAAGTGGCTATGGGGTTGCTCACATGGGGGGCAAGTATGGCAACTTAGATTTGAGGTTAGAGGAGAGAAGCATGGCCTCCAGTCCCATGTCAAGTATTTCTGCTGATTCTTTCTATGCTGATATAGACCATCACAATACCAGGAACTATGTGCTTATAGAGGACATAGGAGAGCTCACTAAGGCCTCAACAGGACTTGGCAGCTCTGGATTTAACATCCCTGATAAAGAGCTATCGAAAACGGACAGATTGATCAGGGCAGCAGAAGCAAGGCGTTCAGCAGAGGTAAATGCTTATTTTCTTGTTTCCTTTTCTATTTCACACCATCTGTGTTTTTAACATTTTTGAATATGATTATTACCCCTCTGGTGATTTGGATTTGTGTTCCAGTGGTACTGAGTACAAATGAAATATGGATAAACAGGTTTTTTTATTTTATTGTTTTATTCTATTGTTATCCCATAATCATCATTGAAATCATTATATGAGTAAGAATATCTTCAAACCCCTAACAGACTAAACTTTTACTCTGTTTTGCGCAAATATTTATAGCACTTTAATTGGCTAACAATTTGTCACGTTAATTTTAATCTAGATATAATGCGACAGACCTACACAAAGTATTGTTTTATTTTAATGTGAAAAGAAACACCTTTTGAACACCAGTGTTTGAGGGTTCTTACTTGACCAGATCCAAACTTCTAGAGGCAAATATTGTTTTTCAATTTCTTTGCTAAAAAGTACAACTTAGTGAAGTTGGGAGGAGTTTGACTTTCAAAATTGAAGCCTTCTCTTAATTTTAAATTGGAATTCAAGCTGAAATTGTTCTGTTTCTAAATACATAAATATATATATAGACAATTTTTTTGACTATGTCACAATTATGTCATGTAATGTTCACAACGAACGCGATTTGAGCAGCAGAGGCAGTAGGTTTACAGGCAAAGTCTATGTTGACGAGCATCAAAGCGCATCAATAGGTCCTGCAGCACATCTCGAGCAGCAGGAGTAACACATCTTGATGCATCTGTCCAGCGCCTCACCATCTTCTAAGCATCTTAGGCGTTTGATGCACTTTACAATCAGTAGATACCGGAGCTGGAAAAAATTTAACTTTTGCTGCTCAACAGACCACATCAAACAATCAGATATGCTGATCTGAGAGCTGGCAGGGAGGTGGGCACAGGGCTGCTCATTCAGAGCTGTTAACATAAAGCCATCAAAATTAAGAAAAATCATGTATGTATATATTAAAACGGAGTAAAACTCAAATAGGTTTACATAAAAAGCAAGGATTTTTTTTCATTTGCCTGCAAAGAAAGTGAGTTCTCTAATCCCTCCCCCCTAAACTAACCTAAACTAACTTAAAATTTATAAACTTGCCAGCAAAATATGTTCTTTTATTCTGGTGCTTGAAGTTTCTACCACATACCTGAAAACCGCTAGCATCTGCATCCAGCGACCAGTAGCACTAGCAGAAAACCCCCAAGAGGTGAAAGGGCCTGAGTAAGCTAATGCTGGATTTCCAGTGACATGCAAGTGCAGTTAGTAATAGCGATATAGCAGTTTTTTTTTCCGTTTTCAGATTGTAAATAGTGATGGGGGGGAATATTTTCACCTTGCGCTGTGCTCCACCCACAGAAATAAACCACAATATTTACCAACATGTTTACGAAGAGATCTATAGATTTAGGCTTTTCTGTTTTCTATTTTCTTTTCTATTTGTTTGGGGTTGTTGTCCATTTGTCTGTGTTTATTCCAGAAGGGCACTGTATTTAACTGCACCCACATTTCCCATACTTTCCTGTTCCTGCACAGGAAGTATCTTCACCATGCCTCAATATAGTTTTAAATGTTGCAACTATTTTTTTATGTACAGTACAATGGTAGACTACTTTGTTGGATCTATTTATTCACGTAACCTTAAAATAAACATCAGAATTTGTAGTTATGGCATTATAAGATATTAAAACAGTTATAAAAATTAACAACAAAATAAAGAACCCTAACCCTATTTACATAATTTAACTGATATATATATTTCCTTTACTCTGAAATATTTTCTTAATATATTGACAGATCTTATATGCAAAATCATAATTGCTAGTACGAATCCATTTACCAAAAAGTGCAAAAACGCTCACTCTAATATGAATGCCTTATTTTCTTACCTTAGGTGGCTGAGTTTTTGGGTTCATCACGTTTTGGAAAAGGAGAAGATGATTCTATGGAGGAGCCGTATGAACTCAAGCTACTGAAGCAACAAATAAAGCAAGAGTTTAGGCGAGGAACTGAAGGACTAGAACATTTAACAGGCCTTGGACTTTCTCATTATCTCTCAAGTGATAGTAGTTTCCGTCACTTCCCTAAAGGAGAGAAATATAGCATTGGACGACTCACTCTTGAAAAGCAAGCTGCAAAGAATCTTCCTGCTGCTATGCTCTACCAGAAACAGATGAAGAACAAAAAGGCTTTGCTAGACTCTAAGACCATCACAAAATTTTCTCCTATTCAGGAAAGTAGAGACCTTGAGCCTGAATTTGGTAGCTACATGGGACCTAGGGCTTCGTCCGTGTCCAGTCTAGCAGCTAGGGCCAGGTTACTTCAGGACGAAATTACATTTGGTTTAAGAAAAAACTTGTCTGAGCAGCAAAAATATTTGGGATCTTCCTTAGGAGCTAACCTTTCTGGTTCTCTAAACCTTGGCCAGTCTCTTAGCTTGGGATCAACTATAAGAGGGACCACTCAAGAGGATGGAACATATCCAAGTGGCACTCGATCCCGTCCCTCTTCGCGCCCCTCTTCTCGACCATCTTCTATATATGGTTTAGATCTGTCCATTAAAAGGGATTTGTCAAGTTCCTCACTCAGACTTAAGACAGATGGGGAGGTCCTGGACGCAGCATTTGCTCCTGGAGTCTCTAGAGCAAAACCCACTAGTTTGCCTATCAGCCAAAGCAGGGGCCGTATCCCCATTGTGGCTCAGAACTCAGAGGAGGAAAGTCCTCTGAGCCCAGTGGGGCAGCCTATGGGTATGGCTAGAGCTTCTGCTGGTCCCTTGCCTCCCATTTCTGCTGACTCCAGAGATCAGTTTGGTTCTAGCCATTCCTTGCCAGAAGTACAACAACATATGAGGGAAGAATCACGGACACGTGGCTACGATAGAGACATCGCTTTCATCATGGATGATCTGCAAGGTGCCATGTCTGACAGTGAAGGTAAATGGACCCTGAGACTAATGAAGCAGTTCAATTGTGCGGATCTGCTTGTGATGCATGCTAATGCCGAGTTGTTTTATTGACTTTGTGCATAAACTGTCTCTTTCAAATTGATCAGTCAATTGATTGTTTCCTTTGTTCTAGGAAAAGTTAAATGGAAGTTTGCATGTTTTTTTATTTCCTTTTGTGCTTCCTCTATATTGCCCTCTCACAAGTACATAAAACTCTCAATCTTATGAGTTTATGTATGTCAGTATTCAGTTCGTCCACTTTTGCTGTGTAATTCCATTTGCATGTTTTATGTTTTTTTACAGATAAATTATCATCCATATTTTTAAATCAAGGCAATTTTAGCAAGTATACATGTTTTGATTTATATATCTGCCTTATTTTTGGAGGATTTAAAATTTGACAGATCAGACACACCATATTTGCTTTAAAGTTAATGTTAAATGGAACAGAGCAACGCATTAAAGTATTTTTTTAAATAAGATGGGAAAAAAAATTACAAATTTAGTTTTCAGGTCCTGTTAACCTGTATAAATACCTTAGTTCAACAACATATTGAATATTGCCATTGTCATTCCAAAAGAAATTAAAAACAATCCACTGGACTTGGTTTCCAAGTTTGAATATTGCCATGGCATTGTATGCAATTTGTCTCTCTACCTATGACTAGTTAAGAATAGAAAATCTACACTCAGTCATATCTTTGTGATGCTGCTGCTTTGTGATGTTGATCATTTTGAATATCATTAGCTAAAAGCTTGGCAAGTAAAATGTCTTCAAACACACAAGCTTAAAAATAAAACAACTTGGAGTTGGTCAACACTTTATAGCAACACTCATACACGTTTAAAAGATTTTAATGTTATTAAATCATTTTGATATGGAACATTTTATAATTTATAGGAAGACATTGTGACTGCTGTTTTATAATTCATAAGAACACAAAATAGCCAGTCTGTATTATCTGATTCACAGACTGGCCATGTATATTTGTAACAATAACTGATTTTCTGGTAATGCAGTGACTATTTTTAAGTATCAAGTTTTTTGTGTGACTTAGTCATGTGTGTCTCATTTCTGTTGGTATTTTTCTTGGATTTTTTTTCTGTACTTTGCATCTTTGCATGTTGTGTAATGGGTGTCTTCCATTTCCATGTTAATAAAATTTATATTTTGGGCTTGTTTTTTGTTTTTGTAGATGTCTTGTTGAAGACAGATAGTAATCAACAGAAAATTTTAGCATGGACTATCAATCTTCATAAAATTGTAACTGGTAGTGTTTCATTACTTTTGTCAAACAGTTATTAAAGCAGCCTCCGGTAAGTTTTTTTTCCCGAAGGATCAGCTTAATTTAAGATATATTCAATGATTTTTCAGGTCAATATACATCACTTGGCATGTATCAAGGCTTCAAGTAGTATTCTCTTCTGAAAAAAGTATGTAAAAGTGCATTCACACCAAACGCAATTCGAGCATCAAAGTCACCACTATTGGACACTTGACATATCCCCAGCAATTTGCATGGGGGTGACAAACTCCAGTCCTGTTACATCAAATCAAAGAAGTTTCTATCTGCTGCTTGCTGTATTCAACTCAGCATGGTGGACCTGTATTTTACAGTGCAAGTCACTGTGGGTTATTTATTATGGAAAGCAGAAGTGTGCCCTCGACCCTGGGTTGACAAGATCCTCCAGGGATTAACCCAGTTTATGAAGGCAAGTAGCTAGAGTTGGTTTATGGTCACTTTCCACTGTGATTTCATCTGACCCAGACCAAAAATTATCCTGCTTCGAGGAAGGATCTCCTGAACAACAGAGCTAAGGTGAGATGGTTTTCTGGAACTCAGACAGGAGCCCCGGGATTTCAGAACAACAATCTTGGCAGAGAGTGCACCAGAGCAGGACAGAGGCGGCCAGCTGTCCACTGCTTGGGAGCTGAGGGAGGATAGCAGGAGTTTAGAGGAGGACAGCAGTTAAGCATAGCAATCGACCAGTCGAAGAGTGTGCACCAAAGCAGCTGCTGAAGGCTCTTGAGCTACAGGAGAAGATGAATAATGAATAATTTAAGTCCTTCCAAGTTTAATAGAAATAACTTTTTAAAAGTCAACCAACACCTCATAAGACCATTACTTAACTTAATTTGTAAAGAAAATAAGATTAAAAAAAGTTTAGTCTTTGCTGGGTTCTTCACCCAAAGTCACAGTCACATACAATTCCTGATTGGTTGTAACACCATAAGACACAAACATTCAGATTTTCCAACGGCAGTGAATGTTGCTTAGCATCCATCACAGGTGTTGCATTGCTGAAAGTGGCAACATTTTGCCTGTCACATCTTTATAAATATGTCCATTGCATTCCAGCACTCCTGAACACTGTATAGGGATGACATTTAAATTGATTACTCAGGTCACTGAAAATGCTTTTGATGTGAATGCACTGTTACTGGAGAGGGTCACTATCACTGAATGGGTCATGTTACCCAGAGCCCCTCTTTAACACAGTCTGGGCTTCCCTTTAAAAGTTGTTAGGCAACAAAGCAGTACGATACTGTCCTGATCAGATATACTTTTGGTTCATGGATGTAGTATTTAATCTATAGCAGGGAATGTGTCTTGTCTCCAAGTAACTTCATGACTTTTCAGTCTCCAAATGGTTTGATATAAGATTGGAAAACAAGGAGGGAGATGGCTTATTTACAGTGCAGTGTTGCCTTTCGCCTTTGGGGGTACTAAACCTGGAAGTTGTGGGTCTATGTCCGGTAGTGGCTAAGTAATACACAATAGTGCTACCTGAGAGCCCTGTCACAACTTGATGATTTAGCCAGAGTATGCCTGATGTCCCAGAGTCATCTAAAGAGCTGGCATACGCTGAACTTTCTATGTATTTTTTCAATTTTGGTTGTATACATCGTGTATTCATAACGAGTCCAGAGTGTATGTCCACCAACAGCCTAACTTATGTATAAAGCACAGCAGCGTAATGCCCATGAAACATCACAAGCCAGTGTCCTGAGGGGAAAGCGATGTGCCCGGAGGTGCCCGGCCTGCATAAAAATATTTCTTTGTTTGGGGTTTAACCTAGCTGCTGTTTACAGCCCACCAAAAAAAAGGATACATAAAAAGAGAAAGAAAGATAGAAGGTTTGCAGTTGCTGCAGATTCAGCGTAACGTCTGATAGGAAGTTTGTTGGCCGCAGGGAGGACCCATCACACTCACCATCTCGCTCACCATATGATGTGGATGCAGTCTGGAGGAGTACTGACGGTTTCCTCCTAGGAACCTCCTTTTTTTTTTTACCAAACACTGCCTACAGTATATGCCATTATACAGTAGCTGTAAGTTAGAAGCACGTTCAGCAGTCATCTGGAACACGTCAAATACGTTGATATGCGTTGGAGATAAGTTCTTGATGAGTTACGCATAAGTTATGCACAAGTTACTCATAGGTTTTGGAAAAGCTGGACACCATGACTTATGAATAACTTACACTAATTGTATGTTAATGATCAGATAATTTACCTGCAACTTATGGCCCATGTACGGCATATGCTGGCATATGCAGAGATGGGAAGTAACAAAGTATAAATACTTCGTTACTGTACTCAAGTATATTTTTCTGATATTTTTACTTTACTTTACTACTTATATTTATGGCGACTTTTTACTTCTACTCCTTACATTTTTACACAAATATCTGTACTTTCTACTCCTTACATTTTAAAAAATTGGCTCGTTACTTTAGTTTTGAATCATTTCAATGGAGTTACCGTTATTATTTTTCACGTCATCAATACCAAATTCAATCTAATTGGATGGGAATCTACGTTGCATTTGACGCACCACTACAAGATGAATCGACAGATTCGGCGGTATTCATTCGCGGCAAATCATTGCAGCTTGGTGGCGGTGGCGTTAGCATAGTAGCATGGACGACGAGATGATTGAAAATGAACACAACGGAGATCTAGTTCTATTGGCAGACATCCATTTAAAATGTAGGCAACGGCATGAAAAAAGTGGTTTCTACTTTTACTTTTATACTTTAAGTAAATTTACAAGCCTGTACTTTGTTACTTTTACTTGAGTGAAGAAGTTTAATCAGTACTTCCACTTTTACCAGAGTATTTTTTAACACAAGTATCTGTACTTTTACTCAAGTATGGAAAGTGAGTACTTTTGCCATCTCTGGGCATATGTTGGGAAATGTTGAGCATGCTCAACATTTCTAGACATAGTCGCTGTATGTTGACATGTGCAAGGTGTTTTAGCGTGCTTCCGCGTACTTCAGCATGCTCAGAACTTACACAAAACGTACCCATAACTTATCCAACGTATGCCAGCATTTTTGCCAGATTTTTAGTATGTCAGGCATACACTGGTCTAAATGGTCAAGGTGTGACAGGGGCATTAGCAAAAGCACAAAATACTTTGGTAAAGTGTTTATCTCTACTTCTATGTATTTCAATGGGATTTTAGGTCAGAGACAATGCAGTAATCGAAGAACTAGAGGAAGAAAATTCACAAAAGGTTTTCAGAATGTTTTAAATAATATAAAAAGTATCTCAAAAATATTTATTTAGCTGCTCAGTAACCCTTAATGAAACATAAATTATGTCGTTTTTTGAAGAAGTTCAAGACAGGTTATAAAACAATATTCCAGAGCTTTTCATTTCTTCCAGAGCACAGTACAAGCCATCATCTGAAAATATAAACAGTGTATTAGAACTGTTAACAGAGGCCAATTTTGAATTGGCTCACCACACAGGGTGCCATTTTGTGAGCTAGCAAAGAGATTTGAACAGTTGAGCATCAATTGTTTGCAAACTGTATTGGTTAGAGAATTTAGAAAGAAATACTTAACCAGGATGCCATTTATGCAACAACTCCCACTGTTTGCAAACCTTCGAAAAACATGCCTGTCCTCCTGAGCCCATTCCAGCTCTCTTATTTTGCAAAGTCTACATCATTTCATTTGCCTGCCTCTTTGATGCAGGTATACCAGACTTTCCAAACTGAGGGACAATACTTTTTTTCTTTTGTATTTAAACTGACAATGGAAAAATATAACCAGACAAAGACCATTTATAACTCCGGAAGAGCTGTAAAGAAACATAATGCAGGATGGAGAAACTATTAACCAAAAAAGAACGAACTTTCACTCAGTTTAGAGGTTTATCTGTGTACTTAATAATCACAACAATTGCAATATGAGGTTTGCAACAATCAATTTGATAAATTCCAGAAATATGTTGAAGAAACCCCTCTCTGCCAGCTGAGTCTAAATTTGGAAGCCATATTCAAGATGCAAAATTCTATGTACAGAAAAACACTGTGCAGTACATATAACACTCCTTCCCCAGTGTCAAAGATGGGCAGCATCATGCAGTAGAAACAATTTTCTTCTGTCATAGAAATAAAGCTGATCAGAGTAAACGGATGGAGCAATCTAGGGGGAAAAAAAAGAAAAAATAGTCTTGCAAAAGTCTTGAGACAGGGCAGAAGGTCATCTTCCAACAACCATAAACAAAGATGTGTAGCCGATGGAAACATAGACTAATGCATACTGTGGTTTTTCAAAATTTTAACTAGCTGGCTTGCATATTAAAGCTGGCAAAACTATTTAAAAAAAATTTTCTAGAAAAAAAAAGGACAATCTTGTGTAATTTTATTCCTGACCTTAGGAACAATACACTTCCCTGCTGTGTATCACCTATATCCCCCATTCCCTAAAAACAGATTTGTGGTTGAAAAATGGCAAATACTGTATGTTGAACATTTATAGGGGTTTCAGTTTTTTTGGCAAGGCACTGTATTAGGAGTAATTTCAAGCATGTTTCTTATTGTATCATTTTTTGAATGCATGTTTTGACCAACTATACTCTCAATACAGATATTTACCATAGCAAGCTTTTGTTGAGATAAGAAAATATATTGTGAAAAGAATTCTGAAAAAAAAACATATAACTTTGTACCCCAGCCGGAGGCCCAAACTGGAATATAGAAGGTGAGACAGCATTTGAATTCCATGTAGTTGCGTAGAGACTGTGACTCCATGCTGCACATCATAATTCTGAATGGTCCACTTCTCTGGCTGATTCTTTAAACATACCAGACTCATGCTGGAATGAACCACCCTCTCGCTAGTATATAGTGCATATCATTTAGCATACCTGTGGTTTCTGACATTTTAGTTTTATTTTTGAATGAACTGTACACCTTTTTTTTTTTCCCAGGAATGTCCGCTCTGTGGTTAAGTAAACATTCTGACTCATTTCTTGTAATCATGCTCATGCACAAAAAAGAAAAAAAAAGAAAACTAATGGCGAAATCATGCGTTATATGTTATAAGTGTCCACAAAATCTTGTTTAAAGTGTTACCCACTGCTTTTTTCTCCAAGACATGCAGCAGTTCATTCGCAGTCATCATTACTGCTGCACCTGCTTCGTTGAATAGGATCTCTGATCATATATGATGTTTAGGCATAGTGTGTTTAACCAACCTGTTTTCCTCTACAAATATATCAGGATTTTCTGGGTTGAAAAATGATAACTGTAATACCTGCAAAATCTCACAAATTTTCCTTATGCTTAAAAAGTATTAAGTGCCTATTAGTTGGGTTTAGGAGGGATTTAGAGAACATTACCATCTGAGTTCCTCAGGATTATGTCAACATAATACAGACATGTCATAGTTATAAGGATTTGCATTCTTAACCCAGCAGATGGAAGAAAATGTATTAAGTCATAACTAAGACTCAAAGCAATCACTATTTTAGGAACCCTTTTTTTATTTTTAGATTTGTAAAGCAAGCATTTAATGACAAATTATTTAGTAGAGTATTTTAAATTATAATTTGATTACACTAATAGTCATTTTAGATTAAATGAGACAAAGTGCAGCATTGCTTTAGCAGTTCTAGAGAGAAAAGATCAGAGATCTTCCTTCATTTTAGAAAATGGGGGTTGGTGTGCAAATAACCTCTATAAAAATGAAAAAAATAATTTAAATAAAATAATTTTAAACATGATTCCTCTGTTGATCTTTGACTGATAAGACAGATTTATCCAACTATTAAACTTATTTTTACAAGCTTGGAGTTTGAATATGATATAATTTTGAAACCTTTCTCTACTTCAGCCTACCACCTGCGGAGGGAGGACACAGACTGGTTTGATAAGCCAAGAGAAGGACAGCCTCAGAGTGGACACATGTTAGATAGGAGACAGGTGTGGTTCAAACTTTGGATTCTTGTATAAAGTTGACTAGAATTTTTTAGCAAACCATACATTATTTATTTTAAAAGTGTTTCTTTTAAAATAAAATGCATAAAATCTGTTTCAGATGAAGTTGGTTCCATACACCTTCCCTCACACTCGCATTAAGCTTAAGAGAGACATGACAGACAACAGCGTCTCAGGTAAAGCACAAATGTATAAACAGCATGTATTGTTAGATTGGTTTTATCAGTTGCATGTTTTTGTTATTACAATCTCTTTCTTATATCAGGTAACGGACTTGGACTCCGTGTGGTGGGTGGTAAGGAGATTCCAGGCAGTCGAGGAGAGATTGGAACCTACATTGCAAAGGTTATTCCAGGAGGCATGGCTGAACAAACAGGGAAAATTGTTGAGGGTAAGTCTGTATATGTGTAAAAAGAGCCTTAAGGCCTGAGCAGGCCAACGTCAAGGGCAACTATAAAGCTTTTCAACCGATAGAACAGGATTAGAATCCAGTATTTACAAGTGCATATAGGCAAATTCTGAACAGTTAAGCCCCCCCCCCAATAAAGAGATCAATGGTATTTAACTGTTTAACATTTTTCATTTGTACCATGCAAACTTCAGTACATTTGCTAGTACTGTATATATTTTTAAAACACGTTATCTTTAAATGGCAATGATATAAACCAAAACTTTAGGACTTCGCATGTGTAGAACTGACCCCTGTTGCAAGATTGTATTTTCTCACTGAAACAAATACAATTTCAGTTATATTTAGAGTTTTGTGGTTTTTATTCACTCATAACGTGAAGAAAAATTAGTTGTAAACCCTGAGCAGCTCATTCTCCTTCCAGCCTGTCCTTTAAATGAAGATACAAACATCCATTACAAAGATGAGTAATGAATAATATTCTGTTCTTTAAGGAATACCTTTGCCTCTAGGATACTATTGCATATCTGACGATACAATGCTGTAGGATAATAGAGCTCCTACATCATCTTGAGTTTTAACAACAGATAAGCTAAGTTATTACACATTTGTTGGATATATCTAAAAGGTCAATCAATGTTATGATTCTCATGTGATGCAAAGTGTTTTACACCATTTGTCCAAGAGTCTGCCCTAACCCTTAAATACCTCAATCACTATATTAAGAAGGGACTATATAGTGTAGTTCATAGTAAACTCAGCTAACTGAGAGTTGGGTCAGATGATCAGTACTTTTAGCTCATTGTTGGTTATTTAACTCTGCCTCCATGCACGGTTCTTGCGCGGCCACATCAAATTCCATTATGCTTTGCCAGGAGAGCTCTCCCAGCAAAGTATTCTGGGATATATCTGCTTATCTAGTGACCATGGATGATAACTACATTTTAGGATGCATTTTTGGAAAATGTATACACTGTATAGATTTACATGCATTTAACCTAAAGCCTCTGTATTATGTTAAATAGACTTAAGTTTTCACACCTACTGATTTTTTATGGATTTTTCCGATTATTTATTACAAAATTTTTTTCCTTAGATGTTTCATTATATGTGTGTTTACAATTCAAACACTAAATATATATCACACAAATGTAACTGCTACCTTTCTTAAATATGAGTGGAAATCTGTACCTGTAGTACAGTAGAGGGAAATTATTTAATTTCAGAAGCTTTAAAAAAAATACCATCGAACTGGTAAACATGGTCCAATTGACTGTATCGTGATATTTGGCTGGACTTCACAGATTCAGGTTGACATGCATTTTTTTGAGGGACATTGCATCTAAAAATACCATATGATTAAATCTGTCCCAGCCTCTGTTGAAGCAGTTATTGTATCCATGTTTTTTGCTGGGCTTGTCTAATTCCCAGGTATGTCTCATTAAAATGTGGAAGAATTCTCCCCCACATTAGTACGCTGTGTGAGTCATTAGACTGAATTTAGCTTCACAAATATCCTGACAGCACTGAAAAATGCTCAGATTGAACCCTGGAGATGCCTATTTATTTGTTCTTTAATTCACCTGAAATTACAATCACTGATGTTCTGAGCCCTATAAACCATCATGATCACTTATGGACCATTAAATATAGCAGTGGTTATGTAGCCTATAATTTACTGGATAAAATTTGGCTTATTATAAAGATGGAAAAAGTGAGTATTGCCAGATTTAAAATATTTAAGGAAAAAAAACTATTATAGCACTACTTTTTATCAAAATAGAACATGTCTCTTAGATGCCAGTCTGATGAAATCTGAAAGCATTTGTCTGTAGTTGTAGAATATTCAAAACACCACCAAAGATAACACAAAGGATACATTTTGATCTAAAGTTTGACTATGTTTCTTTGAATTTGTGTAACAGGTCATTACTGCCATTTGTATAGTCATGCAATAGCTTATTACACGAATAATGTGTATGAGCAGAATTAGTTTCATTTAGGTTTTAAGGGGGGATTGTCTTTTATTTTATATTCACCTTTTTCATTATTGTAGCTTTAGATAGAGCCAAATGTGGGTACAAAGAACCAGAAGCAGGGGGATAAGATTAACTGCATTTAACAATAAAATAAATAGGACTTATGTTGACACAATAGAAAAAGGACACATAACAAACATGAGAGAAACAGGCAGAGGGAAGGGACAATCATGTGGTAAACAAAGTGACCCAGTGAGGTTAAACTGTCATAAACGGGACAGATAGACCCAGTATTCAAGGTGAGACAGTCAGTAGGAAAGTTCAAAACATTTTTGTTAAAAACTAACAAACTGAAACAGAACTGAATCGGGCTGCTAAATTCTGGTTTAGGGAGAAACACAGGTAAGTTAAAACGATCGTCTGAACAGGAGATGATTATCACAGTAAGTCACTTACCTGGTTTCAGTCTATGCCGATGCGCTGCCAACGAGATGCGGCCCTGAGCCGTCCAGAGCGTCCCTGATCCAGCAACCCCAGTGTGCAAGCAGGACTCCGATCCAGGACAGAGATTAAGATCAGACTTGAGTAGTTCTGGAATCCAGGAGTCCGCAGTCCAGTCAGGGGTTCTGATCCACACAGGAACGGACAGATCCGGGTTCAAGGAATCTATCAGAGCGGGAGGGCAGGTTCAGAGTCCCTTGTGTTGAGCATCTAGCTCAGACACAAACGCACAGACAGGCAGAATCCAGCAGCAGTCCAATTGTGGTTCAGGTGAACAGATCATGCAGGGACAGACGGATCCAGTGGGTGGATGGGTATGGAATCAGGAAAACAAAATCACTAGGGAAACGCTCTTACCACTGGTTACGGAATAACTCAACTGAGGACACTGGCTTGAGAATAAACTCCTCACTGGAACAGGGACATGAACCTTGGAAATAAACCTAAAAACAAAACTGACAGACAGGACACTAACAGAAGGCAAAAAGGGAACAAACAATGATCTGGCCTCGATTGCTGGAACTGGGCCCAATATAAGGAAGAACGGCATGTGGATGAGATGAGTGACAATTAGGAGCCAGACAGAGTTAAGCAGGTGAAAGGTATGAATAATTAAGGTGAGCTATCAGGGCAGATCATTACATAAACACTGAGACAGGGCTGGAAAATGAAACACTAACAAGTGGAGCTAACCAGAGGTAATTTGGAGCAGTTGAGGCAGAAGACAGGGCAGTTGAACAAGAAAGGATTATAAAGAAAAGAAGTTTAACTTAAAGACACAGAAAGTCCTCTCCAATGGGAAATGAGTTAGCAACAGCACTACATACACTTCATTCAAATTCATAAAGAGCAGAAATTATTTATAAACTAATAAACTAACACAATAACAAGTATTATTATGGCTAGACTGAAACGATCACAGAAAAATAACAAGAAAATACTTAAAATATAGATTTTAAAGAAAACCAAAGCACAAAAGCTTAATGTACAGTACTGAATAAAAACAATGTTTTTTTCTACCAAATTAACTAAACTAATGCAGTACTTTTATGTAAAACAAACAAATTCAAGCATCAACTTTCTATTACCTTGCTTTTTCTTGGGTCACAGTGAAACTGAACATTCTATAGCCAAAAAACATTTCTGTATAGTTTGCACACACAAAAAAAACTCAGAACAAAGCTTAAATGTAAACTGAGAAACACACTAATTTCTTTCACATTTCTTGATTCTCTTGTAGGAATGCAGGTGTTGGAGTGGAATGGAGTTCCTTTAACTGGGAAGACCTATGAAGAAGTGCAGTGCATTATGGCCAAGCCCTGTGCTGAGGCAGAGCTCTGTGTGAGACTGTGAGTAACATCTAGCAGTGCCTCATTTGTACTCATATATTGTAGCAGTAAGGCGACATTGTACCTTTGATCACGATCTCTCCCCCTCGTCATTTTATTTCTCACCCCTTGACCTGTCGGTGTCATGTGAGTTATAAACTAAGGTCCACCAATTGTAATATCGTATTTTTCTCTTGGATTCCAAGCAGTGACCTTAATATGCTGTCTGACCCGGAGCATCCTCAGGCTCTAGAGGACCATGTCAAAATTAGGGCTGGTATGCATAAAGATTTATGGATACTCTATATCTGCATGTATGTCTAGTCTAAACTAAAGAATACTACACAACTTAGGTTATGTGGAATAATTTTCTCATCAGGTGGCCAGCGATCCCCCGGCGTGGATCCTAAACAGTTAGCTGCTGAGCTCCAAAAGGTGTCCCAGCAGCAAACTCCTGACATAGCAGGAACAGGGTCTGGGAGCTTGGGGATTCTCACTGCATTGGAACGTTCTGCCCTCCTTCACTCAGGCCCTGGGTCAGCAGCCTCCAGTGGAGTCCCAAGCCCTGGCCAGCCAGCATCCCCTGCCATCAACAAGAAACAGCGCTACAAGGTAACTCACATCTTTAAAAGACTGCTCAAAGCGGCAATACAATCTGATTTATTTTTGTCAGTCATCATGAGAAAATGCAAAAAAGGCCCTAAATCCACATTACCATGTATTTGTTCGCTAAATTATTACTTAATTTTTCTTTCATTTCAAATAAATGTTTGAAATCATCAAATAAAATATTCATATCAGATGAGGATTCCCTGAATAATAGCACAAAATATTGTTTTCAAATAATGGCTTATTTTTTTAGATAAAAAAACTTGTTTGAAAAACGAGTTGTGCTACCTTTGATGATATTAACTGCCATCTGGTGTTTGCAATGACTGTCTTTCACATTTTTCAAAAATGTTTAATCAAACAGTATTAGAAAGCTTTTCACCGTAAGTTTATAGTCACATTACAGCAACTGAGATAGACCTAAGTTCAGACGCCACTAAAACCTTCTTTTTGTGTTTTTCTGAAGCCATTCAGTGATGGCATTCTCGATATGTCTTTGACAATAAAATATTAATCTCTTTAATTTATGTGTCTAACTGCAAGTAAATCTGGGGTTAGTAAAGTTTTTCAGATCTAAATCCCATTTGCCTCCTGCATGACAGGTATACTTTGACTTAAGGCCATGAATCGATAGCTGTGTATTCTCCTTCAGGATGTTTTGTTCAAGAGCGGATTGTGTTGTTCTGAAAATGAAGGCAAGCTGTTCAGATCCTACTATATAGCCTTTTGTAGAGAGTCAAGTTTTTTTGAATGTGTATTTTTGTTTAAATAATAATGTTATTAACCTTTGCCTCCCTGTTTTTTCTGGGTTTTTTAGACAGGAGAGGTGATGAAAATACCTCATCCCATCACTGGAGAAATTCAGGTAGTAAACATATCTTGAAAACAAATTATCATTAATATTTGTATTTTACTTTTCTAAGATCAAAGTAATAAAAAATGTGAAGTAGTATTATTCACACCACTTTTCCTCATTCTTTTCCCCGCAGCTCCAGATTAACTATGACAGAAATCTGGGAAACTTGTTTGTACACGTCCTACAAGCCAGGAACTTGGCCCCCCGAGACAATGACGGTTATTCTGACCCTTTTGTGAAGGTCTACCTTCTACCAGGGCGAGGGTGAGCACTGAAAGGGCTTCAGTTTTAACTGAGGTCTTGTCTGTGTTTTCCTTTTGATTTCAAGTCTGTCTTATTTTTTCTCCCCCAGTATTTTCTGACTTTGTAAGTGCTCGGTTAACACTGACTAACCCCTTGAGCTTGTTTGGGAAAAGGACATGAGGACATGAGGCAGTCGTTTTCACTTTGTTATTGACTCATTTGGATTTTACATATTCAAAGTTATCCAAAATATTTTCTTTATGTATAGGCTGGAATTCGACACACTTTCTACATATGTAGAGTGCTTTATATCAACATTTGGATCCCATTAACTTTTTAAAATGGTCTCGTTAGAGCAAAAAGTTTATTAATATAATGCAAATTCAACACGTTAGCGCAAGGCACTTTACAGAGACAATCCAATCAAGTCACACAATCCGATTGGTTAAAAGTTTTCTATAAAAAAATAGCCAGCAGATTGCCTTTGCCACATTGACTTTGCAGGATTTGCGACCTCCTGGATGAGCTTGCACTGACAGTAGACATGTTCTTGCTTTGTGTCATTGGCTTTACAGCCGTACCTCACTCTTAGTCTGAATGCAGTGACAGTTGAGAACAAAAACCCCCTTTTAACAATAAGAAGCCTCTTGCAGAACTTGGATTAATGCAATTGGCATTTGAAATAGACAGAAGCAAACATACAAGGGGAGCATTAATTAGAAGCACTGATCCATGGTAAACTAGCTCCCTAGATGGATCAGTCTAGGAAAATAACAGTTAAGCAGACAAGCTTTGAGACAGTTTTCTTGTCAAAAAAGGTGAAAGACAGCCCATAGGGTCAGAGACAGTAAAAGCTGAGCCTGAGTGGATTGGTTTCTCAGCATAACCCCAAGACAAGATATATACTTTTTTTTTTTTTTTTTTTTTTGCAATAACAATGAACAAAGAAAACTCCAAAGTTTTTCATGCCTCCTATACGAATTGACTAATAATCAACTTCACTTAGATTATTTTCCCTAGCGCTGATCCCTGTTTATCAAGCTCCAGTCACCCTGGAGCTTCAGGAAGACTAATTATCAACATAAACAAAATGAAATCTATCAGACAAATAGAATTTTAACCTGCTTGGCACTGTCCCCTTTATTTCTATCAACAATTACAGCTTATCTTAACTTGTGATTGACTGTATCAAATGTAGCTCTGAGCTGTAACACAAGTACAGATACAAGTTCACTATAGAAGGCCATGAGAATATTGTTAGTAACTTTTACCAGAGCTGTCTCATTGCTGTGATGAGGTTTAAAACCTTAATGAAACTTTTCAAAAATGTCATTTTGGAGTAATTCCTGAACTGATTAGCACTATTCTCAAAAATTTTAGATAAGAGAGTATATTTTTAGAGTATTAGAAATAGGTCTATAACTCAGCTCAAGTAATTTGGCTAGATAGAAGGTTTATTAAAAAAGCTTTATTTACAGCTACCCTAAAGGTCTCTAGTATGAATCCCTGTATTGAGAATTATTCATATCTAAATATAGGCGGAAATCAGAGGAAATACTTCCTTAAATAAGTTGGTTGGTTGGAGCGACCAAATCCAACCCGGTGATGGTCCATCACCGGGTCGGGTTTGGTTCCCCCATCTCCAGCTGTCTCCCTCCCCCCGTCCGCCGGAGTTGCTGGACCAGTCACGATGCTCACAGCTCAGTTCTGCTGCACTGTAGTCGACCAAACTCCTAGATGATTTTGAAATTCCCTCCAGACATTTTTTTAGGTATCGGGAAAAAGAGGACATCTGGTCAGCCTAAATCACAGAAACAGTAGCAACTTCATTTGTTTCACAATTAGCAGAGTTAACTGATAAATCAAACTCTTACCAAATCCGGTCAGGAGAGGACATAACCATCGTCCCATCCACAAAGGCAAAAACTGCGTCCATATGCAAATTTTTCAAAAATAAATAGAGGATTTCCCAGCTAAAACCGGTGTAGCCATGTTTGTTTTGCTTCAGCTTTCCGCCTCTAGTAGATGAGGTGACATCATATACTCCCCTGCATTTCATTGATCCGAAGCGTTTCCGTATCAAGGTCAAACATATCCCTCGGCAAGAAGTATTTTCGGGGGTTTGTGAATTCACAAATTTTGCTTCAAATCATCTTGTCTGCAAGGTAAACCTGGAGTTGCCATGGATGTCCAAGTTGAGCTGGATAGTAGTAATTTCTGAGTATCCACAAAATGCATCTTGCATATAATGCTTCAATTGTTTGCTAGACTGTATCCATGTAGCATGGATGCTTGTCATCACATCTGCAGAATAGCTTTACAAAACCATGCAACAATGCAAACATTACTCTCTCGCACATACCCATAATAACATCCAATGGCTCTTAATTTAACTTGAAAATATCGATTGAGGGCTGCTGAAAACAAAAGCATGGTACAAATTTAGATATTCAGTTGGAAAAAAAATAAACATAAGCATTTAATTACCTTGATTTTCCCATTAAGCACTACTTTGGTCTGTCATATATAAACTTTGTTAAATTATAGAGTAATTTGTGTCGGTTACATGAAGTGTGAAAACATTCAAAGGTCATGAAACTCTCTTCCTAATTTATGTAGCTGGTTCTTATTTTTTCAGAGCTCCTCCACTAATATATACTGCACTCTCTTCCAAAGAACATGTGGAGAACAAGAAAGGATCGATAAGAGCTTTAGTTGCTCTGTAATGATGTCTGTTTTTAGATAATGACCCCATCAGGTCTATATAAGATTACTTACTCTCATTCTGCAAGCAGTGTGAGAGAAAGGAAAGCTCATGTAGAATATTTTTACTCCTCTGCCTCTTGGGTTTGAGGAACAATTTAAAATCCATTTGTCTGATATAAACTGAACTGAACATTGCCAGGGTATCTGCACAGCAGTTTAGATTTAACTGCAGGATTTTGTAGGTCTTACCTAATGTATCATTTGGACAAAAACAAGTGACGTACAATGCAGAAAATATTGATTGCCTCATCTCTCTATCCTTTACTGCTTTTTATTTGTGCACTCTGGGCTTCTCTGACAGTTTTTTCATATTTTTTTGCCTTTCTTGTTTGTGATATCCGCCCTCCTCATCCTCTTCTGGACTCCCTCAGCCAAGTCATGGTTGTCCAGAATGCAAGGTAGTGTGGTGCTGATTGTTTCGTTTCAGTTGATGTGTTTTTTTTATTTTGGGAATGTATCCTAGTGGTTTTCCATCCTTCTGTTGTGTCCTTTGTTTTTTGTCCAAATATAGTTTTTATTTAATTCTATGTGACAACACTCACATCATTGCTTTCTCTCTCTTTTATATGCTTACAACTTTCAAACCGATAAATTCTTATGTTTAACATTTTTTATTCCATGAAAGCATCTCAATCAACAGCAACTTTCAAAATACAACTTTTTGTTTTTACAATCATGCTGAGTATTGACCATTTTGCAAACATTTGCAAATGCAATCCATGATCTGAATATGTTGGTTCCAGTATGTTTGCCTGGGGACCAACATGAGAAACATTTTCGTTTTTATCAAATCTGACTACTTTTGTTCCTGTATATCATGAATCATCAGTGCTGATAACAGGAGAAGGATCAAGTATGCTCAGAAGACCACAAACCCAGAATGGAACCAGACTGTAATTTATAAGAACATCCACTTGGAACAGGTAGGCCTACTCAGCATATTCACACATATATGTTGTGTTTGAATCCATCTGCTCTGTCCTCAGTAGGCCAGATTCATTGCCGATTACATCATAGAGAGGAGCCATGGCCTCTTTGGATTCAAAAAAATCCTACTTATCGGGACCACAAATACAGCCTTGTTGGTTGGAAAGATAGGTCAGCAGTATCCACTGTAGCCTAGGGTGTCACCTTATTCATAGTGAGTCCAAGCAAGCCAGCTGCTCTGTGCTCAGAGGAAAAAGGGAAATGGCGCCGAGCAGTGGTGAATATTGTAGGTGCAGTTTATTATAACACATTAACTCATTGAAAATATTTTTAAAATTGTTAGTGAGTCAGATATGCCCGGCGTAATTTTTGGTTTACTGAATGGTTTTATCTGTCCCTGTGCAAATGGGTTTGGTTGATATTTAAGCACAGGTTCCAACATCTCTGCTGTGTGGGGATTTTAAATCTGATATCCACAACAATGGTACTGCTGCTGCTGAAGCTTCTCAGAAAAGAAATTAGCATACAGAACAGTTGTGAAACAGTCCATTCTTTACCTGCTTTGTGAGTCAACTGTAACACTTGCAAGGCGTCAGAGCTTACGCTGAGTAAGGGGCGTTGACAGCTGAAGAAGGCTCCTTATTTTCATGGCTGTTGAAGGACCAAGTTCATGTAGATTAGGGTCCTTCTGAGGTCGCAGCTGCCGAAATCAAACAGCCATAAACTCATAAACACCCTTAGAGACCTTGCCATAGGACGTTGTGCTTTAGCCCCCTTTGAAATTGCAATGTTTCAGCCTTTTATGAATTTAGGAAGGATTCAGTACTGTTGGCTCTGCCTCAAGGCTGTTATCAGAACCCCAATGAAACCTCTTTTTCGCACTTCTTGATCAAGTAGAAATCTTATAGCTCCTATATGGTCCAGAGCCTGGTGGTGATCATAATTTATCATCATCCATGTTTGCAAATAAATGTTCATTCGAACGCATAAGATATAACTTATTCTTTCCTTGCTGATAAAATACACTTGGGTCTAATTTGTAATACCTGACATTATTTACAAATTTTGTTGTTTTTTTTAAGATAAAGAAACAGATTATTTCCTGACACTTATTTACAGAGATAGAATATCTCATTCTCTGACCATCTGTACTCTTTCCTTCTCCTTGTTTAGTTGAAGAAAAAGACATTGGAGGTAACAGTGTGGGACTATGACAGATCCTCCTCCAATGATTTTCTCGGAGAAGTAAGTAGTGTTGGAATCTTATTTACCTTTTAACTTCAATCTCAAACAAAAGGTTATCTTCATTTCATATTTATCTTAATGCTTATATATGCTGTATTACCTCCAGATTATGATTTCATCAATGCTCACCAAAACCGTTATTCAAAGTCTGTAAGCAATGTTGTTATTTTATTTTCCTGCATTATGATTTTTTTCTTTTCTTTTTAACAGTCATGTCAATATTTGATACTGTGGCAATTAAAAATCTATCTAAATATGTATTTGTACAATGCAGAATCGAGGCTATTAAAAGGTGTTAGCTAGGTTTTTTTGTTTGGCTTTCTGCAGTTCTTTTTCTTTACCCATTCAATGCTTAATCCTTGTATTTTTTTCTGTTTTTCTTCTTTTAACCAAACTTTACTTTTTGCCTTTTTCCTTTACTTTTATGTGAAATGTGTTAATTAACTTGAGTTACCGCTGTTAAATCCACATGTAATGTGGATTTCACTCTAATACATACAGAAATACATACAAATACAAAAATATTTCTCCAGTGTTCATTTTATCAACTATAAGCACTCCTTAAATCTGTAAGAAAGCCGTAGGAGGTTGTGCTTGCAGCACCCTATTCTGGACACACCATCCCCACAATTAAACATTTTAAGAGCAGCATGATATTTCTGTTTGTGATGGAAGAAGTTGGTAAGATAAGTATGCTGTATATTAACGCACATATCTAGCAGAAAATACCTTATAACACTAGCAGCTGTACTCGGGCAAATTGCAGTTTTAGAGGCCTTACTGACTATAAACAGATATCACAACTTTATAATTTTTGTGTTTTCTGAAAGCCATGGGACAGTTTGCCTTAACTTTACAATGATAAACCAGTTTAAGCTTGAGTTTGAAATCACAATCTGGCAAATTCGGAAAAGCTTTAAATGGTATGCGTATTTTTATGCAGTAAGGACTGCATTGCAGTGTTTTTTCAGCATCTATTTTAATAATTGTGCTTATTCTTTTAACTGTAGCAATGTGTATTTCAGGTTCTCATTGACTTGTCAAACACAGCTCAGCTGGACAACACTCCCCGCTGGCTACCCTTGAAAGAACAAAGTGAAAGTATTGAACACAGCAGAGCTCACCATGCTGCGCAAGCTCCACCAGGGTCTGGGTCAGGACAAGGTCATAGTCAGGGACTTTGCACAGGCCAGAGTCATATGTCAGGGTCTGGACAGGGTCAAGTACCAGGACAGGGAGATTTGAGTCAGGATTCACCTAAAAATTCTGTGATCAAGAGCAGAAGCCATGGAATCTTCCCTGATCCAGCAAAAGGTAAGCTATATAAATTACATACATACATTTTTAAATATCATTGGTATTTGTTCAAAACGTGGCACAACCTAAATATTATTGCTAATGGTATAAAGCTTCATTTAGCCGTTTTTTGATGTTTGCAAGCAGATCAACCCAAGAACAATTCTCTTCTTCTAGACACACAAATGTTACCTTTGGAAAAGTCACACAGCAGCCCAGGTAGCTCCAAGTCTTCATCTGATGGCCAACTGCGGTCTCATGGCCCTTCTCGAAGTCAAAGCAAGAGTAGTGTCACTCAGGCCCACCTTGAGGATGCTGGGATAGCCATTGCTGCCGCAGAGGCTGCCGTGCAGCAGTCCCGCCTGCAACCAAGTAAATCCCTTCCCTACCGTTAACACAAGTCCCATGACATGCCTCCTTTTTACCTATGCATGCAACTTTTGTTGGGACTGTTTTAATTGAACCTTAATTGCTCTGCATTAACCACCCTTATATTTACCTTTGGACTCTGCTTGGGTCACGTTTTCTCTGTTTATAAATTGTTTTGCGGTGATAGATGATAGTTTCTCTATAAGAGTAAAACTTGTTTATTTTATCAAAAGAAACTTAAAAATAATCAAAGCTAGGAGTCGTGTAAAGTAAAAAAAAAAAGCATGTGCAATAGGCAGTCAGTAAATGGAAAGAGAGAACATCTTATATTTTAATTAAATTATTTTCTTTAGAAAAAGGTTTAAAAATCTTTTACATGTTTGCAGAGATATTGTCACAAGTCAAGTATGGAACAAATGACAATTAAATAATTTGAATGGAAACATAGGCCTCTATTTATCCCCAATAATAACTCCCCTAATCTCTGAAGAACTGTGCATGTGTCAATCCCAAGATTATGGTTTCTCTTCAGAGCCCAAGTGTGGTCGATAACCAACCTGAATGTAGAAACCAAACTGGGATTGCTTTCCCATACATCTTGATTTAAATATACCATAATTTACCATTAAATCCTTATCTCAATTAGATGTAATAAATATAATGTAAACTAAAGATCTTTTAAAAGATGAGTCATTTTTTTAAGCTTATTGAGCATGCAGTTCAACATTCCCTTGCAACCCTATTACAGTGCTTAGTACTTTGTGGTATCACAGTACAGCTCTGTATGTGCATGTCTGACATGAATGAACCCCAGAAAAAAAAGAAACGCACAGGCACGAATGAAACATCCTTTTCTGACCCCATCTGGTCCCATCATATCCCCACCACTTTAAACAAATGGGACACAAATTGGAGACTACACAAGTTATACCAAGAAACACCAGGAAGGTTTCAAAAGCCATCTGGAGTCTCTCTCTACGCTCATCGACCAGTGAGACTAAAGCTTTCGGCTAACCCATCAGAGCATCTAAGCTATCAAGGGAAGGTGAGGCAACATGGGAAAAATATAATGTCTAAACACACTGATAAACAGGACCAATCCAAAAGTAAAGCTGTTAAAGTAAAAACTAAAATATAGTGATAAAAGTAAATTATGGGGATAATGTAGTAAACTACTACAAGTATTTTATGCTGCCGTTCAAAAATTATTTCTAACACTGGATTCATATTTATTGTGTTTTCTTATTGTTTAAAATCATATATCTGTGTTCAAAATAACAGCAATCCAACATCAGTTAATAATAATTCTATTTTTTTTTTAGAGAAAACGTGTTTCTATGTTGAAAAACATACCATAATGGCTGTAGTATAAAAACACAAAAGGCTTCACAAACACAACATGAATACTGCTGATCCTAAAAAAAAAAAAAAACGCAGTTACAATGAAAGTAGAGGCAGCAGACCCAGGGAAGAACCCAGACATCCCTCTCCCCAGCAACTTCTGGTAGAGCACATGTCTGCCTCAGGTCACAATGGACATTTACTCCACTGAAGTGTAAGTTAGACTTCCCTGTTGTCTTCTCTCAGTGGAACTTTAATTTTAGTTGCTTCCAGAGGAAAATATTCAGGAGGCACCTAGATTAGAAATCCAAACCAGCTCAAGTGGCTCTAGTTAAATTCCTATTTGGACATGAAACAAGTTCTTCTCTGGATGTTGGAAATGCCCGCTATGTCCAAAGTAGAGACAAGCCAACTTGAGTGGAAACTCATTTCAACTGTCAAGAGTCAAAATGTATTAAATGCTCAATCATAATTACTCATGAACAAGGCTTGAATATAATTTACCACCTCTGCTTGTGTATTATGAAATTTAGGCAGGATCGGGATGAATCGGCAATAAAGATGAACACACAAACTGTTTCTGCTAGAATTAAAATGTGTCGTTTTATTCTGTCACAGAAAACAGCAAAGCAAGCACATCAATCAAGGCACGGTGCTGAATACAAATTATATTGTCTCAATACTATTCATATTGTCCCCCTACCGTGACACAAGGATCGGAGGGCCGGTCGATCCCGGCAGGGCAGCAACCCGCGCAGCTAGGCGTCCGTACGCAACCCTAGCAGACCCCGCCGGTGTCAACAAGCCCCCGCCATTTATGCCACACTTCAAAGTAAAATTTTTCACCCAATCAGGAAAAGTGACCGCTCCCTCTCACGCCTGGAGCGCATGATTACAGAAACCAAAATATGGAACCGGCATCCCCCGAACCCACCCAGGGCTCGCGGACAGCCGAAACCAAAAACAAAATTACATAATGATCAGATACAAAAACAAGTTACATCATGCCCAGTACCTGGTACCAATCACTGCTTCATCTGTGTTACCCCCCCAGAGCTACTGACCCTCCCCAGAGCTCATTATGCCAAGTATCTGTTCCCCAGAGCTCATGGACACAAAAAAAAAACATGTTCCTGCTTCGATACAAATTTATATAAAAATGTCAAAGAACATAAAATATAAAACCCATATATATCAGCTTGAGAGAGGGGCTCACCCCCTTCTCAAGGATGGGACAATTCAGTTTTTTACAGTTTTGACCCATGGCCACAGTTTCAGTATACCTAAATCTCATCCTAGCTGCTTCCCACTTCGGTGCATACAGCTCCAGCACTTGCTTAAGTACATGTTTTGAAGCAGGCGCCAGAACCAGATGCAGTGTAATACAGTAAAGATACTGTAAGATCCAAAGATGAGATTGGAACTTTCCTTAAAAAAACGAAAACAAAACTCAATTTTCCCACAACTATACCTTGGGATCCTTTCCATATAAACAGTAAGCAGGATTAGGAGGAGGGGGGCAGCCCGGGGGAAGTCTAGGAATAGATCAAACTTTTTTTATCATGAAAGGCACCAATGTCCTTCAGGCTGCAGATTATTCAGATTTAAGGTGTGACATTTTCCTAAGTATATGGGAGAAACTGCGGATTGAGCCTTTGCAGTATGGTACCAAGTGGCTGAAGTTTAAAAACTCTGCCCCACTTCTTATCTGGCAGCACACCAGGTCTGGTGATGATTGTAAAATTGATCATCAACCAGGCACTCTAAGCTGCAGGTTGGTTCAAAAGCACAAACAACAGGCAGAACTTTTCCTCTTGAAACCTGGAAGTTCAAAGAGGTGACACGACTCTGACTCACCGGGTAAAAAGAGAACAGCAAAGGACTGACAAAGACCAGGCCTTCTCTGGTTCTGAACCCAAAACCTGTGTGGATTGAGAAAGCTTCCTGGAGAGGTGGCGAAACATCTTCAAATCTTGGAAACCAAGTCCAGTGGATATTTTTTGAATTTTTACGGAATGACTATGACCTGGATGACTGAGAACCTTCATCAGCTGTGTGGAGTCCAACTATATCTATAGTAGTTAATAACACTCATCCTTAATTTCAAAAGCTTGCTTCTTTCGCACCAGTCAAGTGACATCTGTCATGGGACAAACCTATCAGGGGCCAAAGTTAACGCCCTGGTTCTTAGGGGAGCTTAGAAGTTGCACAATCAAAAGTCAATAGCTTTCACGCTTTACACGGAAAATGTTTCAAACTTGTAATGAAACAGTCAGGATGGTGGTCTGTTGAGTTTGGTTATGGTTATTTTTCAGTATGCACACAATGGGCCATGGAGCCTGAGGCAGACATTTCTGTTCATGTCGATTCCTTGAGGAGTTTCTCTGGTCTCTCTGTGCAAAGACTCAAATCAAAACTACTTCTTTACAATTCACTACCAAGTCTGGGAGTAATGTTTCAACCTCCACTTCAATCTGTGACCTTCCTACCTGTTTCAGTCCAATGCTCTGATCTACTGGCATCCTCTGTTCCAAGTTCCACGATCCTCAATCTGCTCTAGCTGAGAGCTGACACAAACCCAGCCATCCACCACTCATCTCTCTTTGGAGTTGATTCATCCACAAACCAAAGTTTTGCAGTTCCTTGCTTCCAGTTCCTCCCCTGGATTGTAGTGTCGCTTTATCCCTCCTCTGTGCAATTAACATTTCCACTTTTATTAGTTTTCTCTGAGTGTCTGTGCATGTGGGTCAAGAGATACCACCATAACAGAAACATTCATTTCTGTTTAGATTTGACTCCAGGACAGCTCTTGAAAATAAACAAGCACTCCTTTACCACAAACGTCTTTACTGTCAAAATATGCCTCTTAGGCTACGTTCACACTGCAGGCCTTGATGCTCAATTCTGATTTTTTTGTGAAATCTGATTTTTTTTTGTGTTGCTGTTCACATTTCCAAATATATGTGACCTGTATGTGATCTCCTGTGTGAACTGCAGTCATACAACACAATTGTCCTGTATGCGCAGCAGAGGACACAATGACATCACAGGCCTGCGTGCTCTGTGTTTACGGAAGTAAACATGGATGGTAGTGCCGGAGCGCATCTAGCGATTTTCCCCAACCATAAAAACAATCTTTACAAGATGGTTAAACATAAATACTGCTCTCCACATCATCATCTGCCATGGTTGTTGTTTTTCTTGCCACTTCTTCATAGCAAGAATAGTGACCTTTGTCGGGTATTAATGGCGTTCAGGTCAGATTAATGCGACCTGGCCGTTCACACACAGGTTGCTTTTAAAAAGATCAGATTCGTATGGGATTCAGGACCACATAGCCAAGTGGCCTGGGTCGCATTGGAAAAAATCAGATCTGTGTTGTTCAGACAGCCATGAAAAGCTCAGATACAGGTCGGATATGGGCAAAAAAATCAGATTAGGGTCACTACAGGCTGCAGTGCGAACATAGTCATAAAGTCCCACTGTTATTGGATTTGTAGCCAATAAAAACAGCTTTCAAACAAGGGTATGCATGGCTGATTTTAGTAAACCTATCCTTTCTGGCAACTCAAGGTCACCGTACAAAAATAGATTAATTTGATCTTTTTGTTTTGATTTAAAAAGGTACTATGAGCTGTCCCCTATGAACTTATATATGAAAATAAAAAGAAAATTAAAAAGCTGTTATTTTCAACACAACTGTTTTTAAATGGGATTTGAAAAGTAAATTGTCACTTTTATACAAGGCATTCATTTAAACTGCTCTTTAGTTATGAGATACTAACTTGTTAAAGATATTAAGGGTGACACTACAGGTAACACTATAGTGTTACAGGGTAGAGTTTCATATTTTTGACATACTTAAGAAAGATAAACAGATAATAAATGAAAAGATATATAATATATAGATAAGCAGAGCGACAGATAGACCCGCTGACTAACAGACAGATTAAATCTCATTGTCATATGGTCTTGTCATTCACAGGGCCAGGACACCGCCTGGGTGATGTGTCAGGGTCAGTGGTGCTCTCTGCCCCAAGCCTTGTTGGCGATGCCTATGGTGGTCTGGATGGGGATGAAGGGGAGGGCATTGGAGTTGACAGCGCTATTTTTCAAGTGCCACAAATGTAAGGTTTTTGGGCTTGCCCTTTTCAGCACTGTCTATATAAAGGGGTCATTTTAACATTGTAACATTAACAGGTGTCATTTTTGGATAAAATTGTGTGCTTTTTGTTTTTCCTACAGTGGTAAGACTATTCCTAATGGTACTGACAAAAACCAACAAACCACTCCAGAAAATGAAGGCAAGCTTCCAATTTTGTATTTTGGTTATTGGTCTCCCCCTGCCGGAGACTTTATGCACCTTTAAAGACAACTAGGGACAATAAATGTTTTTTTTTTTTTACAACACATGTTCTGTTAAGTTTTCATCATTAGTGAGCAGCAACTCTCCATAATGACTTAATGCATGGCTTACAATAGTGGAAGGGGATGCCACATTATCCTGCTCACTGTCATACCTATATCTACATGTCATTAAGCTCATGTGTCAGACCATGAAAGTATTCAAATGTGCCAATTACAAAGTTTGTGTCTGTTTCTTTCTTTGTCAGGAGGGAAAACCCAAGTAATTGGGGAAATTAAAGTTGCTCTAAAGAAGGAGGTGAAGACAGAAGGAGATCAGCTGGTGCTAGAGATTCTTCAATGCAGAAATATTACTTACAAGTTCAAAAGCCCAGACCACCTGCCAGGTTGGAAACTCTATTTATCTATGTCTACATAAGTATATATGCACTGTGTTTTGTTAAAGTTTTATTACCCTTTTCACATTTTACTTTGCTTTGCACCCACAAATGTCTGTGTATTTCATTGGGCCTTAGATTATATTTAGAAATGTTATGTTATACAATGTAAATATTTTGTGTACATAATTTTAAGGTTTTATAAGTGAATTAAAGAAGCATAGTCACATTATATGACAGATTTTTGATTCATATGGTTACTTTTTCTTTTCCTTTTTTGTGTTAAATTTATCAGTAAATGAAACTAGTATGAGCAGAGGTATAGTAATGCATATTGGCACAGGGATTAAACAAGGAAGTGATGTGGCTAAGCAAGTTAGCGCCTCCCAAGAAAGTTTTTGGGGGAAAAAAGAAGAAAAATACTAGAAAGACACTGCATGAAAAGTGAGATTTTCGTCCCCGTAAACCCCGTAAACTCCCGCAGATCTGCCTGATTTTCGTCAGTTTCCGACAATTTGCAACCGGTGCTTGTCCGCGTTTGTCGTGCCACAAATTGTCGGAAACGTACCGTGACGTATGTGGAGAGCGATCAGCTGTACTAATGGCCCTAATTAGCATATGAATGCAGCAAACCCGCGCGGCTGGCCAGGTCTGGCTTGAATAAACTTCTCAGTATTGGCTGAAACCACTATTCTCAAACAAATGAAATCGCTCGTGATTGGCAGCAAAACCACACGTGGCCACGCCAGGCTTTAATTTTCTTACTGAGTATTGGACGGAACCACTTCTTTTTAAACAAGTAAAGTCGCTCGTGATTGGTTGGCATATATATATATATATATATTTACATATATATATATTTATTCATTCATATATATATATATATATATATATATATATATATATATATATATATATATATATATATATATATTCATATATTTATTCATTCATATATTTATTCATTCATATGCTGTGTATTTATGTTATCCTACACTACTACACAATTATTATGCTACCATCAAGGACATGAATGAATTTATACAGGAAATGAACATTTGCCAGGAAGCTGTTTATGCAAAGAAAGAGCTTTATTAAAACACACACAACTATATACAACGCATATCCAAACACATGCGTATCTAAAAATTACAACTCCGTGAACGGTCCGTTTGCTTCCTCGGGGTTGGAGGTAACTGGCAGCATTCCCTCCGAGGCAGGTCCGATGTGCAGACGCATACTGTGCGTGGCCCTGTACTTCGGCATCGCTTCTAACCGGGACTGCAGCTTAACACAGAGTTCAGAGGGATCCGGCCTACGAAATGGCGGCGACCGTACAATCCATCCAGAGACACCGCCGACGACGCCATCTTCTTCGTCGGACATGAGGTCGACGGTGGCGGACTTCCAGAGTTCCACTTCCTCATCTGCCAGCACAATCTGCCTCGCCTTCAGCAGCTGAAAAAAAAAACAATGAATCAGCGCACTGCATATGGACACAACACATCTATCAATGCACCTGAAAAATAGTCACCAAATAAAGTCTTACCCTCTTTCTTCTGGCCGACTCCGAGCAGATAGCCTGGCAGCCTCCGCACGCAGCGTGCTGGCTAGCAGCGTGTATCTGAAGCTCCTGCATACCGTCTCATAATACGTCTTACAGGCAGCTGGAAAACAATTAAATGAGAGTGGTATGAATAAAAAAGAAAAAAAATCAAACGCAAGTCACAGTAACAAGGAAGGAGAAAACATTAGAACAAGTCACTTACACACAATGTCGTCTTTATCAACATCGTGCAAATCCGAGCAAATAGGAGGTCACCGCCTCATTGTGAGGCGACTGTAGTCTGTGAAAAAAAAAAAAAAAAGTACAGCTATGGTCGGTATCCATCCGTATCCATGTCCTTTTACCGCAGAATGAAAGCATATTCTTTAAACCTTACCCCTGCTCCGGTTCATAGCGCCTGCAATGAGTCTCCGAGTTGTTAAGACGGCATATTGCTTCCTGTGAATCACAAAAAATACACTTTAATAAAGCTTTAGGCTAGGCTGCTTTTAGCTTACCTAGCTAGGCTAGGTTGTCTTTAGCTTGCCTAGCTAAGCTAGGCTGCTTTTAGCATAGCTACCAGTAATCGAACATATATTTACCGCTAGCGTGGCGTTGTGCACCCGTCTTCTCTTCCTCGAGTTCGTAGCATCGAATTCTCCAGCTGAGTGAGGCGCTCATTCATGTCGGCAGTATGTTGGGCAAGCTGACGAGACAGTACGCTGATAGCAATCAGCAGTTTCTTCTCGTCAGTCTGCGGGCTGGCCGAAAGTTGTGGACTAAGAGCAGTTGGAGGCGAGTTGAACGCGAGACGTCGTGCAGCCATTGTTCACGTAACAACAAAATACAAACACGGTAAATGGAGATGAAGTTCACAACACAAACATGTCTGCTAATATGCTGGCCTCGCGAGAAGTCGTAGTGCACAAAAGCTCACACGTGATTGGACGATGGGGCCGAAGGCTCATCAGGCTCCTCCAATCACATACGACGTCATTGTTATACGGAAGGACTCGCGAGAAGAGCTCGCGTCGCTCCATTCTGGAAAGTGGCGGTAATGCACCTATAAATTGTTTGCAATTGCAATTGTTTGTCTCCATAAGATTGAATATGAGCAGGTGGACATTAGAGATAATAAATGCAACAACAAGTTTTTGAATCAATATTCTATAAATAATATGTACCCAGGAAGAACAAAAAGCACATCTCTCTTACAAAATTTTAAGAAATCTATGATAGTCAAAATTAGGACAAATTATTTGAAATTCCCAATTCCTCCTAAATATAAAAAGACTGTAGTCTGTGAAAAAAAAAAAAAAAGTACAGCTATGGTCGGTATCCATCCGTATCCATGTCCTTTTACCGCAGAATGAAAGCATATTCTTTAAACCTTACCCCTGCTCCGGTTCATAGCGCCTGCAATTAGTCTCCGAGTTGTTAAGACGGCATATTGCTTCCTGTGAATCACAAAAAATACACTTTAATAAAGCTTTAGGCTAGGCTGCTTTTAGCTTACCTAGCTAGGCTAGGTTGTCTTTAGCTTGCCTAGCTAAGCTAGGCTGCTTTTAGCATAGCTACCAGTAATCGAACATATATTTACCGCTAGCGTGGCGTTGTGCACCCGTCTTCTCTTCCTCGAGTTCGTAGCATCGAATTCTCCAGCTGAGTGAGGCGCTCATTCATGTCGGCAGTATGTTGGGCAAGCTGACGAGACAGTCCGCTGATAGCAATCAGCAGTTTCTTCTCGTCAGTCTGCGGGCTGGCCGAAAGTTGTGGACTAAGAGCAGTTGGAGGTGAGTTGAACGCGAGACGTCGTGCAGCCATTGTTCACGTAACAACAAAATACAAACACGGTAAATGGAGATGAAGTTCACAACACAAACATGTCTGCTAATATGCTGGTCTCGCGAGAAGTCGTAGTGCACAAAAGCTCACACGTGATTGGACGATGGGGCCGAAGGCTCATCAGGCTCCTCCAATCACATACGACGTCATTGTTATACGGAAGGACTCGCGAGAAGAGCTTGCGTCGCTCCATTCTGGAAAGTGGCGGTAATGCACCTATAAATTGTTTGCAATTGCAATTGTTTGTCTCCATAAGATTGAATTTGAGCAGGTGGACATTAGAGATAATAAATGCAACAACAAGTTTTTGAATCAATATTCTATAAATAATATGTACCCAGGAAGAACAAAAAGCACAGCTCTCTTACAAAATTTTAAGAAATCTATGATAGTCAAAATTAGGACAAATTATTTGAAATTCCCAATTCCTCCTAAATATAAAGAATTACAGTTTAAAATAATAAATAACATATATCCTTCAAATGAGTTTTTAAGAGAGAGATTTAAGTTTAATGTTGAGAATTATGGCTTTTGTACAACTCAATTGGAAACAACTAAACATCTTTTTTATGAATGTAAAGAAGTATTAAACTTATGGGATCAACTTCGAACCTTTCTGTCTTCTAAAACAATAAATTTAGATTTTATTTCCTGGCAAAACATTCAATTCGGTTTATCCATTAAAGAAAAAAAATTTGGAATTTTTAATCAATATTCTAATAATTGTAACAAAGTATTATATCCATAAATGTCGCTATGCAAAATGCTCCCTCTCAATCTCTGCTCTCAAAAATGAACTTTCCCTTTTCAAAAGCTGTCTGAGAAAGATGCAGAATTTAAATGCAATTAAATTGTTTGAGTTAATTGAAGAATTTCAGTTGGTAGTCCCCACTGATTAATTTACTTTAACTACTATTATTATTTTATTTATTTTTATTTATTTTATTTTATTTTATACTTTGTTCCAGCCTGTGCATTTAATTTTATTTTTCAAAAGCAGGAGTTGTGATATTTCTTCTTGTATTGAAATATTTGTTATTGACTTGTTATTTGAGATTGTTATTGTTTTCTTATATATTCAATAACAAAAAAAAAAAAAAGTGGAAATCTAAAAAAAAAAAAATTAACCATTACAGCCAACTGATTCTGATTAAAACTAATTTTTGAAGTAAATTATTTTGTGTATTTTTTTTTACATAACATTTGCATACACAGTAATCTAGCGTACTTTAATTAAATAAATCAATTCAAGCTAAAATGTAAGAGTCTATAATTAGGCTATACTGAGCCTGATCTATTTCTACCATCTATTTGGGGGATATTTATTGCCACACTTTGGGCCACTTAAAACCAATTTAGCATGCTGACCTATGTCCTTATGACCACAGTGTACCAATCTTCTGATGGCTACTTCCAACAGGATAATGCGCCATGTTATAAAGTGAATCATCTCAGAATCATTTCTTGAAACTTTTCCACTTAAGTAATTGTGAATTGAGCATATTGACAGACAACATTTTATTTTTTATCTTAAATGCAAATTTAAAAAAAAATAATTACTGCTCTAAATGTATTGCTCTGTCAGCTAAAGATCTGTTTTGGTCTCTATACTTTAATTAAATAAATCAATTCAAGCTAAAATGTAAGAGGCTATACCTGATCTCTTTGTATCAGAGATTTTCTTACCCAGGGTTGCAGGGGGGGTTTTACCCCCCCTGCAACCCTGGTTTGCATTTGTATAGCTCACAGCATGTTCATTTACATGTTTAAAGCCTCCCCTAGAATTCCATGGGGGGGAGGCATGGGGGGAACACTGCCTAAGAAATTCCACGTCAATTTCTGACAATTTACGGGAGTTTTCAGCGAAGCCTGCAAATTGCCGTATACTGCCGCTAACCTGAAGTTCCACGACAATCTACAGTGCCGTATATTGACGAAAATCCCACTTTTCATGCAGTGAGAGTGAAAAAAAACACAAAAGTATTCTAATTCCAAGAAGGACACCGAAATAGTGGTTGGAATCCATTATAGGGGAAGGATCCACCAGAAGTCAGAGTTACTGTAGATGTGTTTATTAAATCGTTATCGGTCTTCATCCAAGCCATGTTCTGCTTTTCTGTAAAGCATTTTAGGACTCTATAAAATAGCTGCTTTAATTGTGGCAAACTAGCTTTTTGATAGTTTCCCTTTACTGCTTGCAGATGGTGCACACGTCTGTTTATTTTTATTCATCGAGCCCATTGCTTTAATTCTATTTAGGTCCAAATAGGACCATCAAAACACTAATGGGTTACATAGTAATAATCTTACTGTATTAACACATCTTTTTCACTGGCTTTCAGATCTGTATGTCAAACTGTATGTGGTGAACGTAGCCACTCAGAAGAGGATCATCAAGAAAAAGACAAGAGTTTGTCGACATGACAGGGAACCTTCCTTTAATGAGACCTTCAGATTTCCTCTCAACCCAACGGGACATTCAATACAGGTCAGCATGGAGAAAACTTGAATTAAAAATCTAGGCATTGGCAGAAAATTGCAAATAATTTTTTCAAATTATTTCTAACATAAGCATTGAAAATATGTAGTTTTATAGATAATAGCATTTACCCTGAAAAACTTACTGTATGTTAGTGAAAATTAAACACATAAAACTTTTTCCAAGAACACAAATTAAAAAATCCCTTTGTCTTATTGCAGTGGTTCCCAATCGCTGGTACCCCTAGTGGTCCGCGAGTGCATTGCAAGGGTTACATGTAAATGTTTTATTTCTTAGGTAGTAAAATAAATAGGGCTGGGATCGGTTTTGCTTTGCGAGGAGCCAACTGAAAAGCTATGAGGTATACTGTAGGAGCTAATCAAAGCAAGCTCTGGTGTCTTGATGAAAACAAACTAAATCTGATTAAGTCAGTCTGACTATAATTTTTGTTCTATAATTTGCTTCCAATTCATCAAGTTTAAATGTGATTATAAGGGAGTTACTCAGAGGAGCTAGAGTTTTTTAAATATAGGTTTATAATATGTTTTGATTTTGGATTTTTTTTTTATCCTTACTAACTACCAGGCAAACAACTTGTGTTATTTTTTATATGAGATGGAAAGAATGAAACGCCTAAGAATTAAATGCTCAGATTAAAAGATTTAGCTTTATAATCAGTTATTGCACTTTCCACTGTTGGATGATCATCAATACTTTTGACTGAGGGGGTACTCATGGTATGAAAAAATGGCCAAAGGTGTACAAGAATAAAAAAAGTTTGGGAAACACTGACCTACTGCATTCTACCGTTTTGTGCAAATTAGATGATAAATGAGTTTTATTTTTACTGTCCTTTCAGCTTTTTTTGGTGTCCAATGGTGGGAAGTTTGTGAAGAAGACCTTGATCGGGGAAGCCTACATCTGGCTTGACAAGGTGGACATGAGGAAGAGAGTGGTCAGCTGGCACAAACTTTTTGTCAGCTCCAACCTGACTAACCCTTGAGTGCCAGACAATAAGATAAAAAAGATCAATTGGGAGATATAATTGGTAAAAGGGAAAAAAGAAAACAGAATATTTTTTATAATATTACATAAATTCATGCATTGAGTTTATAGATCATTAGATGAAGGTAACTGTGTGACAATAACATTTGCATGTCTTGTCAGTCTAACACTGCCAGTGCACGTGTTCCTATTCTTATGTCAGCTCTCAAAAGACTTTGCTTGGATGCAAACATGCAAAGACAGTTACTGACTGATATTCCACGGCAATATGGCTTAAGGACAGTTATGCTTTTGATACCATAGTTCCATTGTATGATCCATAATTATAATTTTGATATTGCACGATAGAAGTTAACAAACTAGCCACAGAAAAGATTTAAAAATGACAATTAATGAAAATGTGTATAATTGTTTAGACAGTTTGCAGACATCAGTGGTGCTGATGTATTTAAAAGACACAGGAATGCATAACAGTTTTTGTATGGCTGACCTTCCAATGTATGTCAACGCTGAGAAAAAAAACTTCAGATTTAATTTATGCAGTGAGATGAAGATTAAATGTACAGTACTTCTAAGGTTTCTGTTATTCCAAATGCAGATTACAGAGCATATCAAAGAATTGTACAGTGTGATATATATAGATATATATATAAAACCTTAAATTTAGCATAAGAAGGATATAAATAAATACAACATAGTATAAGAGTTGTTCTCATGTCAACAAATTATATATAGGATAATATTGACAAAAGGTCTAGGTTGAGGCAGTGGGTGGTGCACTGACAATCCAGTAATCTAATGAATAAACAGTCCTTATGACTTTTAGGGATCTTTGTGAGCTAGAGGTTTGCCATATTTTCACACTGATGCACCTCTCTGCTGAACAGACCTGCAATCATGGTTCAAGTCAACATCAGCAGACAGATTATTATAACATGCATCATATTTAGGGGGAGATATATTAGCAGAATGAACAGCATTTTGCACATGCTGTGTTGAATGTAACAAATGTTACAACTTTTCAGAAGACAGACGTTTACACATCTTTGTTATTTGAGCAACTTTTTTCTTTTAGGTTGTTGTAGTTTTTCCTCTATGTAAGTCATTTTATTTTATCACTCTGTTGCTATGGACATGTAATTCATAGAAATTGTATGTCTGCTTTACTGTCAGTGTGTTTGTTAAGCCCTTCCATCAGAGTTTTAACTGAAAATAACAAAAAAAAAGGTAGATAAGAGTCAAATTCTCCTCTGTGTCTCTGGCCATGCTTGACTTATAAAACACTAATGTGTTGTCTTAGTGACTCCTTTTAAACACAGTGGACCAGCATCTTTCACTGCCTGTGATCAAAAAATTTTCTCAGGCATGATAAAGGTTAGAGAAACTCGTGGGGCCAACTCTAAATATTCATGTGTATGCAGGAGAACCATTTATGTACACATTCCTGATCATCCTTCAGTCATATTTTGCGACCATGTCAATAAAATAAAAAGAGAAGATAACATATAAAAGAAAGGGAAAAAAATAAAGATAACTACTTTTAGTATGTTTTATTATAAAACAGGGCTGATACAACTTTTAATCAACAAAAACACAAAGAGCAAGATGTCACTCATATACTGCAGAAGATACCATAAAATGGTAACCAATTTGTTGTGCCATACAATATTCACTTACATTTTGGTATGAAATATATTTTAATATTTATCATTTTTTCCTTTTTTCCCCCACCAGACCAATAAGTTATTTTAAGGTAATTCTATGCAACATATGTATTCATATGCATATGTGTTAAAGTCTGTGAACATATCATTTTAAAATGTCCTGTAGAAAGTAGTTATAATTTGTACATTTGGTGAAAGAAGAATATTAAATATTTTTATTTTGTACTTATTTTAGTATATATTGATGTTAACCACTGTTAACATCTACATGGAGCTTGTGCACTTTATTACAATGCTTGTTTTCTTGTCTTATTTTAACTGTCGAGACATTCTAAGTTATATGTTTTGTCTCCATACTAAAATTGAATGAGTCACAGTGTATGCAGTTGCAGGAACTATTGTGGTGTACAATTTTTATCTATGTGGCAAAAGATTAACATTCAAACAAGTAGGGGTTCCCTTAAAGGGATGCACAATCTTCAGTGAAGTCAATTACTCCATTTTCATAGTGTACTGAACAGTCTGTATACGTGGTGCAGTAAGTAAGACCTCATCTTATTGCCCAGTCATGACTGTCAAATCATTTGTGTATCATTAGAATTGCTTCTGAATACTGTTTGTTAAGATCAATCGTTGCCTGTAATTGTGAACCCATTCATTTATTGTTGTCCTGAGGGGTGTGAATGTGCTCAAGTTGTTTGACATGTGTACATAAAGTGTTTATTTTCTACAATGACTGAATGTTTATATGTCTGAGGTTTGAGCATGTGAGTGTAAAATAAAAAAAATAAATGTAATTCACAGAGCACTTGCAATTGTACAGCAATGGGTGTCTAGAGTCCTATCAGGGGAGTTGAGAGTGTTTATTTAAAACAAGTGCTGTCCACTGATGATTATTAGTGAGATTAAATCCTATGAACTGCAGGAACAACATAAGATGGGAAAAAAATGTATATGTTTCACTTTAAGTAGTTGTCTGAAACTTTTGGTTTTGGATGTTGCATGTTTTGTTGATGGTTTGTCTGTATATTTTGCCCAAGGATTATGTTTAAAAAGAGAGAAAATATGTATAGATCTATCTGTATGCTGAGTGTAAAGAGATATGCTTGTAAATTTGTCTTGTTTTTCACTCAGTGTAAAAACAAAGCATATGATGTTATGGTTTTGTGACTGTACACGGGGTGTGTTAAGATATGCAAATTGTGCTGTAAAAAATCCTCCTGAGTCAGAAGAATAAATATTAAGAGCTATATTGCAAAATCAGATAGACAGTTTTATTTGTTCTGTTTGTTTAAGAATATATTTTATCCTAAGCGGTTCACATCAAAGGTGCAATAAGCAAGACAATTGTTTTAAAATGAACCAAAATCATTCTCATTTTTCAGCCAGAATGAAAGTAACATTTCTTATTACAATTGGTCCTCTGCATCAACAAGGATGCATTTTAGTCAAGTTTTCCTCCTTTCAGATCTTGAGGTAAGGTACAGAACAACTTTGATACAGTAAGTAACCAGTGTTTAATTCCTTGTTCCTGAGCCAATCATATGAGAGTTCCTAGGGTTGTGAAAACAAAGCGCAGCATTTAGTATTTAATGTTGACAAAAGAGCAACCATTGTATGGAATATACACTGCCTGGCCAAAAAAAAAGTTGCCATCCAAAAAAAAGGTCACTCACTCTAATACTTTGTTTGACCGCCTTTAGCTTTGATTACGGCACGCATTCGCTGTGGCATTGTTTCGAGACGCTTCTGCAATGTCAAAAGATTTATTTCCATCCAGTGTTGCATTAATTTTTCACCAAGATCTTGCATTAATGATGGTAGAGTCTGACCACTGCGCAAAGCCCTCTCCAGCACATCCCAAAGATTCTCAATGGGGTTGAGATCTGGACTCTGTGGTGGCCAATCCATGTGTGAAAACGATGTGTCATGCTCCCTGAACCAGTCTTTCACAATTTGAGCCTGATGAATCCTGGCATTGTCATCTTGGAATATGCCTGTGCCATCAGGGAAGAAAAAGTCAATTGATGGAATAACCTGGTCATTCAGTATATTCAGGTAGTCAGTTGACCTCATTCTTTGAGCACATACTGTTGCTGAACCTAGACCTGACCAACTACAGCAACCCCAGATCATAACACCGCCCCCACAGGCTTGTACAGTAGGCACTAGGCATGCTGGGTGCATCACTTCACCTGCTTCTCTTCTTACCCTGATTCACCCATCACTCTGCAACAGGGTAAATCTGGACTCATCAGACCACATTACCTTCTTCCTTTGCTCCACAGTCCAATCTTTATGCTCCCTAGCAAATTGAAGCCTTTTTTTCTGGTTAGCCTCACTGATTAGTGGTTTTCTTACGGCTACACAGCTGTTCAGTCCCAATCCCTTGAGTTCCCTTCACATTGTGCGTGTGGAAATGCTCTTACTTTCAGTATTAAACATAGCCCTGAGTTCTAATGTTGTTTTCCTTCGATTTGATCTCACCACACGTTTAAGTGATCGTCAATCATGATCATTCAGGATTTTTGTCTGGCCACATTTCTTCCTTGAAGATGATAGGTCCCCACTATCCTTCCAGTTTTTAATAATGCGTTGGACATCTCTTAACCCAATATAGTAGTTTCTGCGATCTTTTTAGATGTTTTCTCTGCTTGATGCATGCCAATTATTTGACCCTTCTCAAACAGACTAACATCTTTTCCACGACCACGGGATGTGTCTTTTAACGTGGTTGCTTAGGAAATGAGAAGCAGGTCTTCTTCTTCTTCTTCTTATGGGATTTTATGGCGGTTGGCAGACTTGTGAATTGTGCATTACCGCCACCAACTGATATGGAGTAAAGCAAGAAAACAGGAAACGATTCACCCCCCCAAAAAAAAAAAAAAAAAAAAAAAAAAAAAAAAAAAAAAAAAAAAAAACCTGTGTAACTTAAACCAACATAATACTAAATCACATTTGCCCATATAATTTTAATTTACTCTAGGTCATCTTAACTCTGCCAGTTTCTGATGGTCCCATCGGTCCTCCCATCATACTTCCAACCATCTCCCAGTTCAAATCTTTAATGTCCAGATATTTTTCTGCAGCCTTCACTATTATTTTGATTTTTTCCGTTTTTTTTGTTGTCTGTGCAGTACAATTAATAACTTCTACCATGAAAAGAACAAAATTTGTCTTTTTAACAATAAGTGAGTCTTCATCAATTTTTAGAGATTTCTCTAGAGGTTTGGAATTTGCTGTGTGTTGAACTGTAGGTTTGGGTTTTTCTGACTGAGATGGGATCCTTTTTGCAGCTTCAGCGTAGGTTATTCCGAGCTCAAATTTCATTTTTTTAATTTCCTCAGACCTTTTGCTTGCTCACAGCCGCGATAGGCAGCAGTATGTTCTCCACCACAATTAACAGCATTTCTTATTCAATTGTTCCTCTGCATCACAGGATGCATTTTAGTCAAGTTTTCCTCCTTTCAGATCTTGGGTAACGTTACAAACTTTGATACATAAGTAACCATGTTTAATCTTGTCCTGAGCAATCATATGAAGAATTCATGGGTTGTGAAACAAAGCCAGCATTTAGTATTTATTTGACATAAAGTAGCAACCTTGTATGGAATTACACTGCTGGTAAAAAAAAAAGTTGCCATCTAAAAAAGGTCTCGACTTATACTTTATTGACCGCCTAGTTATTACGGCAGTCCTTTCGCCTGTTTGCTTTGTTTCTAACGCTTCTGAATGTCAAATTTTATTTCCATCCAGTTGCTTAATTTTTCACAAGATTCTTGCATTAATGATGTAGAGTCTGACCATGCGCAAAGCCTCTCCAGACATCCCAAATGTTCTCAATGGGGTTTGAATCTGGACATCTGAGCGTGCCAACATGTGTGAAAACGATGTGTCTGTCCATGACCGTCTTACAATTTTGGTGTGATCCTGGCATTGTCTCTTGAATATGCCTGTGCATCAGGAAGAAAAATCAATTGATGGAAAACCTGGTCATTCAGTATATTGCAGGTGTCAGTTACCTCATTCTTTGAGCACATATGTTGCTGAACCTGACTGACCAACTACAGCAACCAATCATAACCCGCACCCCAAGCTTGTACAGTAGGCACTAGCATTGGGTGCATCATTCACCTGCTTACTTTTACCGATTCACCCATCACTCTGTAACAGAGAAATCTGGACTCATCAGACAATTACCGTCTCCTTTGCACAGTCCAATCTTTATGCTCACTAGCAATTGAAGCCTTTTTTTCTGTTAGCCTCATGATTAGTGGTTTTCTTACGGCTACACAGCTGTCATCCCAATCCCTGAGTTCCCTTACTTGTGCGTGTGAATGCTCTTACTTTGTATTAAACATAGCCCTGAGTTCTAATGTTTTTTCCTTCGATTTGATCTCACACGTTTAAGTGATCGTCATCTGATCATTCAGAATTTTTGTCTGGCCACATTTTCCTTAGATGATAGTCCCCACTAATCCTTCCAGTTTTCTAATAAGCGTTGGACATCTCTTAACCCAATAAGTAGTTTCTGCGACTTTAGATTTCCCTGCCTTGATGCATGCCAATTATTTGACCTTCTCACAGACTAATCTTTCCCGACCGATGTGTCTTTTAACGTGGTTGCTTAGGAAATGAGAAGCAGGTCATTGCACCAGTTGGGGTTAAAAAACTTGTTGCCAGCTGAAAGATAATCGCCCATGCAGTAATTATCCAATAGGAGGCTCGTACCTATTTGCTTAGTTGAATCCAGGTGGCGACTTTTTTTTTGGCCAGGCAGTGTATTTTTATGCTGCAAACTCTGGGAATTTTGTGTACACTATAAACTCCACTAAAATTGTATTTAACTATTAAGAACTTACTAAAGACTAAGAATGTTAGTTGATATATGGACTTTGCATGTGTTTATAAAGCAAATTAGTGAATTTGAATAATTGGAAAATCTGGGTGCCTTTTTTTTTTACTCAGGTGGAATAGAAAGCAGTGCTAGTATGGTGAAGAGCACTGGTGCTGTTGGAGCTCCTGCTGTCGGGGAGGTGGTGCAGCAGTGAGGAGTAAAGCAGCAAAACGCCCTGTGTGTACAAAATGATAATAAAATTTGTCTAAGTCTAAGCATGGAAAGACCCACCCTGGTGATGATCTCTTCCCCAAGATCCATTGTGTGTAGTTGTGTGATAGAGCAGATGAGGGTAAGCATCAGCGATGGGAAGCAGAGAACTGGGGAACAGAGATCTCCCTAGGATCCAGCTCCCATATTGACCCCATAGGCACCCTGTTCTCCATCATCCACCAGGCGAGCAAGGCGCCAAGCCACAGCGGCCGACCACAACCCAGTCCTTCGCTTTTCAGCCCATGAATACCAAATTATCTTTCATACCAGATCCAAGATGGTCTTTTTCATCTTCCTGTTCTCCCTGGACAGCTGCAACATTCCATTGGTGGGTTTTTTTTTTTTTTTTTACGTCTCCTTTAGCGGTTCTTCTTTAGAAGTAAGTAAAACTAACTGAGCTTGACTGAATTCATAGACTGAAATTTCAACCGGGCCAAGGCAGGCATAAAAGTGAAAATGGCAGCAACTACTTTTCTGTAAAGTTTGGGTTCCCTGACTGCTTCTTCTCCATTGTTTTTTGTTGTTGTTGTCTTCTTTAATCCAGAATCCAAAGCCACACCTTTTCACTATGATAAAAAATTTCTGTCCACAACTGGTCAGGAGGTCCTTTAACTATCTAAATCACTTTCAGTCTAAAACCTTTTGGCAGGAATATTTAGGCTAAATTTGGAGCTCCCTGATAGGAAACTTTGCTAAAACGGCCCTTCTCTTTTTAGATGTACTATTCATTCATAAATAAAGACAAAGGAATCTAAAATATTTGTGCCAAATTTTGTTCTGCTTAAGTTCAATTCAATTTCAATTCAGTTTATTTATATACTGTAGTGCCAAATTCACAACACATGTCATCTCAAGGCACTTTACAGTACACTTAAGTACACAATAGTATATTGGATACACTTTGAATACAATCTCAATTGTTTCAAAATAGTACAGATACAGCATATGTTACAACAATGTTCAACTGAAATACTGAATAATAAATCAATCATGAAATTACACTTTCAAGAGGAAACTCTGTTGTAATGAGGTGAATTTGTAATTGTACCAAAAACTAAAAATCACTTAATAAATGATGCAATTACCAATTATTTAGCATTAAGTCAAATAGACATATAGATAGACATATAGATAATCATACAGATAAGCAGACCTTGAAATTATTAACTAATTGCATTAACAAATCCTTCTGCCCAAGGGAAAAAGATTACCTTCCACTTGAGTAGCTGTTTGTATACGGTATGTAGCTACTTATTTAATCATACATTATTAAATCTTGACATGACATTCTGGTATTGAAAAAAATGTTCACACAGGAAACACCACCTGAGGATAAACTTTTAGATAGTGCCAAAATGAAATTGACAATGAAAGATATAAAGGATATTTGTATACAACTCAAACTGTTTTGACTGAATTTATTTGAATCATTTTGCATAAAAATTGGAATCATAAAAATAATCGCCACATATTTTCAAAAATGTAGCAATAAAGATGTTAAATTCTTAACAGTAGTGAAAAAATTTTTTGTTTGGGGTAAAAGGTGACTCAGTCTGTGCACTGCTGCTGAGATTTAATGCCTGAAATCTCACTGACTACTCTGAGTTATCTCCCATCAGTCCAAAAACATGACTGATGGTTTATTGGTTACCTCTAAATTCCCTTCAGTATGAGTGTGTTCAGGGTCTCTGCCTATTTCATGCAATGTAATGGAATCATCTACCTCTAGGTGGCAGCATTTAATGAGAAAAGAAGCACTCAACATTTCAAGTTAAAAACAGATGACTTTTAGACTGGGTTTTTATGAGATCATCATTAGCAGTTAGTATGGTTGCCCTGTCTTCCTAAAGTCAGACACTTTTTACAGTAATTGAACTCTAGCATATTAAAATTTCCAGATGTAATATATCTACATTATTTTGAACCAATTTTTAGAAATTGATTTTGTTAAGTGAGAGATATCTGAAAATCTAATTGGGAATAAGATCTAAGTTGCATATACAATGATAAAAAGTGGGAGCATATCACTAAATTCATCTCAGACAGTTTAGGTATCTACAGTACTAAACATAGACAATTTCAGTTACATATTTTTCATCACATTTACTACACTCCCTATAGAATAAGAAAATAAATGTTAGTATTACTGACAGATGTGTACAATATCTGTCAGTAAATAAATCCCAATAATATCAGAGGTTTGTGGATTGTCTTTAAATCCTAAACCCAGGATTTGATATTTGGAGAGGTTGGATTCCTGAAGTTACCATACATACATATGTTGAAACAGTTGCTGTTTGTGGGCATATTGTGCAGCAAAAAAGTTTATACTAACTATAAATCTATGGAATTTCCAAACCAGAAACAATAGATAAACACTCTGTAGCTTTTAAAAATTGTAAAAATATTAATTGTCTATTCTCAATAAATGTGTACATATATAAAGGAAATAAGGTGACACACTCCACTTCTTTATTTAGTGAGAACATGTGCAGCAGGATTTTCTGTTTTTGCAGGCATGTGAAGCAACAGTAACTAAGGCAACAAGTTGATTTAATGCCTTCTTGGGTTTGTTTCACAGTCTAAATGTTGTATATATATACAGTATATATATATATATGTGTGTGTGTGTTTGTCATTATTTAAAGGGGAACCCTGTTTGTTTTACATTGGGCCCTTGATTTTATGTTACTACATCTTGTTCTACTCACCTATATTAGTTTTGTGTCATTTGGAGCTGTTCTGAAGATATTTGGTTAGGTTATATCCAAGTAATGTCCTCCTATGGGTAACGACTTGAAGGCACAAACTAAACTGTTCACAATGTATCATTTATGGTACGCCAGCATTCATAACATGTTGGCGAATCACTGTCCCCCAGACATCCGCGGTTATATTTTTTATATTTATATTTTTTTAAAACAAAGCGGAGTGTGTATGACGTAATCCGCAGGCAGCCCGGGCCACAGGCGGCTACGCTCTACCCCTTATATTCATTTGGCTAGCTAATCTGAATCGTTCAATTCCAGTTCGAGAGCGAGATTATCTGTGGTAGTAGCACTAGACATCTTCCAGGCATGTGAGTAAAACTAGCAGCAGTTCAGCGGACAGGATGAATGAACGGTAGCCGACACGTGCAGATGACGTCATACACACTCCGCTTTGTTTTAAAAAAAATATAAATATAAAAAATATAACCGCAGTTGTCTGGGGGACAGTGATTCGCCTACATGTTATGAATGCTGGCGTACCATAAAGAACAAATTATGAACAGTTTAGTTTGTGCCTTCAACTCGTTGCCCATAGGAAGACGTTATTTGGATTTAACGTCAAATCAAGGGCCCAATGTAAAAAAAAAAAAAAAAAAACGGCATTCCCCTTTAAAAGGGACAGTGTACAATTATTACATCAATGTTACGAATTGATGCATTGAACCAGAGTTAGCCCAAGGTTAATTTGCATCTGCAGTCACTCAGGCAGGGCACAGTTAATATTAACTTCATGCCCCATTCCACAATTAAAAACAGAAAACATACATACGGGGTTCAACATGGCACTCACCTTTCACTCATCTACTCTATAATAAAAATCTAACCCAACCTAAAAATAAATATATACCCCATTCACTCTATTATAGAGAGGGATTTAAAATAAATTGCATACATTTTAACTGGTCTGACAAGTTCAGTCTATTAAACATACGGGTAAAAATTTTCTGTGTATGAAACAGCCGTTTGCATCAATTCACTGACATGGCAGCAAAAATGTGACAAAATTTCACTTTTATGTGACTAAAAAAGTAAAACAGGTTTTAAATAGTTTTGACTTCCCAAATGAAAAAAAAATATTTGGACAAAAATTCAATAAAGATGTCTGTTGTTTTTCTCTCTCTAGCCTTTTCTTTCCAGTTGTTTAGCTTGTTCCTCTCCTGTTCTTTATAGTCATTATTACTCTCTGTCCCATCAACAGCTGCATCTTTGTATCTCTGCTGGTTATGGAAGATGTGCAGCGGGTTTTCTGATAAGGATCAAGAGTATTATAACTGGGAAGTAAGTGGGTAACAGCAATGCCTTAGTAGAGCATAGATAGGTGGCAAGGGAGAGACAAAGCAAGAACAAGGAGGAAAGGGAGGGGGAGAGCGGGGTGAGAGGCCATGAGAGGATGGTTCATGGTTGCCAAGCAACGATTGATAACCAGATCCCCAAGCATCTTGCCTCTGCTGCCCTGCCCTCCCTCCAGGTCTAAATCAGACACATAAACCCATGGGCATGCACAGAAAACAACATACATGGAGTAAACTTGCTCATTAAAGATATATATGTATTACTTGAACTTCAATTCATGATAAATAAAAAATCTTCTTTTGAAGAGGCTTCACAGCTGCAACAGTGAGAATGTGCAACAAAGAGCCCAAATCTAATTCCCTAAAACAGTTGTGATTGATGACACTAAGACTCACTAAACTGTTATTGTGTTTTCCTCATAAGCGTTTTCTCTAAATGTGTAAAATCCATACACCTTGTCTCTCATTCTCATGTTGCCGACTAAGGCTTTTGCTATACTGTAAATTCTCATCTTTCTCTGCCTGTTGCAGATGCTAGTGGCATGGCATTTTAAAAAGCAAAGCCAAGGATCTGTATTCAAAATACGTTGTCAGTGTGGGTGGTTGTCAGGTGTTTCTTCATAAGGAAGCAACACATAAAGAAAGAAAGGAAAACACAGAGAAAAAAATAAATTATAAGACCCAATGTGTGGTGTTGCAGCAAATACAGGAGTGGCAAGGTAAAAAAAATAATAATAATTATAATAATAAAAAAGCCTATTTGAGGAAAAACGTTTGATATGGTTTAATTTTATTTATCGCAAAACATAAACGTTAAAATGCATGTGGTTAAATAAAGGAAATGCATTCATTTCTTTATCCTCTATCAGAACAGAAGGAGGGAGTGTGAGACAGAGACGGTAGGAGATCTCCGTGCAGGTACCTGTTAGAGCGCAGGATGATCAGATTAAAGGTGTCAGGGTTTGTTAATCTGTGAGGGAGGAACAGGCTTCGCCACTTGCGCACATCGCCCCATTCATCGCCAGCGACGGGAAGCGGAGGAGATTGGATACTGACGCGCATCGGGGAATTTCCCCCCCTTTTCTCTTCCCTATACAATGGACACCTGCAGGGTACCAACCTGGATATGCCTTCTTCTGCTGTGGCAGGAGGGATGTTTGGCATCCCAGTTCCCCACACAGCTCATGTAAGTATAACCCAGTGTTTTTTTTTTTCTGCTCAAATCCTTGACAGACTGCTTTTCGGAAGCGTTCATTGTTGTAGCCGTAACAGTAGGTTCTTATGACTACGATTTTAATTATTTTTTAATGAGACACAATGATTGCGTGGGAGTGGGGACCGGTGTCCCACTGGCCGGTTCGTTCATGAGCCAGACAGACATATTAATAGCAGAAAGTATTTTATCTCAGCTGTTTGCTGGGATCCTGACGTTGATCAATGTTGGTCACCAAAAGCGGCAGATTGTCGCCGGTGGCCGCGCGCAACCGTGACAGCTCGTCAATGAAGTTGTGGAGGAGTTACAATCGTTGCCCTCCAACCTAATGCTGTATTTAAAAATGACAGAGGATGTCTTCAGTAAGGTATCCTTTAGGCATGTTCACGTGTTTTATTTTTTTTCAAAATTTAATTAAATATACTGTTTATTGTTTAAAAAACAAATCCACGTTTATGTTTATCATTTTCAATGGGAGTTGGCTTATTTGTTCCTTTTGTATCTATAAGGAAAATACAGTCTGATTAAATGCAAACGGTTGTGTTTTGACTTTACACAGAAAAAAAAATCAAAGACAGCTCATGGGATACAAGAAGAGCGCGGGGATCCAGGGGCGGAGCTAGATGGGGGGCCAGCCACAAGAATCTCCAGTCTGTGTGGGTTAATCTAGGGAATAGTGCACACGTTGGAGGTCAGACAGGTAAACAAGCGCTGGACCCGGAGGAGTAATGGAGAGGACTGTCAGTCGGATTTCCGATGGGTACTTGAACGGAACATGTGGAGGTTTTCCCCTGCTCAGTCTAACTCAGTTTTTCCTTCCAGGGGAGAGAAGGCCCAGGAATCCAGTAACCCAGGAAAGCTTCCTGTGGGGAGCAAAGACAAAAAACTTGTTAGACTCAGAGAAACAAAGCTAGGTTAGACTCAGCTAATCTCTGCTTGGCTAGAGTACCCAAAACTGGCAAACACTCTGGCCTCGAGGTAGTGACAGCTCACAGCTAAAATACTCCTCCAGATAATGATCCAACAAGCCGCAGGTGTGCAGGAGGGCCAACAAGGACAGGGCACCACCTGGTGGTGGATGGAGAAAAACACACAAACAACCACAAAAACAGACCACACAAACTGGATTCCTAACAACAGGTATAGAATTAATGCTCTTTCCAGAGCTAGATTTTGTGTTACATGGGGTAAAGAGAAAATGATGTGTCTCTGCAAGTCCTCTAGGAGTCTTCAGTGAAATCATAGATAAATAAGAAATTTAATAAAAACTTATCAAATAATCAATTTACGTAGATATTAGTGCTTGGAAATATCAATTTTATGCAGAATGGTTTTTGATACAAGTAGGTAAGTGATAATGGAAAAGATTTACGCCCCAGGACTCAAAACTGAGTTTTATCCACTATACCTTTTATCTAGAATTTAGGGGTGTTTAAATATATATGTATTTGTTAGCAAAGGCTGTAGGAAAGTATAGTTTGTTTGTTTTTTTTTGGTTGATTTTCCCGTTGGAACAGTGTAGATTGACCCTGGGTTCTGGTGCCTATCTGCTTTCGGCCACCCCTCAACGTACATTGGTTATTGCCTAGCCACCCTTATAAATATTTCTGGTTACGCTAGGGCTGGGCGATATAGAAAAAAAGCTTATCGATTAAAAAAATGCACATGTGTTGTGGTTTGAGAGGGCGGCGCTTGGTGACGGCGTGCCTGGGTCCGCGATTGTGATTGGTTGGGAGGAAGCAGTGACTAGCATAAACCTACATGCTAGGCTACAATGAGAAGGAAGGAAAACTGCGTTTCTTTTTTATCGAACTTTTATCGACCCTCTTTTTTTCTATTGCGCCACACGTCTATCGATCGATATATATCGTTATTGAATTATCGCCCAGCCCTAGGTTACGCCTTTGGATAAAACCAACTCGCTTTACAATGCTTAATTATGATGGCAGGGACATTGTAACTGGGAACTAGCAGCATTGTTCTGTGGTGATGCTCCTTATTATACTACAGTATTTTGCAGATTTAGAAAGCCAGAAAATGTAAAAGGCAAGCGATTTGTTGAAATCATAAGTTTGGCCAGACTGTAATGTTTTCATGCATTGAACAGAACTATCACTTTCATATTTTTATAAACAGAGGTAGATAAAATATGATTTATTACAGCGGAGAATGTAAAGATTTTGGGTAAAACTTCATCAGTTAGAACTCCGAGTTAGAGCCTTTGTTTCTACTTTTCATGGGCTGGTTACTTTGTTTTATTTTAATTTATTTAATTTAACCTTTATTTAACCAGGGAAAAAAATCCCATTGAGATTAAAAACCTCTTTTTCAAGGGATTCCTGGCGAAGAGGCAGCAAAGTTACATAAGAAACAGAGATACAAACATTGATTTTGGGTAAAACGTCATCAGTTAGAACTCCGAGTTAGAGATTTTGTTTCTACTTTTCTTGGGCTGGTTACTTTTGTATTTTATTTTATTTAACCTTTATTTAACCAGGAAAAAAAAATCCCATCGAGATTTAAAAACCTCTTTTTTAAGTGAGTCCTTGCGAAGAGGCAGCAAAGTTACATAAGAAACAGAGATACATTAAAATAAATGACAGGTACATAAAAAACATATCAAGTAAAACAATTGCAGATCATTGAAGCTCCCTTAAATTATTTAACTTTCAGCTTAAAAGCCTTTAAAGATAAAAACTTAGTCAACTTATGTAAAGATGTTTGCTAAAGACTGAAAAAAAAGTTTGAGATTCCAAATTCTTACATTTTTTTAGTGAGATGATAGAGTTATATTATGCTATATTAACCTCTTGCTGACACTGCTGGTGCTAACCTGATTTATGAGAAAGCTTCAATAACTGCTGTCGACTGCAGTCCAGCAAACATAAGTATATTATTGGGTCATATACAAGTTTGTTTGAAAATTAGTACCAAATTAGCAAGTGTTTATAAAGTATTTATGCTCAAAATAATACTAAAGCTATGGTATTGATAACAAATAAAGTGATATTGTGATATTTTCATTTGACATAATGATAATTTCTGAATCAAACTGATTATTGTTTTTTGGCCATATATGGACCACTATTGATAGGTAATGACCACCGCAGACCATGAACACCCAGAAATACAGTTTTTTTTGCTTTAGATATACTGAGTAGTTGTTTTTTTACCTTTTTATAAAATATCCACTGGCTGCCTAATATACCCCAACCACTAAAGGGTACAATGCCAAAGGAATAATAACTGTTCTTAAATCTTCCGGTCATAATTTGGAATTTGGTCATAATTTTTGCATGATTGGAGATGGTTTGTGTCCTCATTGTGTTTGATTTGTAGTCAATCTATAAAAATTCTGATAGACTACGAGGAAAAGAAGAATGGATGAACAACATAAAACAGAAGCCGGTAAAGTTAAAAAAACATTACAGTTTTTATTGCTCAAACACAGACAGAATAATTTAAAAGAATTCAGCAAACTTTATTCAGCTCTCTGCTGAATTATTCTGTTTAAAGAGTAAAGGACTCTTTAAACAGGAGCAATTTGGCAGATGCTTGTCTGCCAAGTGGAAGAAGCCTCTAATTTATAAATATGAAACCAACACAGTTATTTACGTAAAACCTTTGGAAATAAAACTGTTTACTCTAGATTATCTTTAATATGTAGCATCATATTAAAGACAATGTTAAAAATTACAGGAACATTTCAAAGCTTAAAGAAATAATTTGTGTTGGTCATTCTTTTTAAATAAATCGCTGTAATCCTTGGTGAAAAGCTTCAGTAGTAAAGATATATATATATATATATATATATATATATATATATATATATATATATATATATATATATATATACACTATATTGCCAAAAGTATTTGCTCACCTGCCTTGACTCACATATGAGCTTAAGTGACATCCCGTTCCTAATCCATAGGGTTCAATATGACGTCGGTCCACCCTTTGCAGCTAGAACAGCTTCAACTCTTCTGGGAAGGCTGTCCACAAGGTTTAGGAGTGTGTTTATGGGAATTTTTGACCATTCTTCCAGAAGCGCATTTGTGAGGTCGCACACTGATGTTGGACGAGAAGGCCTGGCTCTCAGTCTCCGCTCTAATTCATCCCAAAGGTGTTCTATCGGGTTGAGGTCAGGACTCTGTGCAGGCCAGTCAAGTTCATCCACACCAGACTCTGTCATCCATGTCTTTATGGACCTTGCTTTGTGCACTGGTGCACAGTCATGTTGGAAGAGGAAGGGGCCAGCTCCAAACTGTTCCCACAAAGTTGGGAGCATGGAATTGTCCAAAATGTCTTGGTATGCTGAAGCATTCAGAGTTCCTTTCACTGGAACTAAGGGGCCAAGCCCAGCTCCTGAAAAACAACCCCACACCATAATCCCCCCTCCACCAAACTTTACACTTGGCACAATGCAGTCAGACAAGTACCGTTCTCCTGGCAACCGCCAAACCCAGACCCGTCCATCAGATTGCCAGATGGAGAAGCGCGATTCGTCACTCCAGAGAACGCGTCTCCACTGCTCTAGAGTCCAGTGGCGGCGTGCTTTACACCACCGCATCCGACGCTTTGCATTGCACTTGGTGATGTATGGCTTGGATGCAGCTGCTCGACCATGGAAACCCATTCCATGAAGCTCTCTGCGCACTGTTCTTGAGCTAATCTGAAGGCCACATGAAGTTTGGAGGTCTGTAGTGATTGACTCTGCAGAAAGTTGGCGACCTCTTCGCACTATGCGCGTCAGCATCCGCTGACCCCGCTCCGTCAGTTTACGTGGCCTACCACTTCGTGGCTGAGTTGCTGTCGTTCCCAAACACTTCCATTTTCTTATAATACAGCTGACAGTTGACTGTGGAATATTTAGGAGCGAGGAAATTTCACGACTGGATTTGTTGCACAGGTGGCATCCTATCACAGTTCCACGCTGGAATTCACTGAGCTCCTGAGAGCGACCCATTCTT